CTAAGTGAAAAGGAACTTGAAAGTCTTTAGTGTAGCTCAGAGAGAGAGGCAAATGAGTATTTCCTCACAAAAGTTACCAGATCCTAGAAATTGAGGTGTCTTTCACAGTAAGATTTCTCTGCAGCAATTCCCTTTGTTGTTTGTTGGTAACTTTAATATGAAGATCAGTTAAAGGTACAAGTTTTTAAGGACTCTCAAAGAAAGATTTCAAGCTGCCGTTCTGGTGACAACTGATCTCATACATCAATTTATACTGTATGCTAAGTTACTGTACTGTGTTCTGTCTTAATGTCTGTGGGAAATGGACAATAAAATCTGTTTTAGCATAACATTCATATATAAAATAATTTATGTCTTTTTGATAGTCAGGTCTTAAGGTTACAGTAAGTTAGCTTCAGTGATGGGAATTTGTTTGACTCTCTAGATCATTTCCAATTAAAATTTAATCATCACATATGTTGCTGAACCTAAGTTTATTTACTTTGTCTTCTTATTACAGGGGAAAAAAAGACATTTGGGTCTGTGAATAAACACACTCATGAAAAGGTCAATGTCACACTCAGTTTCTCAAAATTAAAATTTTTCTTTACCTTTTGAGTGATTTACCTAAATGACAAAGATTTTGTGTTTTACCAAAATAATTTCCTGTGCTTCAGGTTGTCTTTTAAAACACTGAACATTTCTTACTTCTCAAAATCTCATTCTCACTGTTTTTGACTTTGTATAACTTTGGGATTTTCCTGAAGGTCACTAGAATGTGCTAAAAGATTTGCTTCACAGCTTGTAGAATGGGGAGATATTAGTCTAATAAGGCCTCTTCTCTATGTTAATTCATATAGGAAGCACTGTCCAATAGTAAGTGGCACTAAACCTTCTTTAAGTGATATTTGAATGGCCATATTATTAATGACGGTCCCAGACATCTTTGAAACTCTCAGAAATGGTTGTGACCTTGGATGTTATCATCAGTCACAATCCTAGTGATCTTAAAATGACCACATTTCCTTGTCAACTTCATCATTATTAGAGTGTCCTCCCTCTCATCACATTTTCAGCCAGGGCCATCTCAAGTCTGGCCACCCAGCTAGTTCTTGCTTTGAAGCTGCTATGACTCTCCAATTGCTTTGTTTTTAGGCTAAGATGATCCCCTCCAAAGCCTTTTTAAAGGTCCAAACCAAAGGTTCCTTATTAAAAGTTCCAGTAAAGAAGACTTAAAAGGAAGTTGACACCAGCACAATGTTAGTTCAGCTCTGCGTCACCTCTCTGTACTGTAGATTTGTGTGACCACAGTCCAGCCTCAGAGCTGCTTCTCCACCACCAAGACATCCCTGACAAGGTCCCCTTGTGGTCCCACCGTCATCCTCCCACCCAGGCACCTGCAAATGTCTCCCACCTTCCAGTGTAGCTGGGTGAAGTCACACACATAGACTCCTACAGCATGGGGCCTTTTCAACTGTAACTCTTCAGCATCAGGCCCCTGACATCCTCCCATGCTGGCAGGCACAGTTTGTGCTTTTCTGCTGCCCACTAGTGTCCCAGGAGGTGGAATGGCCACTGTGTGTTTAACATCTGCCTACTGAAGGATGTTTTGGTGTTGGCAGTGTTTGGCTCTTCCCGGGCCTCCCTGCATATTTCTTACAGAATTCCACTTCGATATGAGCAGTGTTTTAAGTATTTCCTCGCAGAAATTCTTCAGCAAGGCATTTTACTGTACTTTTTAAAGGAGGCAAAAATCTTACTTCTGTCCTTTAAGGGTTCTTCTGTTGGGTCTGGGAACACAAGGACATCAGACCCATCCACATGAGGAAAGCACACAGACTTCTTTAACGCACCTTGTTCATGGCACAGGAGACCCAGAGGCGTGCAGGAGGAACACTCCAGAACTGAGCTGGGAGAAGGTGGTAAGTTAATTGTGAAAATGTGACAGGCCATGGGGCTGGGCTGGGACAACTAACTGGGTGCAGAAGTGACAGGAAGGTAAGAATCCCTCTAGCAATTTTTCATGTAGAGATATCCTTCTGCTCCCATGTCTTGGTGTTAATAAAAATGACATTTTGTTTCTGGTGTTAGGAGGACTTCTTCATTGCCTGCTTCTAAGGAGAAGGAAGGTCATGGTGGTCCTGCTGCACCTGCTGTCTTTCAAGGGCCTTTAGCTCAGAATAGCCACGATGCCAGAGCTGTGTATTTTGGAGGGGCAGGTCTCACCTCCAGTTTACACAACCTACCAGTTCACCGGGGTCAATTCATGGACTGGTTTGAGTGAGTGTACAAACCTCACCTGTTTTACTTCCTCTGTTTTTAATAAAATTCTCACAATGGTTTCTTCCATATGCAGTAAGAGTCAGTCAAACAATGAAATCATCTTTGCTTCAGCTATCAAACTTACATTAGAAAAGTCCAGTGGGAAGAAGATTCACCCTGACTTTTTAACCTTGCTGCAACTTTTCTCCCATCCAAGATTCCTTCTTTTATCATTTCCTTGCTGTTTTAAGAATTCCTGGTAGTGACTCTCTTAGTACAAGTCAGCTGACAACAAATTCCCTTCACTCCTTTTATTCCTGAGGACAATTTTATGGGGAATTCTGGACCCACATCTCTTTCCTTGCAGAGCGTGAAAATGCAGCATGGCTTCCCGAGCCTCCGTTGCTGGTCTTTCCTCTCACATGGGGCCTTTCTCTCTCACTCCTCACCATGCCAGTTTCTAGAAGCTGTGTGATGTGTCTCAGTGTGAATTTTTTTTTAAAAACTTTATCCTGTTTGGAGTTTCACATACCGCTTGAATCTGCAGGATTGTATCTTTTTCTAAATTTGGTTAACTTTTAACCATTAGTTCTTTTTCTCCTCAAAAACGCAAAGAATCTTTTCCTACACATTAGACCTCACTTTTTCTCAGAGCATGGTTTGACACCCATGTGTGCTCACAATTCATCCTCAATGTGTTCACCAGAGTGGTACCACTGTAGGCGTGGGCGTGGGCACGTGTGTGTGTGTGTGTGTGTGTGTGTGTGTGAGAGAGAGAGAGAGAGAGAGAGAGAGAGAGAGAGAGAGAGAGAGAGGGAGGCATGTGTATGTACGTGTGCTTGGGCTGGAACCCAGGGCTAGTACAAGCCACAGAACTGCACCCCAAAATCATCATAATCTTTCTTTGTTGGGGACAGAATTATTAATAGAAGTGTGGCCAAGAAAACATCCTCTCTCCCATGGTAGTGCAAGGGCACAAAGTTCAATCAACCTGGCATCTTGCTGGATCCGTCTCCACCAGAGACTTCCTTCTTCCCCAGACACTGTGCTACCAAACCCAAAAATTCCAGACATCACAGCAGTACCAGGAGTCAAACCTGAAAGATTGAAGCAGAGAAGCTCCTCTGGCTTATGATAATTTTTTTAAATCCTGCTTCTCTGTCACTAGGAAAAGAAAAGACTTTGTCCTTCTTTCCTAGTTCAGGTCAGCTTCCCTCACCAGCTGTACATGGTGACATCATGCATGTGTCACCATGCACAGCTATTCCAGGGAGGAGAAGAGCAGATGCTGGCAGGTAAGTGGGTTCTCTAAAAGCTTAGCACCATCTCAGAAGCATCCTAGCTCTCCAGACCCCACCGCAGCCCCTCCTTTGACCAGTGATGTGTGCAGAGTCTGCAGTGAGTGCTTAGAGGAAGGGAGGGGCTCTTTCACCATCAGTGATTCTGTCTCAGCATGTCCTTCCCCATACACCCCCACTCCACTCCACTCCACACCTTGCCACACCTGTCACTCTGGGAGCCATTGGGTGACCCCTATGAGAGCCCTTGCCTCTGGCTTGGGATGCCCACAGGAGAAGCTGTGGCCTGCTGTGGTTTGAATATGGTTTGTTCCCCCTCAAATTCATGCTTAGCCTTTACTTCTTCAAATGCTTCTTTACTTGTGGACACAGTGGTGAGATTGTGCCCAGAGGACTCACGTGCCTCTGAATGGATCCTCATTCAAATTTGCAGTTGGCAGAATTGCTGGGCATCCATGCTCAGAGTCTCAATGAGGAGCTTAAGTTCACACCAGGAATCAGAGCTGAGGACAGCACATTCTGCGTGGCAACCTGCCACAGCCCTGCCAAGCAGAAGACAAGGGGAAGACTTAGGGCTCTGACCCCAACCCTAGAACCACATCCACAGCACAGGCACTGGCCCTGCACCAAAGCCCTCATTGGCATTGGCCGATTGCCAAGGCCAGGCCAGGGCACCTGTGCCATACCAACTCATCTGTGTTCTCCCAGGACTTTCTCAAATTCAGCACTGAGGGTGCTGTGTCCCAGAAAGCCCTCTATCCCAGGCAACCAGGAAAACAGTCCTTTTATTTCCTATGGCTGCTGTTTCAAAGTGTCAAAACCCAGGGCTTAAATCCAGGGGAGTCTATTCTCCCTGGATGACATCTGTCACTGGATTTAGGGCCACCTTATATCCAGGATGATTTTTATCTTATCCTTAATCTCAGCTGCAAAGACACTTCTCCAAATAAAGTCTCACTCACAGCTCTGGGAACAGCTTTTGGGGGGCCTTCATTAGCCCATCCTAGCTGATCAGCTCCCCCCCACACCACCACCACCACCAGGGGGAGGAACCAGGGCCGCTGGCTTCCCAGTAGTCAGTAGTCCCAGAGATAAAGGAAGAAGCTGGGAGGTTAAGGTAGGAGTAAGTAAGGAACAACTAAGTCCTGCCTTGCTAGGGGACATTTAAAGTCCGTTTTTCTTCCAGCAGTGAGAGGTAAGCCATGGTCTCCGCCCGGGCTCCGGGCTGCTTTCCACATTCTTGAGTGGCTGGCAGCCTGCCAACACGTGATGATTCATGCAGGGCTTCAGTGACTCAGTGGGCTTTGCGACCGGCAGACCTGTCTACAAAGGCAGAGAGCGCGGCAGGAATTCCTGCACATGCTCCGCTTCTGGCCCGAAAACTTTGGGCCAGAAGTCGGGGTTCGGGACGGGCTCCCCAACTTTTTCTCTGCCTAAGCCGCCCCAGCCTTTCGGCTCCCCTGGCCGGCACTGCACTCGCGCTTTGGAGCGATGGGCTCCAAGCTGCTGCTACTGCTTCTGCTGCTGCCCGCGGTGTCGGTGAGTGCTCTTCGCGGAGACATGGCGGGTGGCGGGACGGGGCAAGAACTCCAGAAACAAAATGCTGGCAGCCCAGCCTAAGGGCACCTGCCGGGGTCCCGCGACCCCACTTCCACATGGCTCGATCAGCCTCTTCCGCCCCCCACCCCCACCCCGCGCCCCACACCAGCGGCTCCGCCAGGACAGGGACGCGCGGCGCGGGCTCTCCGGAGGGTGCGGACTTCCTCCGCGCCCAGGGCTGCCCGCTGCCCGCAGGGATTGGTCTTGTAAGTCTGGGATTCTCTGCTACAAATGGACTTCACTGTTTCCTACACTGTGGCCACCCCGCAGAAACCAGATACATGTTGTTACACACTTTCCCAAATCACCTTGTCAGCCTCCCAGGATCTGTGCGCGAAAGCAGAGCACAGATCGCTACAGGACCCGCCCGCCTTAACCTCCAGTCATCATCACACCGTGTGAAAGTGTGATCGTCACCCGCAGGACCCTGGGTCTCCCTTCAACTCGGAACGAGCTCCGGCCACAGCTCTCCCCCGGACCAGCTGGTCCTCAGCGCCGGCATTTTCCTTCCTTGGAAGGGACGCATTTTCGGTGTCTAGCATTAAAATAACTGGCAGCCCCGACTTCCCGGGGTGACAAGGGCGTTCACGCACACACCTTCTAAGGCGCGGCCGCAGCTCCCGGCACCGCGTGGGGCTCTCTCTGCTCCAGGGCGAGCGTGCGCCGCGAACTCCACGTCACGCCGCACAACAGCGCGCATCACGGCGCAACACCGCGCGCTGCGCCCGATAGGCATTTGCCCATGTAAGCTCCCCCCCCACCCCACCCCCCACCCCTGCCTTCCGTTGATGTCATTTCCACAGGAGATTGCAAAAGAGCGAAGAAGCGCGAACAGGCGGGAGGAGATAACCACTGTCCTTTTTGTCAGTTCTAGGCTCAGTGAGAGAGAAGTTGCAGCTTTCTTGAAGGGTTTGTTCAGGGTTTTTTGTTGTTGTTTTCCGTACTGGAAACACTCAGGGTGTTGCGGGAATCTCAAGCTGAGTTACAGGACACTGAGGCAGTTTAGCAGGATGCAAAGTTTAATTTGCCAGCACAGACCCAGAAGACTCGTGTCCAAAGGCTGAGCCCTGAGAACAAAGGGGCCTCACCTTATAGACCCTTGCAAGCAGGTTACAAGAAGCAAAAAGCAAGGTCTGTCCATATATGGTTATATACAATTTTATTGGCCACTTTACCCTAGTGTTACATGACTTTTCTTCTCCCCTGTGCTACATGACCCTCTCCACGATCAGATTCCTCAGGTTTTATCTCTCTGCAATGCCATCCCTACCTCCCTGCTACTTTATCAGAACTCAGGCCTAGTCTGTTTTCTTCTGATCCTCTTCCCTGCTACAAGGGCCTACACCTTGAGTCACTCCACCAGCCCTTTTTTGTGAAAGGTATTATCCAGCTAAGGTGCGAACTATTTGCCAGGGCTGGTTTGGTACACTAGAGCCTCCTGATCTCTGCCTCCTGAGTAGCTAGGATTACAGGCCTGTGAGCCACAGGACACCTGCCTGGTTTTTTTTTGGTTTTTTTAAAAGGGGTTTTATGACTGGGGATGGAGCTCTGTTACCCGAAAAGGGTGAAGGGGCTCCACAGTTTCCCAGTTTCCACACAAAATCCCAGGTCCTTGAGATCCACAACGTGAAAATCATTTCGAGGTGTCTCACAACAAGGAGTCTCTCAGGGTGGAAGTTTTAGCAAGGATTTATTTTAATATAACAGGGTAAAATGGGAGCAAGAGGGGGAAGAGAGGCAGAGAAAGAGAGGTTTCTTGTTCCCCACACTGGAAATGGGAGCAAAGACTCAAAATGGAGGTTCAGTGTCTGTGGTCTTTCGCTCTCCTGGGATGGGGGAATCTGTCACCAGAAGTCTAGCGACCTTACCTAAGATGGGTGCTCTTTATTATTGTAAAGTATCACCAGAGGACGAATGAGGGGCTCCACAGTTTCCCAGTTTCCATGCGAAATCACAGGTACTTGAGATCCACAAACATGAAAGGCACTTCAAGCTTCCTCACAGCAAAGAGTCTCACAATGTGGAAGTTTTAGCAAGGATTTATTTTAATATAACAGGATAAAGTGTAGACAGGATGGGGGGAGAGGAAAAGAGAAAGAAACATTTCCTGTTTCCCACACAGGAAATGGGAGCAAAAACTCAAAATGGTGGCTCCTTCCACTCCTAGTCTGACACTAGAGCTGGAGGAACACATGTGGTCAAAGATAAAGGGTCTGGGTGGCTGAGATGGCTGTTAACACAGGGAAGGGTCTTCCTGCCCACCCAAATCACAGGGACGATCCGTGTGCCTTAGAACTCCCCTTTGTCAGACATGATTATTCTCCACCCATCCAAGGATCCTTGCAGCTTCTTAACATCTCAAAGAGGAAAGCAGAAGCAGGTAGCCCCTGTAAGTCTGTCTGTCCTATACCTTAGCATCTAAAAGGAGAGGGAGGGGCTCGCTACTCTGGCCTTTCAGTTTTTACTTCCTTGTTCCAGTGTCTGAGGCTGGCCCTTTAAATATTTATTGAAATAATACACCTTCCCTGTTGCCTCATCTGTGTGCCTCAGCTCTGTGTAGAGAGCACCTGCCCAGCAGGTTCCATCTCTAGCAACAACAAAAAATTTTGTTTCACTTGGAGCTAACTTCAGTCTTCTAAAAAGTGACCACAGCCATACGTCAGTGGCTCACAGCTGTAATCCTAGCTACTTGGGAGGCAGAGATCAGGAGGCTCGAGGTTTGAAATGTGAGAAATATGCTCACCTGTCCAAACTCAAAGAATGGACTCAGAGACACATAAAGTACAGTGAAATTGAAACTTTAATGGCAGTTTTAGAAGACCAGCCTGGTGAGCAAGCATACCCCAAAGCAGTTACAACAGGCATTATACTGTCTGGTGCATAAGTCCCTTCCCCTGTTCCTCATTGGCTGAGTAGTGTCAGGTGTACATCCCTCTCCAATAAGATGCCTAAATTTCCAATAGGGTTATTTTAAAATATGCCTCTCTTGGGATTGGTCACATTTTAGAAGTGGGCTTAAGTGTCCACCTGCCTTTGTCTCTTTGTGGCAGGAGGGCCTCCCTGGGATAGTGGTTTGGCATATACGTAGTTTTCATCACTTCTTCATTTTTATCATGCTCCCCACAACACCTTGTTTGTGCCATTCCAGGTTACCGCCTCAAGTGGCTATGTAAGTAAGTTACCAGTAATTTTTCCATTCAGGGTTAACTGTTTTGTCTTGAAAATGGACCACCATTGACTTTATCTCTAACAGAAACCAGTCCTAGCAAATAGTTAGCAAGACCCTATCTCAAAAAACCCATCACAAAACAAGGACTGGAGGAGTGGCTCAACTGGTAGAGAACTTGCCTAGCAAGCGTGAGGTCCTGAATTTAAACCCCAGTGCCACCAAGGCACTGATCATTGCGCTCAGGAGTTTAAGACCAGCCCCAGCAACATATCAAGACTCTGGGGAGAGTCAGGGAGGAGAGGGGGAAGGGAGGAGGAAAAGGAGGGAGGGAGGGGAGGGAAAGAAAGGAGAAAAATTGAAATAGCACAAACCCTTCATAGCTGTCACCTGTATTTCCGAGGTGACACCATCTTGTGCACCTCTGTTGTGGAACAGTCCAAACAGGAAATGGGCACATTGGCCACACTGTAGTTTCCTTATAGGTAACACTGTACCCAGCTCCTCAGCCTGCCTCCCAGCTGGGCTTTCCTCCCTCCACCAGGGGGCGCCCAGGTCCTCAGGGTCAAGTTGGAGCACTTCCCCAGTCTTTTCCTCCTCTGACCTGGACATTCCCGAAGAGGACCTGTCAACAGGCCAATCCTTCCACACATTGTCTCTCAGTTTGGATTTGTTTGATGTTTGCTCACGATTAATTTCCACGAAAATCTTCCATCTGGGGTAAGAAGGCCACAGAAGTAGCCTGGCATAGTGATTTATGCCTGTAATCACAACTACTTAAGAGACATAGATCAGAAGAATGGATCATCAAGGCCAGCCCAGGAAAACAGTGAGACGCCATCTCAACCAATAAAAAGCTGAGTGTGGTGGTACACGCCTGTTATCCCAGATACAAGAGTAGCATAAATAGGAGGATAGCAGTCCAGGTCGGCCCAGGCATAAAACACAGACCCTATTCAAAAAATAAAGTAAAAAGGGTTGGCAGCATGGCTCAAGTGGTAGAGTGCCTTCTGGGCAAGTGCAAGGCCTGAGTTCAAACCCCAGTACTGCCAAAAAAAAAAAAGCCACAAGAGTGATGTGCCTCTTAACTGCAGGTGCCACAAGACAAATACCATCCCTTTGTCCCTCCACTGGGGTCTTGACTTTGATCACTTCCTTCAGGCAGTGTTCATTGGGTTTCTCCACTGTCACTGCTACTATGTTTTTCTTTGTATTGCTAAGTACCTTGTGGGGAGCTGCTTTGCAACTATGTAACATTCTCTTCCCCTCACACCTCCACTTCCCCTGTTGCATCCAGGGATCATTGCAGTCTGCATCCCTCATGATGGGTGTTTGCAAGCTTGATTCCTTCTCTAAATCCTTTCATTCTGCTAGTTTTTGCTGCTCTTCTCCCTAACTGACAGAAATTCCTAAAAACTAAAAACAAAATCTATTCAGTTCTCTGGTGAAGGAGAAAAAGAGGGTGGGGCGATCAAAGTGGGGAGAGGGGAACTTGAGGAAAATGAAAACACAAGGCAGAAAAGAAGAAAAATTGAAGAGTCAAGAAAAAAAAAATTAAAGAGTCACAGGAAAGTAATGATATCAAAAGCACAAAATTAGATGATAGAAACTATTCCAAATAAAGTAACAATCCAATGCATATAAATATTTAGTAATTTATTATTAGGTTGAATTAGAAAGAATAACAGCCAGGCACTGGTGGCTCATGCTTGTAAGCCTAACTACTTAGGAGGCAGAGATCAGGATTGTATTTTGAAGCCAACCCTAGGCGAATAGTTTGCGAGACCCTATCTTGAAAATAGCCAACACAAAAAAGGGCTGGAGGATTGGGATTTGAATCTAGTCCCAGCAAATAGTTCATGAGACTCTATCTTGAAAAAACTCTACAGAAAACAGGGCTAGTGGAGTGGCTCAAAGTGTTAGAGCGCCTGCCTAGTAAGCTTGAAGTTCAAACCCTGAATTCAAACCCCAGGACAGGAAGGAAGGAAGGAAGACAGGCATTTTCATACATCTGACACTAAATAGCCCATACAATGGACACTTGTCTACAATAAGAGATGAAACCAGACAACAGAACAACCCACGTTCAGCCCCAGCTGGCAATGTGTGTCCTATGACTCCAATTTTTTTGCACTCTGTGCACATTAATGAATGGTGGGAGAGTGTCATTGATTTTGGAGTCACAAATAAATTTTAGCAAGTAGATGGACTGACAATGCATGATCTGAGAATAATGAGGATCAACTGTGCTGGTGGAAGTCCACAACTTTGCTAGATTTGCTACACCTCAATAGCCAAAAATTCAAGCAACAAAAAAATCTGGATAGAAAAAATCAGGACTACATAATTAACAGATTTCTGGGAGGTGTACACACACCTACCCACACATATACAATATATGTACACACACAGACGCACATGTGCAAGCTCCCAGGTCCCACTTTCCCACCCAGAGATAATACACCTGACAAAGTGTAGATATAAACAAAACCCAAGGGTCACAACCATGCAGGGTGTAATTCTGGCCTTGCAAATAGACTAGCTGTGAACCTCAAAGTAAGGGAGTCAGCACAACCATGTACATTGGGAAACCGAAGAACACCTCCCCACGGTGAGATCTGCTCCTCATTGCCAGGCAGACTGGAGGAGCACATTGCAGTGTGTGCTCTGCCAATCGAGGCCACCATGAGGGAGCCGCAGTGAGGCTAGGGACCATCCACCTCCTCGGTACTGAGACTCATATGTGGATGTGGGGATGGTTCCACCAGCAGTGGAGGGCATTTCTTCATAATGCTGGTTTCCCCTTTCTGATTCAAGGTGACTGTGACAGCCAGTATGACCCACTGTAAATTAAAGGAGTACCAGGATGGGAACTTCTGCTGCAAACTCTGCAGAGCGGGTGAGTCCCCAGATGCCTTCCAGAACCTTGGAGGCTGGCCTTGCCATGTGGAAGAGGGAGGCTGCTGGCCCTTGGTAGGACAGAGCTGGAGACCACCCTGGAAGGGGAGAGTCCTTCCAGTATTTTTCTCTCACACCTCCTTGGCTTTGGAGGAGCCACCAGCAAACAGAACAGAGAGGGGGCATGTGCTTGTCCTGGGGCGGGCCAGGTGGGCTCTGCAGGTGCTTGGAGAATGGAAATGAGGGGCACAGGCTATCCTATGTTTGGAGGACCCCTGACACAGGGAGCTCCTTGCAAGGAGGTGGCTTAATTTCTCCCTCATGAAGTTCCTCCTCAGCCCATTTCTGGGGCCAAAGTAATATGCTCCTTATTCCAAGTCAAACAGAGAGGAGGTAGATGGTCTAGATGCACCTGGACCACTTCTCTCACATCCTCCCCCACACCTCCTTACACACCTATGCATGCAATCCTGCACAGATCTATACATACACACCTATACATACACACATCTGTACATACTCAAACCTGCAAACACACCTGTACATGTGCCAACCCACACACGAGTCCATAGACACACCTCTGAGTGCACAGGTGTAGACGGGGTCTGGGCACACGTGCCTCAGGGAGAGAGGAACCCCGACCGAGGAACAGTGGGCAGCACAGTCCCCAGGTCGGAACTGCACTGAAGTAGGGAGACGCTGGGCCCTGGATCACCTTTTCCCCTCTCACACAGGCTTCTGGATCAGGATCAGTCGAGGGTGCAAGGAGAACAGTGGAGATTGTGTTCCGTGTAAGTCCGGAAGCTTCCTGGCCCACAAAAACAACCTTCCATCCTGCAAGCTATGCTACCTGTGCCAGGAGGGTGAGTGCAACTGCTGGGTCTTGGCAGCCTCCTGCTGACTTCAAATGCCCCTCCCTCTGCTCCTAGGGATCATCCATCGAGGGCAGCCTCTGAGGACACTGGGAAGACTGCACTGGCATGGTATCACAAGGGCTCTGGTGTGAGAGGAGGTATTCTTAGTTTTGATCTTAAAGTGATGATCAGGTACATGGCTAAAGAATCAATCTACAACTGGGCACCAGTGGCTCATGTCTGTAATCCCAGCTACTCAGGAGGCAGAGATCAGGAGGATCATGGTTCGAAGCCAGCCTGGGTAAATAGTTCCATGAGACCCTATCTCAAAAAAAAAAAAAAAAAAATCACAAAAAAGGACTGGTGAAGTGCCTCAAGGTATAGGCCCTGAGTTCAAACTCCAGTACCAAAAAAAAAAAAAAATCAATCTACAAATCCCAGTTACTCAGGGAGTCAGGGAGGATCAAGGTTCAGGCCAGCCCTGGCAAAAAGTTACTGAACCACCTCAGTCAGTAAGCCAGATATAGGACATGCCTGTCACCCCAGCTACACAGGAGGCCATAAGTAGGAGAATTGCTGTCTGAGGCTGACCCAGGGCAAAAAAACCCTCAGACCTTACCTGAAAAATAAAGTCAAAATGGCTGTGGGGAAGGTGGTGGAACACCTGCCTGGTGCTAGCCTGAGACTCTGCGTGTTAAACCTCACTACCACACCCCCCAAAAAAATCAACCTATAAATTATTAGGATGCTTGAGATCCTTTAACAAAAGTGCTGGTTACAAGATAAGCATATAAACCCTCTAAATTGCTATATGCCAACAACAGAGTAGTAGAATGTATTTATGGTACACATCTTGCAATGTCAGTGTCCAGAATGTGCAAAGGCTGCTGCATAGCAGTCAGAAAAAGGCTTGTGGCTGTGGTTGTGGAGGTCACTTGGCTAGCATGTGCAAAGCCCCGTGTTTCCAGCGCTGCAAAAAAAAAAGAAAAAAAGAAAAAGATAAAGAGCATGTTCTTTTTTCTTGATGGAAAACAAGATGAAAGGTAGGCTTTGGGCATATATATTTTTGAGAAGCTGGACTGCAGGGCTCCCACTAGCCTCTCTGCAGACACCTCAGATCACAGAGAAGGGTTCTGGTTATCTTTTCTTGGCCTCTTTATTAGAAGACAACGATGTACCTCATCATTAGGCACAGATGAACCAGGGTGAAGAACCGGTGAAGGTGGCATCTCCATGTCATGGCCTGGTGTATGCTGGGATACAGTTCTACTTGGTGACTGACCTTGGCCTTCCTTCTTTAACAGACCAGGAGGAGGTGGCCAATTGTTCCCAGACGACCAACCTGCAATGCCAGTGCAAACAAGGCTTCTACTGTCCCTTGAAAGATTGTGAGAGCTGTTTCCACTGCACGAGGTGCCAGCAGGGGGCACAGGCCTGGGTCCCTGCTTCTCCCCTCCTTGCTTGCTTGGCTATAGCCCCTAGTCTCTGTTTTCCCATCTGCTGATGGATAGCACCTGCCACATGGACAACACTATCAAACATTGCCTATGTGTTCCCACCTGGTGGTATGCCTGGACTCAATGCTCCTTCATTCATTCAACAAATGATTCCTGAGCCCCTCTATGGGCTGCGGTTGGCATTGCCAGCCTGGAGTCCCCAACAGTGGGAGACACACCTACAGTGTAAAACCAGCTAGTGATGAGGTCATAACCACGGGGACTACTGTAGACTCGGTGGTCAGTCTGACCAAGTGACCCTTGGGTAGAGGCCTGATGAGTGAGAGAGAAAGGGAGACATAGAAAGTTCTTGGGGGAGAGAGCTCTAGGCAAAGAGGGTGACAGAGTTCCCTGTGTTAGAGTCCTATGCCACTGTAACATTGCCCACAATGGGTGATTAAAAGCAGCAGAAACTTATTCTTTCACAGTTCTAGAGACCAGAATTCTGAAATCCTAGGTGTCAGCAGGGCTTCTCTCTCCAAAGGCTCTAAGGGAGAATCCTGCCCTGCAGCGTCCACCTCTTAGTGGCTGTGAGCAGTTCTTGGTGTGCAGACATGTCACTCCAATCTCTGCCTCCATCCCCACATGGCCTTATCTCCCAGAGTTCTCTTTGTGTCTGTGCCCAGATTTCCCCTTCTCAGGACACCAGTTATTGAATTAAGACAAAACTTAATAGTCTGGCTCATTTTAGTTTCATTATGTTTGCAAAGACCCTGGATCCAAATAAGGTGAAATTCTGGGTTTCAGGTGGACCTGAGATTTGCAGGGAACATTTACAGTGATGAGGCCACTTGCAAAACAGCTTGCATTTATGCTGTAACTCATTTAAAACAACTCAGACTATGCTGAACTGCTGGCTTATGAACCTGAAATGTTCAAAGTAAGGACTGCCTTCAATTTCAGTTTGGCCAAGACTCTGGCTTCTCTCGGTGTACTTGCCTTTCCCCTTCTCCCTGTTGGTAGAGGGACAGCAGATATCAAGGAGGGGAGAGAGGAAGACTCTCACAGACAATCCCCAAGCCCTACTCTCTTTACAGCAGTGTGGGAAAGAATGACAAAGCTTGACAGAGCCATCCTTGGGTGGGGCTGGTTCCTCATAACCTTGCTCTGTGGGAGGTGATGACACACTGGGCTGCCTGTGTGGGAAGTAACACTTGGGTTTTCCTCGCAGTTGTCCTGAAGGTAGAGCTGTCCATAAGCCATGCAACGCCACAGTGGACACAGTGTGTGCTGAACCTGATCCTCAGCCAGGCAAGGGGTTCTCAAATCTGGGTGAGCAAACCTTTCCTGCATCACATAGTCTCTGTAGTCACTGCTCAGTTCTGCCATTGTAGCACGAGCAGATGGAGACAAAAACTAGATGAATGTGCTTGGTAATGTGCCGATAAAACTTTATTTACAAAAACAGGCAGTGGGCCAGACCTGGCCTGTGGATTGAGTTCCAAGACCTCTTCTTAGTAAGTAAGCAGACCCTCCACGGCTAGATGCAGGTTCCCCTCCTGCTCCCTTAGCTCAGTACCACCTTGGTCTCAGACCAAGGCCCATGAGAGTCTGGACTTTGTGTGCATGTCAGGCCAACTCTACTTTTATGGGAGGTCCTGATGTTTGAGGGCTCACGTCTTCCTCATCCTCCTTCTGCAATGTTGTCTGGGTATCTGCCAGGCTACAACATGTCAATTTACATTTCCAAATCAGCTTGTCCACCTCCACAAAAACTTTTTTGATTAGAACAATGTTTTAAGGTTATTAAAACATTTAAAAATAGGAAGTGTGTAATCTGAGTATAAAGAAAAGCCTTGAAGCTGAACGACGGTGTTGTGTGAAGATTGTCTTCACTGACCCTGTGTCATGGGGCTGCTGATGGAGATAGATTCGGAGTTGGAGTCCACAGCTCCAGACGGCCTGTCCCCTCCCTCATGTGGGAGGAGCCCTGTCTGTGCTGTGATTTCACAAGGGGTGAAAGCCAGGACTCCTGAGTGGTCTCAGCAGACATTTCCAGGGTAGGCCCTGTCCTGTTCTTCAGGTCATGGTGGCCTGGCCTGCCCCTTTAGGACCAGTGCATTCTCTCCCACCTCCCAGGCCTTGTCCCTGCTAGCCCAAGAATAGACCCTGTGGTGGGGACTGTCAGGTGGGCCCCATCCCCGGGGAGCAGAGCCTCCTGCCACTGTTCCTGCGAGTTCACCTCTTGCCCCTTCTGAGGCCCTGAGAGGATCCCATGTCTCTGAACTTCACGGCCTAGACAGACGGTGACAGGGAGCAGGAACTCTTTTGGCATGCCACTCTGACAAGGACAGCCTGCTTGGTGCTGCCTTAACATGCTGTTCTGCCTCTTTCCAGAGAATCTAATCTGGTATCTGTGCTCCTTCATTCTGGTTGCTGGAACAGGCGTAATAGTCTATAGAAAAAAGTCTGATCTATATGTCACCATCAAGAATACCTGCTGCATAGAAGAGGTAAATCAGATCCATCAATTGGTGAGAACATACGGGGCCTCCTTTGTGGGTCAGAAATGGGCAGTGGAGGTGCTTAATGTCTCACTCCAGGTGCAGCTCAGGTGCCTAATTCTGGAGCCTCTCCTGACAGCTGCTCCCTGACAGGGCTTGAGACCAGAAGTGCCTCAGGTCAGTGGGTCACTGTGACAGCCAGCACCGTACAGGGTATATCCCAGCTGGGAAGTAGGGGAGCTTGCGGGGGGGAAGGGACTCCTGTGTCCCCCGGAGGTTTGGAGGTTTTGTTGTGTGTTGCCAAGTTCTGGAAATGTAAGTGTGCTGCCTTGCCTTTGCTGTGAGCTCAAGGTTTTTCTTCTCTTTAGTGGGAGTCATTTACCAGTTAAGTCTGAATTCACTATGTGTCTTTCCTTTCTCTCTCTCTCTCTCCCTCCCTCCCCCCTTTCTTGCAAAGTAGTGGCAGAGTTTTACTGAGAGTAAAAGAGAATGTGTGAAAGCAGAAAAGTACACTCCCCAGGGAAAGGGGTCAGAGGGAGCAAGCTCTGAGCAGGGTGCCTTAAGAGCAGTACCTGTGCTCAAGAGCCTATCTTTTCTTTGATTTCAGAAGTGTAGAAGGAGTCAGCAGTCTGGTAAGTATCATGGGGGCACTGATTGGGTGGGTCCCTCCTGGGGATTCCTGGGGGTCTGCCTGGTTCTGAGAGCTCAGGCCTCAGCAGCAGTGAAGCCCCTGAGAGTCTGGGAGTGGGTAAGGGGCAGCCAAGCTTTCCCATCTGCACCCTTGGGTTTATTTATTTATTTTTTATTATTCACTTATTCACATGTGCATACATTGTTTGGGTCATTTCTCCCCCCTGCCCCCCTCCCTTGCACCCTTGGGTTTAGCCTGTGCCACAGTGTTTACATTCCCCTTACAGATGCAGAGTCTGTGCTAGAAGACTGATGTTCTGGTGAATTATAGCACAGGGTAGAAACTGAGGCACATGGGCTTTATGAGAATGGGCCAGGGCCACAATAACAGATGATCATAAACTGGGAGTTAAAATGCCAGGAACATATTGTCAGACTTCTGGAGGCCAGAAGTCCAGAGTCTCAGTCTAAGCAGAAGTGATTCCTTTAGAGGTCCTTCCTGCCTCAATCCAGCTTCTAGTGGTCTTTGGCATTCCTTGGCTCTGCTGCTCCAATCTCTGCCTCTGTCTTCATACAGTCACCTCCGATGTCTCTGTGCCTCTGAATTGCAACTCTTATAACCCACCAGTCATTGAATTTAAGTCCCACCCTGGCCCAGTGTGTCTTAACTTGGCTATATCTGCAAAGACCTATTTCCAAATAAAATCACAGTTCCAGGAACCAGTAGTGAGGACATGGACATATTTTGAGAGGCCACAGCTCATTCCATGACAAGCTTGCCTTGGGACTTCCCCAGGAGTTGGCAACAGAGCTGGGACCTGACCCCATGCACTATTCATCTCTAAAGGTGCCTCTAAGAGGCATGGCATTTCTTCTCCAAACACACTTGGGGCAGGACCCGTCACCACAAGATACGACTCTACCTCGAGTTACCTAGCAGCAGGAAGTACAATGAGGTTCTCCTGTCCAAGGATGCTGGAGGCCTTTTCAGTACAGAAAGGAAAAGCAGGGCCAACCTCCAGACCATCCATCCCGAGACTTCTGGCCTTCCTGGGAGCCTCTTGTTCCTTCTCCCAGGAAGGCTGCTTCCATGTTGGGCTTGGGCAGTCAATGGTCCTTGAGTAATGAATGAACGACACAATGAGAGTCATGATAGTTCTGTGCTGACCTTGGTCTCCTGACCTCTGGGCCTACCTGAAGTCACACAGAGCCTCCCAGGTCCTGGGCAGCAGAGTTACAGAAAATACTACAATCTCCAGAGAACATTCCAGAAATATAAACAAACTTCCTTTTTGTTATTTTTTTCAGCTATCAGTATAAGTTATCAAATGGCATATGAGTTTCCCAAAAGTAAATAGAAGATGTTTATGAAGTTTATGGACTTGAGGAAAATTAAATCAAGATTTGGGAACACAAAAGTCCAGGAAATATAATAGAACAGTGTCATTAGATGCCCTCAAGTGAAGGAATGAGCTCAGAAAGATGCTTCTGTTTCTAAAATCATGGCTGTCCTCCGTAAGACGAAGTTAGACATGGCTTCACAAACTACAACAAGCAAATTGCCTACTAAAAAATGTTACGGTAGGCATGCAGACACCCAACTTAGACTCAAATTAGTTTTGATACAGGATGGAGCCATTGAACAGTGTCCAAGATGAATCATATTGGAACTTCTTTCTTGGTCGTGATCCTCTGTGAAAGTTCATGGATCCTAAATAGCACTTTACCCTTGTCTTCATGGATTCTTTCTTTCTTTCTTTTTTAAATATTTTTGATGGGACTGGGGTTTGAACTCAGGGCACTGCACTTGCAAAGCAGTTACTCTACAGCTTGAGCCACACCTCCAGTCCCTTGATAGATTCTTGATAAAGCACAGCAGGGAGGCTGGTCTTGGATGTAGACAGAGTGCTTCCCGTTTAGGAAGCCATCTGCCTATGGCAGACATGAGCTCCTGGCTGTGTCCTTGTCGACTGGAAAACCAGCTTGTCTTATCAGTAGGTGCCTGGTCCTCTTATGCTCTTCCCTCCCCAGGAAGAGGCTACAAAGTTCCAGCTGTTGTTCTGCCCTGCGATGCCCCAATGGCCCTCGACAGGGTGTAGGGCAGACCAGACGCTCTATAAATACATCTAAGTCCACAAAGGCCACTGCCAGCCACTCTGAACAGAAGCGGTGCTTTCAGGTCTTCCTGGGGTCTTCTGCCAAAGGAAAAGACTGGACTTAGACTTCACTTCTCTCTTCTAAACCAAGATTAGCAGGGATAGTTATGGTGCAATCCCTCTTTAAGTGCCTTAAGTTTTTTAAGGTATTAGCACTAAGGATGTTCTTTTGTCCTAAGTTATACAATTTAACAGTATTTGCTTAATAACTTAAATAAGTTTTCTTTGCATAATAAACTTATTTAATTTAAATAGCATTTCTTCTCATTTTTGGTGGGTCCATAAACCCTCTAGGGGTATCGTTGGGAGGTCATGTCACACAGAGGAAGGCAGTGGGACTGGGGGTTGGGGAAAATTCTGGAATTCGTGTCTGTTGTCCTCCAGGCTTGTGGACTGTCCAGGAGTCTCTGTCCCTGGGAATGACAGCATCATACACCTTTGCTCAGCTCAGAGTGTGGGCTTCACCCTGCCCCTCCCTGTAGCTCATCCCAAACACGGAATCCAGCAACAGTCCCTGGAAATATCCACAAATCAGCCTGTTTGTTCCCGTCCAGCGACAAGCATCTTTAACGTGTGGCTCCTCACAAAAGCAAAGGCCGTAACCCGCCGCCCCCTTCCCGGCTCCCAGAATCAATCCAGGGGCGTGGACTCGCCCTTCCTCCCCCGCCATGCCTTCTACGACCGCTGAGAATGCAGCCCCTACTTCCACCGCTTTCCTGAGTCCACCTCGTCCGCTGGGCAGCCATCAGGACGCTGCTTGTCCAGCACAAAGCCGGTCTTGGCTGCTCCTTCTGAACCCTTCGGTGTGTCCGCCATCCTTGGCTTTGCTTACGAAATGCTTCTAAAAGCCCTCCCGGTGCCTCCAGCCGCATCCTCCCCACCCCTAATTTCTCACAGGGCTGGCTTTCTCTGAGGACGTAGTCGGCAGGACGCCGCTGTCTGGAGCGCCTGCACCGCGGTCCTCACGCTTGCTCCGAGCCAGGTCCTTGGTGACCTCGTGGTCACCGCGTCCAGCCAGCCAACCTCGCCTACAGCCTCCGTGACCCAAGCCCTCCTCCCGGCATGCCCCGCGCGGCGGCGTTCCCGCCGCTGTTGCCTAGCGACCAGGCGCGCCCGGAAGACGGCCAGAGGGGGCGGGACTTCCGGGGCGGTGGTTGCATCAGATTCTGGGAAGTGTCTGTGGCGGCGGCAGCGGGTTGGGGATTCCCAGAGATGGCAGGTTCCTCAGGGGAACAGGGTGAGTGGCGCGGTCCTGCAGACCTGGGGCTTGTGGCTGGGCGGAATGACGGGGGGATGTCGGCGAACGCGAGGACGCTGGGAACTACCAGCCGGGTGCGCCCCGGAGTCCAGGGCGGGCGGGTCCCAGAGCGGCAGTGGCCAGGCCAGAGCACTAGGGGTCCGGGACAGGCAATAGGTTCCTAGGGTGGGCAGTGGCCAGGCCAGGGCTTTGAGGGACACTTGGGACCCGGGACAGGCAGTCGGTCCCAGGGGTGGGCAGTGGCCATTCTAAGGGATGGCCAGAGGTCCAGCCCAGTCGCTGAGGGCAGTGGGTCCCGGGGCTGGCAATGGGGGCCTGAGCTCTGAGGGGTGGCCCACAGGATTCCCTCAGGCTAGAGCACCGACCTGTCCTAGGAGGCTGCTCCTCCCCAGCCTCGGTCTTGATGTTGGGTTGGGGCAGAAGTCTCCTGGCCATACCCAAACCAGGACATGGCTGGCCCTGTGTCAGACAGCCGGCACAGATGGTGTATGGACAGGACCTCCCCTTCTGCTCCTGCTGGACTTTGGGGTGAAACAGAAGTCCGTGGGTTGTTTTGGTTTTCTGCCTAGCAAGATGAGTGGAAGGGCACCTGAGGCTACACTTAGGGAAATGGGGCAGAGGAAGCTGGTTTCAGCGTATACACAACATGAAAGGGCTTGGGTTTTATGAGGGAGGGCTTTCATCTCCGGTTTGGCCAGCAGTCACCATTGGGACCTGCCTCCTCATAGCATTACTGCTCGCTTTATTGCTAGCTGCGAGGCAACCCCGTCAGCTTCCCCAAGTCACTCATTTTACCTGGGGTGGACTCAGGCCTTGGCAATCAGACCTGTGAAGAGCAGTGAGGGAAGATTTCGGTGTTTGGAAAGAGCAGAGATTGTGGTGAGGATTCCTAACAGTTGGGAGCAGGCCTTCCACAGGACACACTCTCAGTGTTGTTTTCATTCTCCGTGCTGTCAAAAATGAGATGTGATTTCTGACACCTCCACTTCCTGGCCCTGTGCAGGTTGTACCAAGATTTTTATGGCAGGTGGCTAGCTCACTTGGGAAACCGGTGACGGTGAGGTCCCCAGATGACAGGGCTCATCCTGTACCTTCCAGGCATGCTGCATTCCACTCAACTGGTGTGCCTGGATTCCAACCTCCTCCCCTGCCTTAGAGCCAGACAGCTCTCGGAAGTCCACGTGAGACTCCTGTAAAACAGCAGCGTGGCTAACCTCCCACCCCTGGACCTGCCTGGCAGGCTTGGGTCCCAGTCTGCCCCTTCCTCACAGCGACATGGGGGTAACAGTTCCTCCATTGGAGAAGGCCCCGGGCATTAAGTGAGTTCACAGACAGAAAGGACTTAGAACAGTGCCTGGCAATGAGTTCCATGTCTGGGTCAGAAACTAGAACCTGTTTGTTCTTTAAGTAAAAGTGTATATTTGGTTTATTTATGAATGGTATATTGATGGGGGTTTTGTTGTTGGATTTTTTCATTTTTTTTGTCATACTAGAGATTGCACCAAGGGCCTCGTGCATGCTGGAAAAGTGCTCTACCACTTTAGCTATGCACCAAACCTTTTAGTTTTTTGTTGTTGTTGGTTTTGAGACAGGGTCTTGCTGCCTTTTTGCCCAGTCTGACCTTGAATTCTCTATCTTCCTGCTCTGCCTCCTGAGTAGCTGGAATTACAGACTTTAGACTTTCAGAGCCTTGTAAGAATTGCCTTACTTTTAGAGATTGTGGTATCGGTTGGGATGAATCCCTCAGGTGTCTGGGCAACAGTCAGATTTCCCAGGATGAAGCCACAGGGCTGCAGCCCCAACAAGCACACTGCTTCTTTCCTCTTTCCCCTTCCACCAACACCTTCCCAAGGCTGACCCTCAGAGGGAACAGGAAATACAATCGTAAAGCCTTTGTCACTACTAGAGACCTCAATACTGTGGGTTTCCAGTTTCTGAGTTGTTTTTTCTTTTTTCTGAAGGATCTCACTTTGTAGCCCAGGCTGGCCTTGAACTTGTGGTTCTTCTGATGGAATTATAGATGTGCACCACCATATCTGGCTCTGGATGTTTTTATTCCCAAGGATGTTTCATCAAAAGTGACCATTCTCTGGGATTTTTCAAGATGGTCCCGTTTCTGGACCATCTTCTCTAAGTTGACTCAGAGCACTTGCCTCTCCCTCATGATCCTGATAGTCACAGCCTCTGGTCTGTGGTCCTGGTGCAGGTTCGGTAATGTGTTTGGGGCCTAATAGGAGAGGCTCATCTCAGGACCTCCAGATGGGTGGGGCTTATCTCAGGCCTTTTCCTGTAGACTAGGGACATCACTTCTGGGGCTACTAGGTCAAACTTAGTTTAATTTTTATGTTGTCTAACTCAAAGTATCTTTGTAATCATAATTCAGCTAGCATTTCTTAGTATAAATTTCTACCAGGCACTGCTAGAGTAAGGACATTAGCTGTGTTCTCCCCTGTAACTCTCAGAGTAGCTTTTTGTAGTATCTTCTTGTGCAGAAGAGACCTCTGAGGTCCAGAGAGATCAAGTAGTGAGTCTGACATCACCCAGTTAGCCAGAGGCAGAGGCAGAGCCAGGCTTCCCCCAGGCAGATTGGCAACAATAAGGGTTCTGCCCATGATGCCATGCCACCTTTGTAGATTCTGTTTGGAGAAGCCAGTAGGCCTCCAGATCCCAAGATTGTATTAAGACGAGAGAACTGTGGTCCCAAAGCAGAGTGAAATATATCTGTTGTAGGCTACAAATACTTGCTCACCTATGACATCAGGATTCCACGTGCCCAGGTATGTAGAGTCTGAGGCGGTGGCCTCCTCCCAGTGGCAGTGATGGCTTCTTTTTGAACCTACTTATCTCAGTATGTGAGGAAGTTGAGTGTTCCTGATTACCAGTAGCATCCTTTCCAGGAAGGAGGAAGGCGTTATGCCATTCCCTGGGGAGAGATGATGCTTGAGGGCCCTCCTGTGAGGAGTGATGGCTCAAAAGAGGGGGAGCTTTCATTGTGCAAGGAGACTCTGGACTCTGAAAGTTGTGGCGTTGGCTCCAAGGAGGTGGGCGCAATGGTTGTGTGCCTCCTCCCCTAGGATTTATGGGGGGAAGTGTTTTCCAGGCCACTGCCTGAGAGCTGCCGAGGTGGGTGTACCCCACAGGGTCACGGGAGAAGCACAGCTTGAGGAGGTGGCCTGGAAGCTGAGGGGTGTGTTTGCACCCCTGAGACTTCTGCATAATGAAGACTCCATTGGGAGGAGGGGGACATCAGCAGCAGCAAGGTCACCAGGGAGTGTGTGAAGATTCAGACTCTGCCCACTTCCTAGGACTTTATGGGGAGCACAGAACTGTTGTGTAAGTGGCTGCTTTTAGCAGCTCACTGCCTCCTCCCAGGGATTCTTGCCACACTGGAGTCAAGAAACCTGGTGTAAGTGCAGGAGTCCCCAGAAGCTAGTTGAGCCCTGCTTGCCAGGCCTACCCCCAGAGGTCCTGACTGGCAGGTCTCAGGAAGTCCAAAAATGTGGGAGCATGACCCTGGCGCTGTTCTAGTGTGCCTGGATGAACCTCCCAGAGGGAGTGGGGAACAGAAACAGGCACTGAGGCAAGTATGAGTGCTGACGGGAAGGAGCCAGACTGGGAGCAGGTGCCTGGCTGTCATTTGAAGGTGCATCATATGAAGTAAGTTTGGGTCAATCCCTGGGTGAATGCTTGCATTTGTGTGGTCTCAGTAGATGTTATGAAACAACTCCAGCATTGCTGGGTGCTGGTGGCTCACGCCTGTAATCCTAGCTACTTAGGAGGCAGAGATCAGAGAGCTGCTGGAGTGGCTCAAGCAGTGAGAGCACCTGCCTAACAAGCCCTAGGACCATCAAACAAATGAAAAACTCCAGCATTGTAAGTTGTGACAGTCCCTGTCCTCCTTTGGGACATTCCCACCATCAGAGGCCCTGTCCTTTGACGCATTTACGGACTGACCTGCAGTTGGGCATGTCCTCCCATGGAGGCAGGGCAGGGTTCAGGCATGGGGTGTGCAGGCTCCAGGTGAGGCAAACTCCACTGAGTGGCCCTAGGAGGCAATTTGGCTGCTCCCAAGTGTTCTTGTCTCATCCAGACTCAGATTGATGGTCACCAAGGTGGCTCAACTCCACCACCTTGTGAAAGCTGACCTATTTTTATTCATTTCCTCTGGGAACACCCAATGTAGCTACCACAACTACCCAAAAAAACCTCCTTGCCTCTCAGAAGCCTAGACTTCCCTGGCGCCCTGCCCACCCCCAGGGGTCATTACCCAACCACTTTGTTCCCTTGTGGTGGTCTAGGCTGCTCCCTGCAGTGCCTTTGGGAGCGTCTGTGATCCTGACAAGCTCCTCCAGGGAGCTCTCTGGGAGTGGAGGAGATATAATCACCATGATAATGCAGGAGTGATTATAATGCTGGCGGGCTAGGCGCTGGCCGCTTGCCAGGTGGTTTTTAACTATTTTATAAGTGTAATTTCACTTAGCGCTCCACAGCTTTACAAGGCGGATGTTGTTATGAGCGTGGTTTACGCATGAGGAAAGCAGGTGCTCAGCCCGAGGCTGGTCTCCCAGAGCCTTTGCACCCCTTTCATTCCCATCCCAACCTGCTTCCTTAAAGCTCGAAAGCTGTTGTAGTTGTTAGAACAGTGTGTGTTTTTCTCATAAGAATATCATGGGCTTAGTGTAGAAAATACAAGCAATGAAAAAAAAGGGAATAAACCACTTGTAGCCTTGCCTTGCCTAGTGTAGATCACCACTGTGACATTTGGGCATCCCTGGTGGTCTCTGTATCCTCAAGAATGTGCTGAGTGTAAGCTTATGTCAGTGTGCTATGGGGGGAGGGTGGGCAGGAACCTGAAGCTGAAGCCGTGTCTCTGTTGTCCTTCTGCTCCTCTCTGTTTCTCCACTGTGAAGCCAGCCCTGGCCTGGGTGACACATGAAGGAACAGCTTCTGGACCACTATTGGAGCCCCACGGGGACCTGTCTCACCTGGCTCTGTCCATAGCTCATGCAGGTCCTCCAATGTGTCTCTAGTGAGCTTCATCATCTTCATATAAACAGGACCACTGCTGGCGCCAGTAGACAGGCTGCCGGGCTGTCAGAGGAGAATATTTGGGTGACATAGAAGTTTCCTGGAAGGATGTTGCTCTGTGGAAGAGTGTTTGAGGAGGTTTACTTAGGATTAGGTCTTCCTGGGCCTGGCTTAGTGGTGCTCAGGACTGCTGTGCAGGGGCTGCCTTCCTCCTCCCTGGGAACAGGGATGTCGGGTCAGAATCTCCATCCAAATAACCAGGAGGCAAGATCACAAGAGTGGTGTTAGTACCCCACTGAAGAGTGCAGGCACAGACCCGTCTGATCTCCTTCACCTATAGACAGTACTCACCAGGGCTCGGAATGAAGGACTGCCCCCCCAAAACTCTGGGTTCTGAGAGCCACTTGCTTGAGGAAGGAAGGGACCTGAGGGCCAGTGGGGGTGGCCCTCAGGGCATCCAGCACCCTTTGGCACCTTTGCAAGGTCTTCTGACATCCTACCTCACTTGATAGTCAGAAGGTCTGGGTGAAAAGTGCCTAGTTCCTGGATCCCTAGCTGAGCAAGCCATGGAGCCAGGTGAAGGACAGCTGCGTTCCATGCTGGTCTGCATGCTGGGGTCCTTGCTGAGTGGGGCATAGGAGGCCCTGAAGTGGTACGTGAAATGCCAGCCCTGTAGGAAGTAAAACTTGGCCACACCATTCTGCTTCTCACTCAGCTTCACTGAGAGTCTAGAAAGTTGCAAATTTAGTTCTGGATGCTGCAGATACAGCCACAAGCAAAGCAGACTCCATGGCTGGGAAACAGCAGACAGTGAAGGCAGGGAGAAGTGCTGTGGGGAGAAAGGGCAGGAGGGCAGTGGACATGTGGAACAGGGAAGGAAGTTAGGAGTCCTCCCATAAGTGAGCAGCAGGTGCAGTCCATGCGAGCGGAGGGCAGAGGCTGGGGCCGTGTGAGATACGCTTGTGCTGCTGGTAGGTGAGGCTTAGGGGAGGTGGTGCTGTGACTGGGCTTTGGCCAATAACTGTGGTGCAGGAGCTTAGGTGAGGGGTGGGCTGGGCCTGCACCCCTGCTCAGGAAGGAGATGAGGTGAGGACCTAGGATCAGGACTCATTGGAAGGTGGGCCCAGATTGGCTGCAGGTGGGCTTTGGGTGTCCTTTGAGATACTCCTGAGTTGTGGCATATGTTCACAGCCCTTTGCCCTTTTATAATGAGTGTGCTATGGAAGGAGCCAACCATGGTCAGGTGTTGCTGGAATAGCCCCTTTGGTGGCCCTGAGTGTACCTAGTCTAGGTGGCCTAGGTTCATCCTGAGAATGTAGCCTTTTGCTGCTGGAAGCCACACAAGGTCTGGTGGTCTCTTGGTTTAGGGTTGTGAATCATAGAGCTCTGCAATTCTCACCCACTCCTCACCCCCTACCTCCATCTCCCAGGATCTAGAGGGAGAGTTGCAGCACTGCAGAAGAGGCATGTGGGCCTTTTTGGGGGAGTCAGGTTTTTTTTGTCATAGGTTTTATAAATTGAGGTGAAATTCACACAATAAAAAGCTAACCATTTTGAAGTGAACAGTCCACTGGCATCCGTGTTGTGCAGACAACCTCATTATGGCTCTGAAGTGTTTGCACCACCCAAGGAGGAAACCCATATCCATTATGCAGTCACTCCACGTTCCCCTGGCAAAACTGATCTGTGCTCACTCCGTGGGTCTGCCTCTTCTGGATGCTTGACATTGGGAAAGGGTGTGGACACGCGTGCCTCTCTCTCCTGCCCAGCAGCCTTGGGGCAGCCCTCTGCCTGCCTGCCTGCCTGCCTGACATCAGGTGCCCTCTGACTGTATGATGTCTCATGCTCTCTGCCTGATGTCCTGTGCCCTCTGCCTGTGTGACATAGCATCCCTTCCGCCTGCTTGCCTGACATCGTCAGTCCACTATCTGCCTGACATCCTGTGTCCACTTCCTTCCTACCTGACATCCTGTGCCCTCTGTCTTTGCAGCTGCTGACTACAGGTCCATTCTGAACATTAGTGACGAGGCAGACAGGGCACGGGCCCTGGACCAGCACCTCAGCACGCGTAGCTATGTCCAGGGGTACTCACTGTCCCAGGCAGATGTGGACGTGTTCAGGCAGCTTTCAGCCCCGCCCTCGGACTCGAGGCTCTTCCACGTGGCTCGGTGGTTCAGGCACATAGAAGCGCTCCTGGGTGGCCCCTGTGACAAAGTCGAGCCCTGTGGGCTCCAAGCAAGTGAGTAACAGTGGCTTCCCTGCCATTAGAACCTCTGCTCCAAGGTCAAGGACTTCCTTCATCGTTGTATGGGTACTTGTGCAGCAGAGCAGTGGATGTTGGGCAGGACAGAAGCTGTGCTCACTAGGTAAAGGATAGGACAGTGCCAGGTACCGGTAGCTCACCCCTGTAATCCTAGCTACTCAGAAGGCAGAGATCAGGAGGATCGGGGTTCAGAGCCAGCCTGGGCAAATAGTTCTCGAGACCCCCTATCTTGAAAACACCTAACACAAAAAGGGCTGATGGAGTGGCTCAAGGTGTAGGCCTCAAGTTCAAGCCCCGAGACCTGTGAAAATGGTTCTTCAGTAACAAGACGTTCTCATCATTGGCACAGCAGAGCCACTCAGTGGGGGGAGGGCCCAAGGGGCCACCTGGGGCCATGCAGCGTGTTGGACTACAGGCTCTAGGCTGGGTGCCCTGACTTGACTTGGTTCTTTTCTTTATTCTTATTTATTTATTTATTGGGATCACTGAGGATTGAACACAGGGCCACGCGCTTGCTAGGCAGATGCGCTTACCCCTTGAGTCACTCCGCCATCTGTTTTCTTTATTGTTTTCATAAGACTGTAGTGTGTGTCTCTCCACATGTGATATCATAAAACCCTAAAGCCGTATTAATTGGCATTGAACCTTTTAAAAATCAGAAACCAGTCTAGTTTCAGTACTTTGAGATGAAGTCAGTCATATGGTTTCGCCCACTGTCTGTGAGTACTGCTGTGTCCTTGGTGGGAAGGCACTGCTGGAGGGGCTAGGGCATGGGCTGGGGTTTATCATCTTGTCTGGCATCCAAGGGTGCTCCCTTCCATAGCTGCCTGAGGCCCATGAGCCCTCTGCTTGTGGCCGTGGGATAATCCCTCCTCTATGCAGGGCAAGCCGAGTGCTGACTTCTGGTGGTCCCCACTTGAGGCCTCCTGGGGGCTTTCCGGACTCAGGGTAGGGGATTTAGAGCATGCAGAGGAGTTGGCAAGTCTCTAGGGTCAGACTGTGTCTTGGTTTTCTGAGTAATCCTGCAGCAAAATTTCTAGCACCAGAGGTATGGCTGTGTGAATTGTCTCCTCCCCTAGACAACTTCTTCTGTCCTTGCATCTAGTAGTGACCCTGGTGACATCTGCGGTGTCAGGTGCCTTCTCCAAAGAGCTCAGGGGTCAGCTTGTCCCCATGCCATGCTCTACCTCCAGTTGTGGTGCTGGGAACAAGATCAGGGGAATGGGATTGGGGGGACCTAGGTACCCCAGAGAAGGGCAGTCTGGGCCCCAGCCTCAGCAGGGCCTGTCCAGGCTTCTTTCGCAGACCTTGGAAGAGTGGAGCAGATCCATCCCAGGATGCCTCCTTTTGCTAGGAGGCAAAGAAGAGCTCTGCTCTTCAAAGGACTTTTGACCTACAGAGAGGGAGACTGCTCACTGCAGTCACTCTGCTGCCTAACGGGGTTGCTCCGAGGCACTCAGGCAGGTGGAAGCATGGACTGTGGACGGCATTAATAGGCTCGTACTGCCTATATGACCACCAGGACCACATATACCCAGGGAAGACGTGAGTGAGGTCAGTGGCCCCTGCACAGAGCTCACATGAGCCAGGGCTGAAGGCAGAGGTGGGGGCTGGAGCCTGGGATGCCACTCGCTGTCCAGTGGCTTTAGGTCTCAGATCTCTCAGAGTTCCAGTGTCCCCACCCACATCCCTGGGTTGGCAGTACCCAGGCAGTACCTCCATGTCGATGTGGAAATCAGAGCCTTGCCCTGATTTCAGACATCTCTCTCCTTCTCACCCCATTCCCTAATACTGTCCACCTTTCCTCCTAGTAGAGTGGGAAGTTTTCCCTGCTGGCTGCTCTGTGCATCAGATATGCCCACATCTGGCCCTTGGGGCACCTTCACTGGCCTCTCCCTTGTGCTGTCTGTGTCCTCCCCACAAGGCCAAGGCCATAGCTGTAAAGATGCCCTCAGACATAGAAATTCAGGGAGCTCTGCTCAATCCTCACAGCTCCTTCCCCTGAAACCAGGCCCTTTCTACGGATCAGCCCCTTCCTCCCTGTTCTGTCTCTCTGCTTCTTCTGTCCTTCTTCCTGCCACCCTGTCAGCCTTCTTTCTGTGGCTCCAGCACAGAGGTCCACTTGATTTCAGGTCCTTGAACTTGCTCAGTGGCCCTCACCCAGACCTGGGGCTCTGCTTCTGAGGAAGATGTACCCTTCACTGAGGAAAGGCACAGGTCTTCTGGAAGCTGAGGCCATGTCTGGAGAAGATGTAAGTTCAGCATTGCTCTCCCAGCAGGCAGCCCTCAACCTCGTGGTTAAGTTTTCTTGGTGGAGGTGAGCTCCTGGCAGGTTAGTGCTTCCTGGCAGCTCCTCCATCCTTTCACCTTCAGTCTTCCCACTTCCCGTTTTCTAGGCACAGCTGTCCTCAAAATGTGACGCTGTCCTATTGTTTTTGGGGTTATTGGGTCAGGGACACTGTTTCAACACTGTTCACATGCCCAGACAGTTCCTGACCAGGGCATGTTTGTGTCTGTGTTTGTGGAGTGACACCATCTCAGAAGGAGCCACACAAAGGCTGACAGCATGCTTGGAGAGGCACAGGGTCAGTGGCAAGGATTGGCAGATTGTGGGGCATCAGGCAGCGTTGGGAGAGTCTCACTAAATTAAGCCGGGGACTTGTGGAGGGAGCAGAGGATTGTGAAAGTCAGGCCTCTCTTGTCTCTCCCTTTTGCAGATCTGAATTCATCTCTGCCATATGTCCTCAGAACCCAGGACCAGGGGAGCTGGAAGTCAGATGGTGGGCCAGCATGTCTGGGAGGGCTCTCTCGGGCATGCTGCTCTGGGAACCACCTTTAGTCAGTGCTGCAGTCCTTTCATGTTTCCGGAGTTACAGGGTTTTAATGAGCAAGGACAGCGGCAGAATCATAAAAAAACAGCAGTTGAGCACCATCAAGTCAAGGAAGGAGGTTTTTCTTCTAGGGTATTTGCTGCATCAAAAGTGGGCTTAAAGACTGCACTTGAGCCTAGTGAGCACCTGGTACTTGGTTACAAATTTGAGGTTTTCCTTGCTCGGAGTTTGTGTCTACCTGTGATGATGCCAGAGCTCTCCACACAGTATGCTGTCTTTCCTCACCCTCACCTCTTATTTACTACGTCCTGCACCCTGGCCAGGGCAAGGGTGGGACCTGGAAATGGCCGGGGGCCAGAACGAGTTATCCTTGACCCTCAAGCTGGGAACCAGCAGGACACCCACTGGCCTCATTCAATAGATTTGAGTGGGGCCCATTCAGGTTCTTACCTGTGGCAGGGGACAGGAAATGAGCCCCTATGAGCCAAACTGGCAAGCAGCCTGGTAGGGAAGACGGGAACAGGTCTGTATGAGACCTTCCCTTGTGGAGGTTTCTGCAACTGAGCTTGGGGGGGTGGGGGGGGAGGAGGGGGGCGAGGCCCTGCCTGGGGTCATGTACCATGCTGAGGTGCATTGAGTCTGCCACAGTGACTGAGTGAGACCCAAGTGCACAGCTGAGGTGCCGGGCTTGTTTCTGAGTAGGGCCAAGGAGGAAGGTGAGCAGGCTCACAGAGCAGGATGGAAAGTCACCAGGGACTCAGGTCAGCTTTGCAGGACTGACTGTGTGGGGTGTGTGGTTTCTCCTCCCTGGGAACAGTTGTACCTCTCAGACATGCAGACCGAGTACAGCCTTTTCCAGGGCTTGAAGCAGGTCTGTCTTGGAGAGAAGGGTCCACATGCCCAGGACACACCAGTGTGTAGGCAAGTGATCTGGGAGAAGAAGACTGAGCTCGGGGTATGCCAAGCAGTGAGGATAAGCCTGAGGGTCGGGGTACAGGCGTGTATCCAAAGGTCAGAGTCAGCCAGGCTACAGGACGAGCACTGACAGCTGGCCCCTTGCTGCCCAAGTATGAATGAGGATGGCCTGGAGGCCATTCTTCCATGGCCTGCCCGGGCCATGAGGAGTAGCTGCTTGTGCCTGACACTTGGCCTTATTGCACCCAGAGACAAGGTGGCTCCAGAACACCTTTTGTAATCTGTGTCCCACAAAGCCCCTGTGAACTCTCACCTTGCCCAGGTGAGGGCTCCTGGGAGGTGGCAGCAGCCAAGGTGGCAAGAGCAAAGCCAGTGTCACATCAGCATGTGGGGTCAGAGGACACCATGCCCATCTAACCCACAAAAGTGGGCAGCATTGCACAGTGAGCAGAGGTGTGGGTTTTAGGGCATTGGGACTCACTTGTGCACACATAGGCATTCTTTGGTCACACTGGAGATTCAGGTTGCCATTGGAATGCCATGCCACGCAGGGCATGATCAAAGCCAAAGAGACTCATATCACCCAATGTTGCTTTACTGAAAATCACAGGTCTTGAAATGCAGTGGTGACCTGCATGGGTTTTTGAGTGCCACATGTGACCTGTCTGCTCTCTGCCTCCAGGTAAGGGCCGGCGAGTGCAGCCTCATTGGTCCCCCCCATCTGGGACTGAGCCATGCAAACTCCGCTTGTACAACAGCCTCACCCGGAATAAGGTAAGGAAGGTCTGATGGAATGGTGTGTACAAGAAGGGGTGAGATGCCCCATGTCTTGCAGGGAGCACAGTGTTATCTGTTTACCTTGTGGGCTCCAGACTCCCTCCAGTCTAGGTTCAGAATCCTTCAGTTAGTTCTGTGCTGTCGCCTCTGCAGCCCAGGGCTAGTGCTGTACTCATGCATGATGCCTCAGGGAAACTGGCCTGTTGGCTTCCAGCATGGATTACCTGCTGGTGTCCTGACTGCCCAGGCATGGGTGCTGGAGGTCATTCTTAGCCATGCCAATGCTGACAGGTTTTCAGGAAGACGTGTGGTTGCAGCAGGCAGATCAGTCAAAGTGGTGAGCCTGCCAGGTGTTGTCAGCACCCAATAGGCTTAGAGAAGCCCCTAAGTGGAATTGGTGTGATTTGTTCTGTTCGAGCTGTGGCCAGTGGCTCTGGGGTTTCAAAAAGGGCTGCAGTTGTGGGCTGGTGAATTTTTGAGCAGCAAGCACATTCAGTGGGCAGGGAAGCAGTTCATGGTCTCTTTGTGGAACTCATTGACAATGATGCTCTCAAAGAAGCCTGAGAGTGTTGGGATGCTCTGGCCTGCAAGCCAAGCTCCTCCTGCAGGGCTGAACTCTGGCCAACCACCCTAAGCCTCGATTTCTTCACCTGGAAAGGAGACAGCACACTGACTTTCTAAGATAGCAATCGTAGGAACAGGTGGGATTCAGTGTGAGCTCTTGGCTCAGGGTAATGGCTATTAGCAGCATTTGTTGTTAAATAAGCAACATTTCCACAACAAATCGAAATTTTATTCCTTTTGTCACCATGCTCAAGAGGAGCAGGGTCCCAGGGAGGAAGGGGCCCAGGTTCCCCCTGCCTGGGCAGAGGACAGTGCTGAGACACTCTCACTGGACTCCCACCAGACTGCCCTGACTTTCCAGTAAAGCAAAATGGTCTTGCTTGGCATGGATACTTGTGATCCCAGCACTCAGCAGGCTGTGGTAAGAGGATCATGAGTTTAAGTTCAGCCCGGGCTACATAGCGAGACACAATCTCAAAAAAAAAAAAAGATGGTACAGTGGCTCATGCCTATTTAATCCTAGCTACTTGGGAGGCTGATTTCAGGTGGATCACCATTCAAGGACAGTTCAGACAAAAAGTTTGTGAGACTCCCATCTCCAAAATAACCAGAGCAAAATGGACTAGAGGTGTAGCTCAAGTGGTAGAGCACCTGCTTTGCAAACACAAAGCCCTGAGTTCAAAACCCAGTCCTCCCCCCACAAAAAAAATGGTGGTACTTGGTGAATCTGTTTATAAAGAACAAACCAGTGTGATATTTGTGTTCTTTTTGATGCTCCTGTGCAGTTTCTTGAGTTTCTTGTGATATCATTCCTTCATTTCTAACAAGGACGTGTTTATACCTCAAGATGGGAGAAGGGTGACGTGGTACTGCTGTGGTCCAACCGTCTATGACGCATCTCACATGGGGCATGCCAGGTAGGGCCTGACCCTGTGAGGGACCTATAGAACACAAAGGACACCCAGAGTCCCTTGGTCACCACCCTGGACTCCACCCAGACACGTTCCCCAGGGACCTTGATGTTTTCCTCACCCCTCCAGCTCTGGGGTCCTCACCCGGGTGGGTGTGCGGGGTTTCCATGAGTGTGGTCACAGAATCCTTTTACTTATACAGCTTGAGTTTTCCTTACCCAAAATGGTTGGGACCAGAAATGTTAGATTCAGGGTTTTTTAGATTTTGGAATATGTGCATATATATAATAAGATTTCTTGGGAATGGGGCCCAAGTCTAAGCACAAAATTCATTTGTTTCATATACACCTGATACACATGAACTCAAGGTAATTTTATATAGTTTTTTTTAAAACAATTTTGTGCAAAGTTCCATGGTGTGGAATTTTCCATTTGTGGCATGATATGGGCTTTGGATTTTGGAGTATTTCAGATTTACAGGCTAGGGATGCTCAGCCAAGCTCATGTGCAGTGTGGGCCCCTTGAAAATGAGTGCTTTCCACTTCCTAGGTCCTACATCTCTTTCGATATCTTGAGAAGAGTACTGAAGGATTATTTCCACTATGACGTCTTTTACTGCATGAACATCACAGACATTGATGATAAGGTAAGGGGAGTGATTTACATTAAAACTTAAATACGAATGGGTAATAGGAGAGAAGATAGGACTTTTGGATAAGTAAGTAAAATGGGATAGGCTTGAGCTAACACAGATCTGACCTGGTAAACACTGTCTGAATCCCTCAATGCACCAATAATTACAGTGTGTGCAAACGCAGAGTCACTTACACAGATGTATAGATGCTGCTTGCAAAGCCTGCACATTGAGAGAGCAGGTTGGTTAAGAGTCCATTACCCTATAAGTGCTTTATGGAAGGAAGCCCTGCTCTGTCTCTGGCTCTCCAGGAAGCTGGGGTCCCAGAGGCCTGTTCCTTAGGCACCTGGAAGTTCTCAGTAGACCTCAGGCTCGCTGGGCAGATGGGAGATGGAGGGCAGTGTTGGTGTTCTATAGTTCCGCACTGATTGGGACCCATAGTTGTCTCTGCACCTCCCTCACTGTGACTCCACTGCTGAACACGGGGTGAGCATGGCTCTGAGCAGGATTGGTCTTCCTGCTTTTGCAGATCATCAGGAGGGCCCGGCAGAACTACTTGTTTGAGCGGTATCGAGAGCAGAAGCCTTCGGCTGCCCAGCTGCTGGAGAATGTTCGCGCTGCCCTGAAGGTGGGCCCCATGCCCTGCTTGAGACTCCCTCTTTTCCGCTGCCTCCCACTCTCCCTGCCTTCTGCTCTTGGCTGTCACACACTTGTAGATCACTGTCCCAGAGTGGCACCTCTGCGGCAGATGTTTATAAAGCAGGACTCGAGTCAGCTGCATCAGAGGCACCTGCCTCTGATGTGGTCCCTGGCCTGTGAGAAAGTCACCAGGCCAGGTGTGCAGGAATGGTGTGTAGAGTAGATGGCGTTCCTGCCACTTACGGAAAGCGTCTGATCCTTCTCAGTGCTGCCGATCCCCTCAACTCTCCAGTCCTCAACATCAAGGTTACGTCTAGGCTAAGACCTACTTCTGACCGAGATGCAGAAGCTGTGCTGATCCTATTAAAGTCATATTACCTTCACAATACCATAAATTTTCAGAATTGTGGAAGAAGCTAATCTCTCCAATCTAATATTTTCACTCTGAGTAAGCACTGTTACAAATGCTTAGTTATTTGTATTACATAGAATGAGCAGAAATCAAGCCATTTTATTCTCTTTAATAATTTCAAGTCATCTTAACTAATTATAGTAATAGTTACTAATATGTTTATGCTATTTTATGTCAAAAAGGAAAAAAGACATGAAATTAGAGCACATCTGTCTTTTGGGCTGACTGAGTTGGGCCTGCTGGGCTGTGGGGGGCTGCCTCACTTCTCAGGGATTGCTGGATGTTCGAACCTCGTTTAATCCCCAGACCAGCTCTCACCCCTACTGTGCACAGGGACAACTGGCACCAAATGCTTAAGTGCCCTGCCCAGTCCCACCTGGGGAGAGGGCAGCATCTGGTCTGCTTGGTCTTAGGGTCTGGGGCCTCTTGAACCTTGAATCAGCCTCAGAACCCAGGTTTCTGCAGTGTCTAACAGACGTCATGTCCTTGTACTTGTAGCCATTCTCAGTGAAGTTAAGTGAGACCACAGATCCTGACAAGAGGCAGATGCTCGAACGCATCCAGCAGGCAGTGACACTGGCCACAGAGCCACTCAAGCGAGCCGTGCACTCTAACCTTGCTGGAGAGGAAGTGGACCGCCATGCAGAGGTGAGCTCCTCTGCATGCAAATCAATACATTCTACACAGATCAATCTGCATTCAGAGTAAATACCCTGAGCCTGTGGTTGGGCAGCCCCATCATGACCTGGTAACCCTGTTCTTGGGTGGCTAAGTCAGTGCCCCTTCCATCCAGGACCGTCCATTCCCAGGGCCACTGGAATGGGACCTGGGATCCACATGAGTCCCATCCTGCCCCTCCCCTGGTGCTCCTTCCCACCCACGGTTTCTGCCTAGAACACAGTGGAACAGCCTTGTCTTGTTCCACAATTATCCAGTGGACCCTCTTCATCATTTCTTGGTAGTAGCAACTGGAGAAAGAGAAGCCAGGGCTTGAACAGCAGCAGCTATGGGTACCTGTGGGATTGGGGCCATCAGGCTGCTGAAAAGGCCTCCTTCATCCAAAAGTGAGGGCACGGGCTTACAGGGTGCTGTGCCGTCTTCCTCCCTGGCCTTCCCTTAGGACCAGTACCCTGGATACACAGGAGGGCCCGTCTCCATTCTGCCAGCGCCCCCTGATGGCCACTTGTGAATCAACAGAAAAGAGAAACAGCATAGCTGAGGGTCATGGTGCTGCAGGAGGTCCAGACCTCAGCAGTGCTCATCGTCACAGTTGCCATGTCCCCTACCTCGCCCTGTTCCCTGGGCCCACCTCAGCCTGCCATTCTACCATTTGCTCACATTTTTCTCTTTAGTTATCTCTTCTGTCCTCACACTGCATACCACTTGGGTGTGCTGTTTCTGAGCTTTATAAAGACAGGTCCTGTGATGGTCTCCCGGCCGTGAGCTTTCACTCAGGCTGTTTCTGAGATGGACCACATGCAGTTGAGGTCCTTCCTCCTGTGCATACCTTGGGGCACGCTGCTCACCTGTGCTTCTGAACCCCGAGGTCAGGTGACCTCGTTACCAACAATGCTGACATAAAGCCTTTTCCCCAATTGTTCCAATACCTTGTAAAAAAAAAATTGTGGTAAAATATACATAACATAAAATTCCCCTTCTTCGACATTTTAAGTGCCCAGCTCAGGGGTATTGAGCATCTTCACGGTGCTTCTCAGCCATTGCCACTGTCCACCTGCAGGATTTCCTCATCTGCCCACACTGCAGCTCCGTCCCACTGAACACCAACTCCCCATCTCCCTCCCAGCCCCTGGCACCCACATCCTACTCTCTGTCTTTATAAATGTGACTGGTCTAGGGACTGCAGTGAGCAAAATCCCACGGTATTTATCTCTTTGTGTCTGGCTCATTTCACTCATTGTGAAGTCTTTAAGGTTCATCCATGTTGGAGCACATGTCAGATTTCCTTCCTTTCTAAGGCTGAATAACATTCGTTTGTATGGATGGCCACTTCTTGGTTATCAATTGTCCTGTCAGTGGGCACTTGGGTTGTTCCCACCTGTTAGCTACTGTGAACACGGGTGTGCAAATGCCTGCTCACACCTTGGCTTTAGTTCTTTTGTAGATGCTGAGCAGTGGGATTGCTGAGCCATACAACAGTTCTGTTTTTAGTATTTCGAGAAGCCGTCATACTGTTTAACAGCAGTGCGTGAGGGTACGGTTTCTTCACATCCTTTTTTTTTTAATCTTTTTTTATTCATTTATTCACATGTGCATACGTTGTTTGGCTCATTTCTTCCCCCTGCTCCCTACCCGCACCCCACCTCGATTCCAGGCAGAACCTGTTCTGCCCTTATGTCTAATTTTGTTGAAGAGAAGGCATAAGCATAAGAGAAACAAAGCGTTTTTGCTAGTTGAGATAAAGACAGCTGTACAGAGATTCCTAGCATTGCTTCCATGTACAAATGTGTTACAACCCAAGTTGATTCATCTCTAACTGATCTTTATGCTGGTTCCTGTTCTCCTTCTTGTGTTGACCTCTGTTGCTTTAAGGTTTCTGTATTGGCTCCTCTGGAGCAGGGACATCAAACACTTTCATGTTTTGGGTTTTCTATGTATCCCCATACCTCCCATATGTGCTCTCCCCTTGTCATGTGACCCAAGTCCAACAGCATTGCTGTATTTGCCCTAGATCTAAAGTCCGCATATGAGGGAGAACATATGAGTTTTGGTCTTCTGAGCCAGGGTGACTTCACTCAGAATGATGTTCTCCAGTTCCATCCATTTACTTGAGAGTGATAAGATTTCATTCTTCTTCATGGCTGAGTAGAATTCCATTGTGTATAGATATCACATTTTCTTAATCCATTCATCAGTAGTGGGGCATCTTGGCTGTTTCCATAATTTGGCTATTGTGAATAGCGCTGCAATGAATATGGTGTGCAGGTGCCTCTGGAGTAACCTGTGTCACATTCCTTTGGGTGTCCCCAGAAGTGGGATTGCTGGATCATATGGCAGATCTGTGTTTAGATTTTTAAAAAGTCTCCAAATTTTTTTCCAGAGTGGTTGCACTGGCTTGCATTCCCAATGCTGCTTCTTCTCTGTCTCTTTGCAATAGCCATCCTTGTAGAGGAAGATAGCCTCTGCTTGAGGGTTTGGCTTGCATTTCCCTGATGGCCGGTGATGCTGAGCATCCTTGCCCAAGCCAGGAGCTGTAGCGTGTTGCCTCTGGCCACACAATTGTAAGAGCTGCCTCAGGCCATAGCCCTGGGAATGGAATTGCTGGGTTGTAGAACATGTATTTGATTGTGCTCAATACTGCCTGCACGTTCTGGGCCTCTCAGGAGACACAGGAGTCAGCACCCAGTTGTCGTCTCATCTGAGGATTGTTATAGCCACATGGTGAGGACATCCAGCAGGACAGGAGTCTATAAGCAGGCCATGATGTGCCCTGGGCAGGAGACAGATCCTCCAGCCACGAAATGAGCTGTTTCTCCCGGCTCAGGCTGCAGTTCTGACTCCCAGAAGCAAGGCCAGGTCCTTCCCACAAACCACAGCATTGTGCAGAGTTCTTGGGCACTGCAGGCAGGCGTCCCGGCCACTCAGTGGAGGGCTCCTACAGCTGCAGCCGGCTTTCCTCGCTGTGGCAGCCACCTGCTGCCAATCCTTCCTGCCTGTGCAGACTGCCCCCGACACACACCATGTCTCCTCACCTGCTTGTGATCAGTCGTGACTCTGGCACCTGACTTGCCCCTTCCCCTGGAATTGTTGGTTTTTTCTGAGTGGTTTGTAAGCATGCTCTTATATGCTAAACTTCTGTCATTTAAATGTTTTGCTACCATTTCCTCCCAACTAGGAGCCTTCCTATCCACTTTCTTTAAGTGAACAGAGAGGAATTAAATTTATCCCTTCTTTCTTTGTGTGTGTGTGTGTGTGTGTGTGTGTGTGTCTGTGTGTGTGTGAGTGACATCAGCGATTGATGCCAGGGCCTTATACATGCTAGGCAAGCGAGTGTTCTACCATTCAGGTATACCCAGAGCCCTTTTTCATATTTATTTTGAGACAGGTTGTTGCTAAGTTACTCAGACCAGCCTTGAACTCTCAATTCTCCTTCAACCTCCCAAATGTAGGTATGCACAACTACACCCAGCTTACATGTTAACATTTTTGCATGTTAAGAAATCTGCTTGCAGGTATTTGTGGTGCACACCTGTAATCTCAGCACTCAGGAGACAGAGGCAGTAGGGTTGAGAAGTCTAGGCCAGCCTGGGCTAGATAGCATGACCCTATCTCAAAAAAAAAAAAAAAAAAATTAAGGCCACCTGTGTGTCATCTTTGCTACTTCCACAAATTTTGACATTACTCACTTTTGAACAACTTTTAATTTCCGGTTTGTCTTTTTTAAACCCAGCACTTATCTAGAGATGTGATTTTAATTCCCAGGTAATGGACTTTTCAGATTGACTTATTGATACCTACATACAACTCAGTAGCCCAGTGGTCAGTGCATGTCTGGCTGTGCTGGGTCTGAGCAGGTGCTGGCTGTACTGTGGGCTCAGGTTTCAAAGGCTCAATAGTGCCAGAGAAGATTTTTGTATTCTGCAGTGACCAGTGCCCAGTTCTCTGCATCACCCAGCTGGTCCTGCCTGTGAGCCTTGCTGTGTCTTTGCCGATTCCTTTGCCAGCTCAGCCAATTTACACAGCGATGCTTAAAGTCAGCATAGCCGCAGTCCTCCTCTGAGGTAGAGGCGCCGTGTCTCCTGGTCCAGCACTGTTTCTCAGAGGGCTTGTTTTCTTAGCAGAAGTGAGCTGTATACACCTCCCCCCCAACCTCCTCATCATCAGCTTCTGCCTCAGCGCTGCCTTTGCTGTGACCCAGGGCTGCCACCCAGAGCCTCTGTTCCACATCAGATGTACAACAACACGGATCCATCATCACAGCATCCCACAGAGTGGTGCCATGTCCTAAAAGTCCTTGTGCTCCCCTGTTCACCCTGCCTCCCTCCACCCCTGGCTACCATTAATCTTAGTGTCTCCGTGGCTTTGCCTTTTCCAGAATGTGGGAGTTGGAATCACGCAGCATGTGCCTTTTCTCACTGAATTCTGTTCAAAATAGGAGAAATCAATGTCCCTCCAGCTCTCACTCAGTGTAGGACACTCTACTTCTGGTCACCAAAATGTGGGAGATCACCTCCTCCTCCGATACACACATAGTCAGTCCCAAGTACCACAAACTGGGCATCCTACAGGTGACTCCGTGCTGACACTGTCTGCTTGGAGATGGTGGCAGATTGCCTGGTTCGTGCTACCCCACTTAAGATACTAGCCACAAGCAGTATGTTCTCCCTAACTTGTGACCTATCAGCTGTCATGACAGGGCCCCCATGATTCCTCCTCAGGTCCGTTGATTTGCCAGAGCAGTTCACAGAGGTCAGGGAATGCAAGCGTTCTCTGGAGTATTAGAAAGGACGTTACAAAGGACCCAGGTAGACAGCAGGTGAGGAGATGAAGGGGTGGTACATGTGGAAGGAGTGTGCAGCTTCTGTGCCTCCTCCAGCCTTGTCCTTTAGAGTTTTTGGGAGTTTTGTTGGTTTTTGAGAAAAGGACTTGCTGTATTGCCTGGGCTGGCCTGGAACTCTCGGTCCTCCTGCCTCTACTTCTCAAGTGCTGGGATGTAGGGTTTCACCCCCACACCCAGCTTCCTTTGGGTTTTTGTGGAGACTTCATTATGTAGGCATAATGGCTACTCAGTCATGGCCACCGTGGAGGCTCAGCTCAGCCTTCAGCCCTCTCCCCTTCTTGGAGGTCCAGAGCTGGTACTGAGAGCTCCCTCCCTCTAATCCTACGCTGGGTCTCTTGGCAGCCAGCCCCGCTCAGGGGCATACCTAGGTGTAGCTTTTGCATTTGTCCTGCCTGGTGTTCTCTGTGCTGTGGTGTCTGATGGTAATTTGGGGACACACTCGTCATCGGTGCTGCAAACATTGCTTCTGGCCTTCCGCTCCTCCCACCTTCTGTACTTATCCCATAGTCCCTGGATATTCTGTTCTTGCCAGCCTTTGTTGCTTTTGCTTTCAGTTCTGGAAGTTTGTAAGGGTAGGGATCCCTCAGCCACATCTGGCCGCCGCTGTGCCCATCAAGGATGCTCTTCATTTCTGTGATAGTGTTTCTGTTGTTCTTTCTCAGAATTTCCACCCCTGCTCACGATGTCTATATGCTTTTGCATGCTGCCTGCTGGATCCATTAGAGCCCTTTGCATGTTAACCTCAGTTGTTAAACTCCCTGTCTGATAATTCCAACATCCCTTCCATGTCTGGTTCTGATGCTTGCTCAGTCTCTTCACACTGTGGCTTTGCCTTTTAGTATGCCTTGAATTTTTTGAGGGCTGGGCACAATGCTGTGAGTAAGAGGAGCTGCCTGAAGCAGCCTTCAGTGGCAGGGGGGGAACAGTCACACATTCTGGAGATCCGTGAGTAATGGCTACATCTTCCTCTCCTGGGAGCTGTGCCCTACACTGTGGCTCTCGCAGATGCTCCTCAGTTTTGCCCACATATCTGGAACAGGATGGCTGAGCCGGCTGGGGTTGGGTATTTCTTTCCTCCCTGCTCAGCTGTGATAAAGCTCTAGCTGGCTTTCTGGTTAAGTAGTTCTGCTGAGGTCAATGTCTTGGGCTGTTTTGTGCTGCTATAACAAACACTGTAGCAGGCATGATGGTTCACATCTATAGTCCCAGCACTCTTGATTTGCATCTGGCCAGGGCCTTGTTGCTGCACCATCCTGTGGCAGAAGGCAGAGGGCAGGAGAGGGCATCTGTGGGCAAGACAGACAGAGATCGAACTCACTGCCTCTGGCTGTTTTATGATATTCATTAATCTGCTCACAAGGGGACCTCTTGACCTCCACATTTCCTAACACTGTTGCCTTGGCGGTTACTTTTCCAACTCATGCTTTGGGGGACACAGCAGACCATGGCTGGCAGGCAGGCTTCTTCATTTCAGAAAAGTCCTCTTCTCTTTGTCCTGCAGAAGCATGAGGGTAGGTTTTCCTCAGTCTTCACTGTGATCAGGCTCCCACAGGTAACATTCAAAATAGTGTGGCTCCCATGGCAAGTCCTCCCTAAGCCTTACTTTACCATTTAGCCATTCAGTTGTGGCTCTCCTGCACTGCCCTGGTCCCCACAGCCAGGGCACGTGTGTGCTCTGGTGAGCTGCGCCTCCACACACCTGTCCTCTCTTCAGTTCTGGGGCTTCCCGGTGACCTTGCTTTCCTACCAGATCCAAGAAGATTTGTTTCTTTTTCAGTTTGTTTGCCTTTTACCTGCTGTGAGAATGGAATGGCGGTTTCCAGACATCTTATATGGAACTGGAAGCCAGAAGGCTTTATTGCTTTCTTATTTATATATTTAGAGGCTATTTCATTAGGTGTTTCAATCTGAAAATGGTTATTTTTTGCAAGACATTGTATCTTCTCTCATGTGGACCACTCAATTCCTAGACATATCCACAGCTCACTCGATTCCTAGGCATATCTAGCTCACTGTGCTAGATGACTAGCTTTGGCCTGGGGTCCTACCAGCCTCTGTCTTCCCCTGCTACCAGGCTGCCTTTCCCAAGCCTGGACCCATCCTTCTCCCTCTCTCTAGTGCCTGTTGTTTTGCAGTGACTGTTTGAAATCCAACCTCATGCTCTATGTTCAATGGGTGGGCCCAGCCAAGCTGCCTTCAGACTTGCTTAGGCTTCGCATCACCAGTCTGTCTTGACCATTGTGTGGTCGCCACTTTGATCAGTCCCCTTCCCTTCCATGCTATTCCCACACTCTGCCCTGTAGTGCTTCCCTTTGACTTGGTGCCATGCATGTCGCTCAGTAGCACCTCAGGGTAGCTGCCTTTCATGTGGTGCTGGGCATTGAAGTTGTGTGGCCTGAAGTGGTCATTCCTCCCCATCCCAAGCTGCATAGTATATCAGAACACTTTAGTCATGCAGCCCCCAGCTTTCACACTGTTGCTGTCCTAAATCTGTCCTTTCGAGAGCCTTGTGTACTGATGATGTTATTATTCCTTATTTGTTTATTTCATCTGTCCTCTTGCATCTTGGTCTTTTCTTACTGGGATGGTTTTCACTTTCCTGAATTCTGTCTTCTTGACCCACTAGAGGTTCCTGGAGCATCTGGGGTAACGTCACCTGGGCTTGTGAAATGCAGATTCTTGGCCCCACACAGCTTCTGCTGTGTCCCCTACAGCATGAGTTGGAAATGTAACTGCCAAGGCAACAGTGTCAGTTTGTTATAGCAGCATAAAACAGCCAGGCCCGGGGCCTGCCTTCCCATAGCTACCAGGGGTGCCCGTGCTCCACTTTGGTGAATTTGATGTCAGAAAACTGGAAGGGACCAGACTTTGCTGGTGCCCAGGCTTTCTTAAGAACAAGCTGCAGGCCTGGGGGTCTCCGTGCGGTTAGTAGCTGTTAGTCTTCTTCTCAGCACCTGGCAGACCTGAGGACTGCTGGGTTAGAAGTGTTGATGGAAGCTCGGCGTTCCACTGTGCTTTTAAAGAGCTTAGAGCGGTCTCAGCTCAGGCATGGCCAGTTTCTCTGAACACTTGGGGTCCTTCTTCTGTCTGCTGGCCCCAGCTGCTGGCGGAGGTCAAGGACAGGCTGCTCTTCAAATGGCCCCACTGTCTTTTCTGTCTGGCTCCTTGTAAAGTCACTCCCCTGTTTTGGCTCTCTGCTGTTCACTAAAACATTGTAAAAGATTTTGTTTTACTTCTCCTGTCAGATATCTTGTGCTTACCACATGTGGGCATAGTTGCCTCAGTTCTGAGAAGTCCTGTGCTATGTCCCCAGGTATCCCTTGCTCCTTCCTGTTTACCTCTGCCTGGGATTCCTGTCAGTTTCGGGGCCAGCTTCTCCCCTGCCCATTGGGCCTCCTAACTTGGCTTTCCCCTGATCCTCCGGTCTCCACTCCACTCGGAGTGTCATCTTTAGTTCTCTCCTCCTATTCCCATCAGCCAACTCGCCTATCCTCCAGAGCATTTCTGCTTCAGCAACTAGCAGATTTCATCTATGAAAATTCCATTTGTTTCTGTTTTCAAATCTGCCTGGGCCATTTGGATGGCATCCTGTGGACTGCCCTTGCTTGTCACCTTGGGGTTCGAATGTCTTTGTTTCTCTAAACATGTGACACTTCCTGTTTTTATTGTTTGTTAGCTCTTGCATCTGAGTCTCTTGATTATCATCTCTGCTGACTCCCCTCACAGTTGCTCATCCTTGGCCCTTTGGTGACCTTGACTAGGACCTCATTCTCTTACCATAGTCTGGCAGTCCTGAGGCAGAATGCAGATGTTTCCCTGAGAGTCAGGAGGCACCCACTTAGGGCTACCCTTGGAGGGGGGATCTGTCCCTTCACTTGGATCAGGCCCTTTATTTGCCTTCCAGACAGTAGAGCAACAGCCTCTGCCTCGCTGGGGGTGCACGCCCTGCCTTTCTACTTGTCTCCCCCGGTGCCCCACCGTGCCTGGGAGGGATAGCCTGGGAGGGATACGAATGTCCTACAGATTTTCCCTGTCAGGGTGGGGCTGCTGTGTCCCCCTGGTGTCCTCGCTCTCTGCAAGTCATCTTCCTGCACTCTGTTTCTCTCCACTCTTTATTCTTTGCCTCTTGTAAGGCCCCCCCATCCTTGTCACTGCTAGATTGCCATGCTGAAAATGCCAGGTTCGTCTCAGGAAGAGCGAGGACAGCTGCTCCTCTCTGTCGTGAGCATGGTGGGATGCATTCACACCAACAGTGGGAGTGCCGATTCTGTGGATCATGCTGGTCATGCCCTTGAATTCAGGCCCAGACCATGTGTGGCCAGCCCTTTCTCTTTCTCTTTTTAGATATTGCTGGAGGAGGCAAAAGATTTGCTTTCTGACTGGCTGGATTCCACATGTGGCAGTGAGGTGACCGACAATTCTATTTTCTCCAAACTGCCAAAGTTCTGGGAAGGGGAGTTCCATAAAGACATGGAAGCTCTGAATGTAAGTGTCTCGGGTTGTCCTGTCTGAGTCTCAGGCCAAGCTCCTGGTTTCCAAATTCCTGTATTGGTAAAGCCAGAAGGCCTTGTGTCACCCACATCTTCATTTTGCAAGCTCAATTAAGAGGCTAGATGAACACTGAACCTGAGCTAGGGGACATAAAGTTCTTTAAAAAAAAAAAAAAAAAAAGAATTTTCACATTTATTGTCCCCACATATAGATACCCAAAAAATAAATCAGAAACTCAGTGGAAGCCAGTCACAGTGGAGCACACCTGTAATCCCAGCACTCAGGAGGCAGAGGCAGGAGGAACTCAAGTTCACGGCTACATAATGAGACCCTGTCTGAAAAAAAAGTAAAAGGAAGAAGAAAGTCAGGACAAAGGACTCTTGTAAGTCAAGACAAGTCCTTGTTATGATTATCACTAATGCCCCAGAGGGCCCTGGTAGAGAGGAGGAAAGAAAAGGCTGTGTGAGGCTCCCCATTGGACCTTTAGGCACCCTTGGCGCTTCCCCTGCAGGCCTAACACAGGGAAGGTGTGGGTCTTCTGCCCACCATATCTTTCATTCTCATGGCTGTCCCTGAGCCAGGCCTTATCATCCACATTTTGCAGACATTTGGCCCATGATCACAGACAGCTAGTGGGGCAGGGACACAGGTGAACCCACCATCCCCGTAAGTCTGGAATGGGAAGCCTCCATGGCCTGGGCCCAGGGTACTCATCTGTCCTTAGACCATCCCAGGCTTCTTGTTTCACAAATTGGTGAGTTTTCGCAGGGCGTATTTGTCAGAGGCTAAAGTGTTGAAAAGGGAAAGTGCCAAGATTTCCCTTTGTTACCCGCAGGTCCTTCCTCCTGATGTTTTGACCCGGGTTAGTGAGTATGTACCAGAAATCGTGAGCTTTGTCCAGAAGATTGTGGACAACGGTTATGGGTAAGCATGGACTGCCCTCGGGCCTCCCAGCCTTCCAGAGGGAGTAGCTCCCCAGCTCTAGGTCCAAGTCCAGAAAGCAGGAGAGCTGGTGTTGGGGAGGTATGGGGGGGGGACACAGTCATGCTCACCCTATGTGTGACACTTTGCTCTATACTCGGTCTCCAGCTCTACTGGCGATTTTGGGATTGCTCAGAGTTAAGATACTGAGGTTTTTCATTTCCTGGTAGCTGCTGTTACAGTGGATATTAAGCAGGCAGATACCACACATTGTGTGAAGCAGGAAGCAAGAGGGAGAGAGTTAAGCTCCAGCCCCCAGCAGTTGTCCTTTTGCAGCTCTGGCTCAACCCAGGGCTGAAGAGCACATGTCTAGTTGATCAGCCTTCCAGATGGGCCTAGTGGCCCACACTGGCACCGTGGAGAGCACCTGGCTCTGCGTTCACTCAGAGGCCCAGTAGTTAAGACCACAGGTCATGGGCCTAAGTAGCCTGATGAAGAACACGGGCACTGCAGGGCCTCAGGGGACGTCAGAAGCATGTGTGTACTGTTGCTTGGCTGTGATTTTTAGTGCATACACTACCCAGCCCCAGGTTCACTGCTCAAGCATGTCCAACCCAAAGAAACATACTCCACATCTCTGCAGTTAAGATTTAAGGAAGCACAGATGGAGGCACACTGGGACTCACGTGTCCATGGACAGTGCTTGGCACCTTCCTACTGTGCCTCTTCTCCAGGAGCGCTGCTCTGCAGGGCCTGGAGCCCAGGGGCAGCCTCAGGTTGCTGCCCTACCACCAGCTGCACAGACTGGATGAAGGAGGAGGGAGGTCTCCATGCTTGGTTCCTACAGCAGTGGCGTCCCTCCCCACCTAACGTAGGTGGCTGCTGGCACAGCTGAGAGCCTAGGTCAGGGAAGACAGTCACATAGGATAGAATAATGTGGAAACTCTTTATAAGAGTGTAGTGCAGACTGAAGAAGGTAGAAGAGAAGAGAAGGTGAACCACATGGGCCTGTGTTGTCACCAGGCAAGGCCTGAACTGGAGCCACATAGTCACAACCACAGGACTCCAGGCAGAGGGTCTGCATGGGACACTCTGCTGGACAATGAGAAGGCCACTTCCAGGGCAGGAGGTGTCCTTGTTGCCTTTATTCAGCCCACACTACTGGTAGCTTTGTACAACTACAGGGAGGGCAGGGAGAGCAGAGATGTGGTGACCTTGGCTGTGGTGGTCTCCCAGCCCTCTGTAACCTCCACTTTTAGTCCTGTGAACTGTCTCGGTGTCCATTGGATCCCCCCATTCTGCTTTTATTTTCCAGATATGTTTCAAATGGGTCTGTCTACTTCGACACAGTCAAGTTTGCGTCCAGTGAGAAACACTCCTATGGGAAGCTGGTGCCCGAAGCTGTTGGGGACCAGAAAGCTCTTCAGGAAGGGGAAGGTAAAAAGCAGAGTGGGACACACAGGGGCAGGAAAGCCAAGAGGCAGACTCTCCTCCTTGTACACAGCACAAACCGTGTTTACCTCCCAGTCCTGGTGGGTACCCACAGCCACCAACGGGGATTCACTGACAAGTGCTTCTTCTCTTGAAAGGATTTTAGTTTTCCATGCAAGACCATGAAGTGCAGTGTTTGTTAGGAAACACAGTGTGAGTAACCTTTGTGCAGGCCTGACAAGCCAGAGGCTGGAGCCTGGGTTCTGCGGCCAGTGCAACTGCATGTGCAGTTTTGGGGTGGACAGTGGGGCATTAGGATATGTGTGGAGTAACATACGTTAACCGTATTTATCCAAATGATTTAGATTCAGATGCCAGGCAGGATCACATGTGAAGCACTCTGACAGGTGTTTTCCTGCACTTGTTTCCTAAATCAGTCTGGGGACATACCCAATGCCCAAGGTTGGCAATGTCCAAGATCCCTGCAGAGTGGGAACTGTTCTCACACTGGACACACCTCACTCCTGCCCCTATGTTTCTGGAAGGCAATTTACCTATTAATGATAGGCTGAGCTGTATCAGACCCTGTGGCATTTGAGCCTGAGCATTCATAGGCATAAAACGGGTGAGTTCGTGGTGACACAGTCTCCAAGAGGACCCACACCATAGACCACCACGTGCCTAGAGCCAGATCAGCTGATACCATGATCAGGCACTTCTCAGAAATGGAGAGGTCCAGCAGTCAAGAGATAATACAGGTAGGAATAGTTCACGGGATGGTTTGAGAGACCAGGAATTAAAGAGCATTGTTCCTTTTGAGCACCAGAACCACATGTCAGGCCGAAGAAGGAAGTCTAAGCAAGTCTCCAAGAGTCACTTTGTTCTCTGACTGCAGTGCAGTCGCACAAGGCATCCACGCTACAGGGATGAGAGGGCTTTACTCCTAAATACCTCGGAGGAAGGAAGATGGCAGAGGCTGAGGAGGAGCATTAAAGCTGGAGCACAACAAGGGTGCCTTTGCCGACACTTGGAGGCCTCAAAGCACTTGTGATGAAAAAGAGGAAAAATAAGTGAGCCAAGCAGTCAGGCAGAAAGCTTGAAAAGGAATAGCGGTGAGAGGAACGAAAGTAGAGAGGAAGAAATAAAGACAAAGGCCAACTAGTGAGGTAGTAGCAAGCTAAAAGCTGGCTCACCACAAAGATTAACAAAGTAGAAAAACTTGTAGTTGGTAGGACGAAAACAGAATGTACCTGTAGATATAATGGAGAGTTTCCAAAATCCTTGGAGGGAATTGTGAACTGCTTGCGCTGCGCTGGACACAGGTACAGGAAGAAAATGGTCCAGCACATGAAAGGCAGGTGGGCTTGGGGAACATTCTGAGCAGCAGGACCATTGGCACTCATCTTCTTGCTCTTGGACCCCCTCTGGCTGTCCTTTTCCTTCAATATCTGTTCTTGGACCTGCTCTTCCAAACTGACCTTGCACTTGGTTCAAGTTTTAGGAATGGCAGGAGCAGAATCCAGCAGTAAATAGGAAGGGTTGTACAGCACACAGACTTTCCTTTAAGGACATTTCTCTGCCTCCACCCCTGTTGACCTCTCAGACTGCAGCTCCTGCCACTGACCTGGCAGGGACTTAGCAGAGAAAGGGCAGGTAACAAGGAATGTGGGTCTTACCTGGTGGCCTGCTTGATCCTCCAAGTAAGAGCACACATGTGCTCAGAAGGCATGTAGGGGAAGCCAGGTGGCAGAGAAGCTGGCCTGATAGAGGCCAACCCTGCAGAGAACCTGGGAAATGAGACAAGGAGGGAGGACAAAAGGGATTACATGATTTATTTCTCTTTCTTTAAAAATCTAAAACAAGAGCTAGAAGTGTAGCTCAGTGGCAGAGCACTTGCCTAACTCGCCTAGCATGTATGAGACCCTGGGTTCCATCCCCACACTGGAAAAAGAGGAAAAACAAAAAACAACAATCTGGCACAGATAGTGAGCTTTATAAATAATGACAGTTGGGGACTTGGGTTGTGAGAAAGAGAGACAAATGATCCCTTTTTCTCTGTTACATATTTTTTTTAAATATGTGTTTATAAGTAATCAGAAACTACCTAGGCATGGTGGTGTGCATTTCTAATCCCTGCTACTTGGGAGACAGAGGCAGAAGAATCTCAAACTCAAGGCCACCCTAGCAAGGGTAGCAAAAAAAGCCTGGCACCTGTGTCCCACATGTGTAATTCTAGCTACTCAGGAGGCAGAGATCAGGATCATGGTTTGAAACCAGCCCAAGCAAATAGTTCCTGAGACCCTATTTCAAGAAAAACTCATCACAAAAAGGGGCTGGTGGAGTGGCTCAAGGTGTAGGCCCTGAATTCAAACCCCAATACCACAAAAATAAATGAATAAATAAAGGGCTGTGTGGCTCAAGTAGTAGAGCACATGCCAAGCATATTTGAGGCCCTGAGTGCAAACCCAAGTACTACAAAAATAGGAAAGCGATTGGATACAGAGATTCAAGGTAACTGCTCATAATAACAAGTTAAAAGTGTGTGTTATCTGACTAAGGGTGGCTCAGAAATCCTGGAACTGTACAGAGCTGTGTTTCAGAGTCTTGCTGGCTAGGGAAGAAGTCAGAGTAGAGACAGTCCTCGTGCTTCAGTTGTCCGTGTTTTGCTTAAAGAGATTGTCTTTAAACCTACAAATCAATTCTTGGGCTACAGAGTGGTGTCAGTTGTCTTGTACTCTGCCTTTGGTACATATGTCATATCAGAAACCCCATGTTTCAGAACACCCTTAGCCCTGCTTTCCCTCCCCGTTTCTCAGACAGCTCAGGAGGGTGGAGTTTGTCTTTCCTGTTCCAAGGCTTTCCACTGGCACAATGGACCCAGGAAGGACATGGGCCAGCCAGACCTTGAGGGCCAGGGCAGGCCCTGATGTTTCAGATGGAGGCAGAAGACCTTTACTTGGCTCGCTCACCAAACAAAGGCTGATTGATTCTCTCAGTGTGGAAGTTAGGCCAACTCGAATGTTACCCTTGTCCACAGGTCCTTGATGTGCTTGTGGTGACAGTGCCATCATCTGTGGGACTCTAGACATCTTGTATCCCGTGCACTTCTTCACCCTGTAGATAGGCCATGGACTAGACACCTCTGAGCTGGTGTGAATCTGTCAAGTCCACCCAAGACCTTACTTCCACCACTACTGTGAAGCCCTGAAGGGCTTTGACCTTGTGGCCTGGTGTACTTCCTATAGCAGGTGCCCTGCTACCTGTGCCTGGCCTTCTGGGTTGCCCTGTAGCTCTTTCACCTTGTGTCCCTCATGAACTGGGGGGAACAGTGTTCCAGCTTCCATGAGGTGGTGCACAGCAGCTCAACCACACCCTCATACCTCCTGGAATCTGCAGGTGACAGCTACCTGGGCTGTTGATGTCAGGATCCCACCTGCATGAGCCAGGGTCCCCAAACTGCCACAGTGAGCTGCATGTCATGTCAGCTAATTCAGCCTAGAGCACATGGTCTGTCCTAGGGGTGTGGAGTGTCACGGGTGCAGCTGTGAGGAGGCAGGGCAGGATGAGCATGGCTCCAGGCTCCCAGGTTTGTCTTGAACCCTGCATAGGAAGCACTGGCGTCAGAGCTGGCTACGGTGCTTCAGAAGTCTGGGTACTAATCAGCACCAGTGTCTACTGTAGGGACTTGAGGAAGTGCTTGAGCTAGGTTAATAAACTAGTAAAAGGGGTCACGTACCGAGAGTGGCCTAGTGAGGCCCGCGGCATTCCTGTGGGTGCTCCGTGCTGAACGCGCGCCTGCTTCCTTACTGCTCCTAGGCGACCTGAGCATCTCAGTGGACCGCCTGAGTGAGAAGCGCTCCCCCAGTGACTTTGCGCTGTGGAAGGCCTCCAAGCCGGGAGAGCCGTCCTGGCCATGCCCCTGGGGAAAGGTGAGTGCTTGCTGGAGAGAGGCTTGGGGCTGAGAGGCAGCGGGATGAGGCAGTGTGACAAGAAGCTGGCATCAGTCAGCCTTGGTCCCCCAAGAAGCAGCTCTGCATGTGAGAGACATTGCCACTGGGACCGGAATCTGGTGTTGGCATAGCACAGTACTGCCTTCTGCCTGGGACCCAGATGTCACAGAGACTCCCTGGACCTCTGGATGAGCTGCTTCTCTTCCTGGGACTCTTCCTCTGTTGCCTGTAAATGGGGTGTGGTCAGATTTGGCCACTTTGGAGACCTCTCCATTCTGGTGTTCTGTAAGTTGAGCGTTCCTGGCTCTGGAAGCCAGATGGCTGCATGACAACAGTCCTGACTGAGTACTGTGAGAAGGGGTGTGGCCATCTGCTACTTTTTGAGTGCTGGATTCTGGAATAATTTCTAAGCTTCAGCCTAGTCTACGGCTCACAGTAGACTAGTTTGAAACTACAGATGAAGGTAACCCTAGTCTGTGTGTGTGTGAAGTTTAAGCCTATTACAGTGAAGTGCTGAGAGCTTCAGGGTCATTGCCTCAGGGCAATGTCGGCTTGGCCAGATGTTTGGTCTGTCAGCATGGGCCCTTCGGATCTCTCTAGGGTCGTCCAGGATGGCACATTGAGTGCTCTGCCATGGCAGGCACACTTCTGGGAGCCTCGATGGACATTCATGGGGGAGGATTTGACCTCCGCTTTCCCCACCATGACAATGAGCTGGCACAGTCAGAGGTAGGTGAAGACAGCAGCTGCCATCCTTGGTGGAGAGTACAGTGTCCTTACTGTTGTGCTGGTTAGAACCCATCAGGGCCCTCAGGAGGGCCTCTCGATAGAACTTCTGCATCAGGGTCTGAGGAGAATTTGAGCCCTGACCATTTAGTCTGATTTCCCATGGTAACAGCCTAGCTTTTGCTAACAGGCTCGGATTCAAACCAGTCCCCCATGCGGTTCCTAGGAGTGGTGGTATCTGCTATGCTGGTATGCACAAGCAAGACAACTGTGTTCAGTGTCTAGCACCTCTCGGCAGGCAAGGCCCTGCCCATGGCAGTCATGCCTTCCTCCTGTCTCTTTGCCTGCAGGCCTACTTTGAAAACGATTGCTGGGTCAGGTACTTCCTGCACACAGGCCACTTGACGATTGCAGGCTGCAAGATGTCAAAGTCCCTAAAAAACTTTATCACCATTAAAGATGCCTTGAGGAAGCACTCGGGTAAGCAGGGCTTCTGCCAGAGACTGACGTGCGCTCTTACACAGACGCATGGTCACAGAGGCTACTCAGGAAGTAAGCACCATCTTACACTCTTTGCTCCCCAGCGCGGCAGCTGCGGCTGGCGTTCCTCATGCACTCGTGGAAGGACACACTGGATTATTCCAGCAATACCATGGAGTCTGCTCTACAGTATGAGAAATTCATGAACGTAAGTCCCCAGCGCTTGCTGGAGATCGGGGAGCACTGTGAGTACCTGTGGTCACTAGGTTCTTCTGACTAAGGCCAGGGTACAGGGGAAAGTCGTGCTGGTGGGAAGGTGAGCTTGGTGCTACTTCCTGAAACATGCAGAGTTGAAAAAGGCCATGTGTACACGCGGGATGTGTCATTCTGACTGGGCCTTTGCGCCTGGTGAAACAGGAGCATGTTTCTTTCTCTTGGACCACTCGTGTAATAGCATCAGTGCAGTTTTTCACTTTTTTTTTTTTGCGGTACTAGGGTTTGAACTCAGGGCCTTCACCCTGAGCCATTCAACCAGCCCTGTTTTTGTGAAGGGTTTTTTCCAAGATAGGGTCTTGCAGAACTATTTGCTTGGGCTGGCCTTGAACCACGATCCTCCTGATCTCTGCCTCTTGAGTAGCTAGGATTACAGGCATGAGCCACCAGTGCTTAGCAGTTTTTCACATTTTGCTGAAAATAAATCACACTGTGAGAACATCAGAAATTTCTAGATGGAAAAGTTGCCTTGATGCTACTAAACTTACTTTTCTAACTTCAGGAGTTTTTCTTAAATGTGAAAGATGTCCTTCGTGCTCCTGTTGATATCACTGGCCAGTTTGAAAAGTGGGAAGCTGAAGAAACAGAGTTGAATAAGAAGTAAGATGGAGTCTTTTCTTTGGGTCTGTGAGCGCACATTCTGGTTCTCTGCTGGCTGTGGGGCTCGCCCACCGTGACCTGACCTGGATGACCAATTGCACATCAGAGCATGCAGCTCTGCAGATGGAAACTGCCCTGGCTGTGGAACTGCGTGGGAGTTTCTGTAGGGTGGTATTGGATCTGACCGCTCATGTTCCTTTCTCCTCCTTGCTTAGCTTCTATGACAAGAAGACAGCAGTTCATGAAGCCCTCTGTGACAACATCGACACCCGCACTGTCTTAGAGGAAATGCGGGCCTTAGTCAGTCAGTGCAACCTCTACATGGCGGCTCGCAAGGCTGCACGGAGGAGGCCTAACCAGGCTCTGCTGGAGAACATTGCTCTGTACCTTACCCACATGCTGAGGGTAAGTCAGGCCCCACACGGCCCAAACTCTTGCCCACGTGGCCCAGGAGACCCTGACATAGGCTGTACACTGCCCTGTAGCATCCATGTTAGAATCGAAGCTACTCCATAGCCAGAACTGTTTCTTTGCCTCCACTTCACTCTGCTCCCATCTTGGAGTTTGAAAAGCAAAGCCAGTATCAAGGCCTCAGCTACCAATATAGTGCCACCATAAGTATAAGGCCAGTGGGACCTTAGGGCTCATTGTCAGCCTCAATAGCTTCAGGCTGGCAGAGGGACAGAGTATCAACTGAGCCAAGGCTTGCCCTAGTGGGATAAGGACACCCTGAGATGGATTTCCAGGGCTCTTGGAGCTACGCTTTTCATCCTTTCCTTGGTCAGTCATAGGGACCCACCCAGAAGGGCTGCCCTCTGCCCCCACAAATAATGGAATACTTCCTGGGCTGCAGACCATGTGTCATGCTTCGTCTCTTCATCCTATACCTGTTAAGTCCTGTGTCCTTCTTTTTCTAGATCTTTGGGGCCATAGAAGAGCAAAGCTCCTTGGGTTTCCCGGTTGGAGGACCTGGGACCAGCATAAATGTGAGTAGAGCACACCTGGGCAAAGGGTCCCCATCTGTGCAGAGCCTTGAGTAAACTGCAGCTGCCCTTTAATCCTGCCCAGTGTGTGTGCCTTGGGGCCACCCACCTCTCCCACTGCCTATTTCCTGGAACCCAGCAGGAGTCTCACCTTTCTCTACCTACCCTTTGGACACAGAGACTAGCCCAGGGTCCCTTCCTCACTGTCCTCCAGGCCAAGCCTCCAGTCAAGCTTCAGATACAGTTGGGCTGGAAAGCCATCCTCAGGTGGAACAGTCATTGTCCCTGACTGGTGTGAGGGGTGTTTCACTGCTATGTTATGTTGTGCTATGAGCTGTCTGGCACCCTGGCTGGGTGGGGTGCTTCTCAGCCCTGGATTATATTTCAGCCATGCAGCTTCACAAACTCATTCTCAGGTTTTATCACATGTACTGTTGTCCCTGGGTATTGATCCATGGGGGATTGGTGCCAGGGCCACCCAAGAACACCAGAATCCTCGAGTCCCTTAGATAAAATGGCATAGCTTTTGCACACAAACCACACGTCTTGCCGTGTATGTTAAACCAGCTCTAGATTATTCATGATTTCTGATACAGTGCAAATGGTGTCATGCTGTATGGTTTAGGAAGTCAGGACAAGATGAAGCCTGCATATGTTCAGTGCAGGTGCAGTTTGGTTCCCCCATCTGTGGTTGGTTGAGTCCTTGGATGTGAAGCCTGAGATGCAGACCCTACTAATCTGTGTTCAGCACACGCCTCATTAAAGACCACGTCTATAGACAGCGCAGAGCTTACACTGATGGCAGTTCTCCAGCTACCTCTGCCTCATGGGGCTGGGCAGCATTGACATGGGCCCAGGGTCTACCTGAGCCCCTGCTCCATTGGCTGCTGCCTGGAAAGCAGGAAGTAATCATCATGTGGAGCCATCTGCATCCCCGTCAGAACCTGCAAGAAAACTCACCCAGAACCGACCTGCTTGTCCTTAGTTGGCTTTGCCATCTGCAGTGACAAATGGGCCACATGTGTCATGTGTCAGTTATGTTCCTCTGCTTCATCAGGGCTGCTCGTCTAAGTCATTTCTCCACTCTCCTTCCCGTGGAGAATGCTCTTCAATCACTTGGCTAGGAAGCATATATAAATATTGAAATATAACAGCTGCTATTTTAGTGAAAGCAGGAGCTCAGCACAGAGTAAAAAGGCAACAACCTTCTTAAAGCCTATTCCTAGAGATGAGCAGTGCAAAGAACCCCTCCTGCAGGTGGAGCTGCCGACACTGCCAGGAATGCACTTCCCCAGGGAGACAGCCTGCGGTGAGGCCACAGAGGGCCTTTTCTTACTTTAGAGCTGGCCATTGGCATGGTATTTTTTAAACTTTGCTATTTATGAGCTGTCCATGCTGCCTTTTAGACAGAAAACCTACACAGCTCCTTTGTTCTTTTATGCAAATTCTGAGGTATTTGTTTTCTTTAAGAACCAAAACCAAAATACACCTCCTGGGTAAAAAAAAAAGAAAAAGGTTTTAGTCTTCAGCAGTGCTGTAGCCATGGGGAGAGCTTTAGACCTGCTGCACCCTGTGCCCCGTGGCCTCATTAGCCCTTTGAAGTTGGCTTGTTAGCAATAAGCAGCTGCACATGAGAGTGCCGAGCAGAATCGTGTGCCCACGGCTCACACCGTGTGAAGTTCGTGGGCTGACTCAAGTCCAAAGTGCTGTAGGAGGCTGGATGTCGGTGGCTCGCACCTGTAATCCTAGCAACTCGGGGGCAGAGATCAGGAGGATCTCGATTCAAAGCCAGCCCAGGCAAATAGTTCCTGAGCCACTACCTCGAAAAAACCCTTCACAAAAATAGGGCTGGTGGAGTATGGCTCAAGGTGTAGGCCCTGAGTTCAAACCCCAGTACCGCAAAAAAAAAAAAAAAAAAAAAAATGCTATAGGAGCTGCAGTGATGAAGCTGGTCCCAAAGTTCCTCAGTGCTGGCCATGTGCTCCAGTGTGGTCAGCCAGACTTCCCAGGAGTCACCAGCCCCAGACCTCCTTGAGACAGACTTCAGAATCATCCAAGAGTCCCCTCGGGCATTGTAGACTGAGCTGTGGTATGGCTGCCTTTCTCCTCCGCTGCCTGGGGCTCTGAGCCCTGCTGGAAATAAAGGCCTGGAGTCACTCAGGAGGTCCAAAACCTCTGTCTGGAGAAAGACTGGACAGAGGACATTTATCTCAGGCTGAAGAGTGCACCGGCCCAGCCAGCTGGCACATTGCCTACTCTTTTACTTTGGTTACTGAGCTGCTGTGTATCTGAGAGACAGGGAAACCTTGTTCAGAGGCCCAAAACAACCCTGTTGGAGCGGTAGAGAAATGTGCTGTGAGAGATGGTGCACAGACTCAGACTCTGCAGGTCTGGCCCAACGTGGGTCTGCACTCTCTGGCCTCATCCTCCGCATTTCTGTAGGGAGTTGCATCTCATGCTGGTGTTCAAGTACTTGCTGGTGTACCAGTAGAGGGCACAAGCACTAAGAGCTCCTGCCTAGCAAGTGTGAGGTCCTGAGTTCAAACTCCAATACCACCAAAAAAAAAAAAAAAGCTGCGTAGTTAATGGACATGGTTACCCTGACCAACATGCGTGTGAGCACAGATGAAGGCCCGTTCGTGGCCGTGCAGACAGGATTCTGGCATCTGCGTGTCTGAGCTGAGGAGCGCATGTCAACATCAGCAATGGATGGAGTAGAAAGGAAGCGTTGAGCTCCCTGGCCCATGTCCCCTCTACTGGGTGCCCTGAGTGCATGTTACTCACCTATCTAGCATGGGCCATGTGTCAGGGACAAGGTGCCTGAACTGTGGTGGCCAGACACAGTAGCACTGCCATTATCCCTGCCCTATGGTGTGTCTGCTAAACTGTTAGGTATTCAGTTATAAATATAGGGGTGGCTTCTCTTATGAACCAAACCCATTCTTTCCACAGCTTGAGTCCACAGTCATGCCCTACCTGCAGGTCTTGTCGGAATTCAGAGAAGGTGTGCGGAAGATCGCCCGGGAGAAAAAAGGTGAGGCCTAGTGGCTTTCTAAGCAGGGAGTGGCTGCTCGCTCTGCACTGAGCCTATCATTCTGCCCCTACTTCTTGGGCACTGTAGGCTATTTACCTGGACCCACCACATCCCACTAGCCTCAGGCCAGAATTGCTCCAGGTGAGAGGTGTGTTTGATGTAGAACAGCTGAGGCTAGGGCCAGCCCTGGATGTGAGGGCCAGGGTATCAGGCAGGATAAAGGGCCCTCAGCAGTGGGGCTCCTTCCTGCTTCTGGCCATCCCCAACTGGGTACACTGGAGTGTGTCCTATCCTGCTGCACAGTCAAACGTGTGGGTCAGAGAACCTCCTGCTGGGAGCTCCTGGCTTCACTGTTCTGCCTGAGGCCTAGAGCTGAGGGGTCCCCCACTCATGCTTTGCTGTCTATGCACAGTCATTTCTCCATCCTTTGATGTTCTGAGGTGTGTATGGTTTTAGATTTGGCGAATGTTAGATTTGTATATTTTATATTTGGGGGAATTCTTAAAAACACATTGGTAAGCCAGGTGCCCATGGCTCACACCTGTAATCCTAGCTACTTGGGAGGCAGAGATCAGGAGGATCATGGTTCAGAGTCAGTCCAAGCAAATAGTTCATGAGACCCAAACACAAACCAATACAAAACAGGTTTGGAGGAGTTGCTGAAGTGGTGAAGCACCTGCCTTAGAAAGTATGAGGCCCTGAGTTCAAACCCCAGTACTGGGAAAAAAAAAAAGCAAACCCCAGCAGGAAGCAGTGTTGGACAGACTGATGGTTGCTGGCTTTGAGCAGTTCTGACCCTGTGCGCAGGAAGCACCGTTCCCAATGCTCACTGGGAGTAGGGTGCTGGGCCTGGCCAGTTGCTTCCCTCATGATTTTACACTTGCCAATGTCACTGGGGCAGGGGTAACGCAGGTCAGAGGCGCTGCAGACAGTGCTCCCTCCTGAGGCACCCAGTGGAGTGTGAAGTTGCACCTGGACTCATCTGGCCTAGACCATGCAAAGCCTGACATGGGACAGTGTCCAAGTGGGACATTGTCCAGGCAGGGCATGTAGATGATGGAGCAGAACACCCAGAAGAGCCTCGGGGAGAAGCTGCACCTTGAAGAAGCATAAATGGGCCCTGGTCTGGTGGAGCAGTTCAGGGAGGGATGGAAGCCAGAACCTGGGCCTATTCTGGAGTGCCGGCAGTAGAACAAGAGGCAGGAGAAAAGCACAGGCCCCATGAGGAGCCTAAGCCTACTTTGTCTGGGAACAAAATGTAGGACCAGGTATGAGAGAACAGACAGGGCAGGCCTCAAATGCTCCATGAAGAGGGGCTTGGGCCTGGCCTGCAGTTAGTGGGGAGTAGACATTCCCTCTCAGCCATTTGAAGCACTGAAACCAAACTGCAGAGAGCCCATCTGGCCCTTCAGCACCTGTGCATGTTCTCTGACAGTTTCAGCAACACTGACTTAACAACATTGTTGTGGTTCTGATCTCAGGGTGATCATTCTCAGAGGCAGTCTAGCCTTTTTTACCTTCCTGTCAGGAAGGCCGAGCCCATGCTCCATTTGGAGGCCACTGGCTGTACTATGTGCGTGCCACACCACAACCCTGCAAGGACTCAGCAGGCCTGGGATGGGGACTGGCCAAGTTCTAGCTTCTGCATAGTGGTACTAGCAGGCAAGGGGCTTGCTTGGGCCCCCAGAGCAGCCCCAGTAGGCTGACCATGAAAGTCATGTGGTTGCTGGTTTTTTACTTTGTCCTGTTTTGTTACTCTGAGCCAGTGGACAGGGGAGAGAGATGTGGGTCACACTAAAGTAATGAGAGTTATTTACCAGTCTGCCTTTCCGCGACTTCCCCACATGGCCACTTTTCCACTCTAAAGCTCAGGTGGACATTAGGTCACCTTACCTGAGCCAGAGGCCTTGGGGCTCCTGGGACCTCAGCTCTTCCCATTGGAAAACCTTCAGGGCCAGAGTCAGCCTATTAAGCATGAATCTCCAACACTGTCCCCCCCACCGCCTGCCCCCGACAGCAGCAGCAAATGTGATTTTTGTTGGCCATTCACTGTTACCACCTCCTGGCTATTCCTGTGACTTTGGCTGGCTGAGGAGAGAAGCAGAGCAAGTTGCAAGGTTCAAGCAGGCCCTCGGCCGGGAGGGCAGTGGAGAGTGGCTCTCTCTAATCTGAGGGCAAGTTTCAGAGTCAGTAGTTGTAAATCGAGTCATAATCAAGGTAGTTTACAAAAATCTTTGTTTCATGTTGATACCCTTGAATCTTTGAGAGAGCTTGGCCTCCTGTTTGTCCTGTCATACCCAGCCTGGGCTGAGACTGGAAAGGAGGTATCCACTGGAGGCCAGCTGAGGCCAATCGTGAAGTGAGGGGTCAACCTGCAGTGCTGGGAGTGGGAAGACAGTTGATGCAGAGGGTTACAGTTCTAAGCAGAATTCTTTCCTCAGTGAGGGGGGAATCAATGGGGATGGTGCTGTCTACAAAGGTGGCACTGGGGTTGGCAGACTGCCTGTCCTGTGCTGTCTTGTGTCACATTCCTGGAGGTGCTGTGGTGTTATGGGCATAGAGAGACTGGCCCAGCTCCCTTCCTAGCAGGCCTGGCTGCATTTCCTTGTGGAAAAGGCTGAGCTGTTATGATGAGAAGAACCAACTATGGCCAAGTCCTCTGGGACTCTTGGCTCCTAAATGTATGTGGGTTTGGGGTCCCAGCCTGAGCAGGTCCAGGCAATTGCACTTTGTGATTCCTGTGGATCACTGCTGTCCTTGCCCTGATGAGCTCCTGCCCTCCAGTGCCTTCTGACCAAGTGCATGGAAAGGTGTGTCAGCTGCGTGTTGACTTTGCCTCGACACAACAGAGAAACTGAGAGGTTAGGAGGGTCCAGACCTGAGAGACTGTCCACACTGGCCATCCTCTGATCCACATCCACTCTGTCTGCTCCCCTTTCTGCGCTGCCCCACTCCTTCTTCCCACTTCCCTCTCCTTTTCCTTGTCTGGGCCATGGAGACTGGGCCAGGCCTGGCCAGGCTCACTGAGTGCTCCAACATTAAGCCAGAGCCAGTGGCAGTGTCACGGAAGTCAGGTGCAGATTCTCTCCCATCCCTGCCCCTCACCCACAGCCTAATGGTTAGGCTGTGCTACTTCTCCAGGTGAGAGACACTGGCGGCAGCTGAGGGTCGCCCCAGCCTCCTGCACAAGTGACTTGGGTGCTGAAATGGTTGTGGAACCTTATTGTTGTACAGTGAAACCTGTTTCCAGGAAAAAGCTTGGTTCAAGGCCCACCCACTGTGCCTGGCTCTAGGGAGCCCCGACTCCCTCCTCTGCATGCTCACGAGCAGTCTGCTGAGCTTCATCAGGCAGTCCTGGCTCTGAGCACTGGCCAGGAGGGCGCTAACCTTTGCCTGTTCTTGGCCACTCCCCAGGGGAATTGCTGCTGGGCCTGTGCTCTGCCCTAGACTCCCAGCATGGCACTCAGGCTTACCTAGCAGCCGTAGCACTGGTAGTCTCCCAGCCACTCCTTTCCCCCAGCACGGAGAAGGAGCACATTCTGTGGACCTGGGCCTTCCCGTGTATCTAACGGAGTCACTTTTCTTTGCCAACAGTCCCTGAGGTTTTGCAACTCAGTGATGCCCTCCGGGATGACATCCTGCCTGAGTTTGGGGTGCGGTTTGAAGACCATGAAGGTGGGTGAGCCTGCAAGCTACTTGCTGGGAGCATGCGGAGGGTGGGGAGATGCGGGTGAGAAGAAGGGTGCTGAGGACTTGGGAGTTGTTGTTGTTAGTATTACTGTTATTGTTATTATTTGTACCAGGGATTGACCTGGACCCCAGGGCTTCATACTTGCTAGGCAAGTATCTACCATTTGAGCCACATGTCCCAGTGTTGTTTTTTATTTGTTTGTTTTGTTGAGGTAGGGTCTCCTAACTTTGCCCAGGCTGTCCTCCTGCTTCTGCCTCCTAAGTACCTGGGATTACAGGTGTGAGCCACTATACCCAACTTAAAACTGGTTAATTTTTAATTTCTCAGCTGATGGGTTGAATTTGACGAAGCCCAACGGGCACGACCTGCCCACTGCAATGCTATTACACACTACCCGGGGTTGTACTTCAGTGCTGTTATGGAGAGCTTGGTTTGGTTTTTGTTTTGTTCTGTTTCAGTGCTGGGATAAATCCAGGGCCTTGTATATACTAGGCAAGTGCCCTACCACTGAGCTACAGCCTCAGCCCCGAGTTTTGGTTTTGCTTGTAATGTTTACCAGTTTGTTCCACCTGGCATTGATTTTGCCTGTGTGAGCCTTCGGGCAGGTCCCCAGTTTCCCCAAGGGCGAGCAGTGTGGGGGCCTCAGCTGGCAAGCTCAAAGGTCTGGGCCACCCAGCCTGGCAGGGAGGATGGGTCCACAGGCCCTGTGTCTCACTGACTGTCTGCTTTTCAGGACTGCCGACTGTGGTGAAATTGGTGGACAGAGACACCTTACTGAAAGAGAGGGAAGAGAAGAAAAGGGTTAGTAAAATTAAGACAACTGAGCTTGATTTTGTTGAAAATGAAAACTCCATTGGGTTGTTAATGTAGTTTTAAGAATTAGTGTTTATTCTTTTTTTTTTTAATATCATAAGTATCAGAAAGAAAAGTAAAGTAGGTAGATAACTTTGTGACAATTCAGTAGCCAAAACAAAGAAGAATGTGTGTTCTTTTCATTTTGTTTTTTGAAACAGGATCTTGCTGTGTAGCCCAGGTCATCTTCTGACTCACTTTCCCTCCTGAGTGCTAGGATTACAGGTGTGTGTCACCACATCTGGCAGAGAACTTGTCTTCTAATGAAGGACCTGATCTTAAAACATACTCCCTTTGCTGAAGTGAAACAAGTCACTTAGCAAACTATGTTAGCACCTGGCTCTTGCCTGAGTGCTACATGTCCTGGATACCTCTACCTGCCTCCTACTTTCGTGTGCCCTTCCCTCACACGTGTACCCCCCAGCACGCGCGCGTGCGTGCTCACACTCACACACACACACAAAATTCAGTGCACCAGGACCTTTGCCTGGGCCTCATCCCTAGTGATGGAGAAGGCCTCTGCGTTCAAGGACTCAGGTGTCTAGTTGGAAGGGGAATGGGAACAGAAAGACATTGTCAGAGAGGGTGCGGTGGTGCGTGCCTGCAATCCTAGCACTTCAGAGGTTGAGGCAGGAAGATCAAGGTCAGCCTGAGCTGTATAGCAAGACCCTGTCTCAAAAAAAAAAAGAGGACACATTGTGATAACTTCTGGGCACACGGGGTCTCCTCAGGTTTGCGGGTGGCAGCAGTGGAGGCACCTGCTCTCCGTGGGCCATGTAGGAATCTGGAGCAGGTACTGTGATGGGTGGATACCAGCTTGGAGCACAGGCTTGGGTGAGCTGCTCTCCCAGGGGTCCTCAAGAGGGACTTCAAAGGTAGAGGTAACAGTTGGGTTTCAGAGCTCATGTTCAGTCAGGGAACAGAGTTGAGAATGCACCAGCCTAGACAGGACCTGCAGGGAGGCCAGGCAGGACGGCAGTGGAGGGCCCGTCTCAGCACTGCGCTTCTCCCATAGGTTGAAGAAGAGAAGAGGAGGAAGAAGGAGGAAGCTGCCAGGAGAAAACAGGAGCAAGAAGTAACACATGTTTGCTTGTTTGTTTGGGGTGGGGGCCTTGCTGGCAGATGTACACTTTGACTCATGCCCCATGGCTCTCTCTACCTCCTTTGGGCTTGGCCAGGTACTCTGGGGATCCTGCCAAACAGAGCTCTGCTCTGCCTCCACCCACCCTGTTCACAAGGTGCCCTAGAGCCAGCTGGGGAGCAGCTGAGGGGAAGCAGGCATGAATGGGTCTCCAGCTCCAAGGCAGCTCTTGCCAGCTCTACACGTCAGTGTTAGCAGCCTTCCTACTGCTCCCAGGTAGCAGATGGAGCTTGACTCTACAGTCCACTCCTTCAGTTTTCTGCCTGGCTTCCCCACCCATCTTTTGCAGCTGAGTTCGAGCTTGGGAGGAAGTAGGTGTCATGGTGATGGTGTGAAGCCCTGTGTGGCACTTGGTGACTATGACCATGTGTTGTGTGTTCTAGGCAGCAAAGCTGGCTAAGATGAAGATTCCACCCAATGAGATGTTTCTGTCTGAAAGTGACAAGTATTCCAAGTTTGACGAAAATGTAAGAATTCTTCTGTTTTGTAGAACTTGTCAGACCACATTGAGCTGGAGTAACAGGAGCTTTCTGCCAGCGGGTTTTCTGTTTAGAGAAGATTGTGAGGGTGTCTGGGACTTGTTTAGGTCCAAGGCTTCCCACCCCAAGTGCCAGTCTTCTCCTCACAATCAGTCCCTCCAGGCAAGGCTGAGCCTGAGCTGCTCCTGCTAGTATTGCTACAAGTCTTGGCCCTGGGCACTGAGGGTCATGGCCTGGCTGAGTTTGGGATGACAGAAAATGAGGGCCACAGGTTCTGCAAGGACCTTGCAGCTGGTCAGAGTGCCAGGTCACAGACCTGCCTTCTGCTCCCTGGAGCTCTGCCTCTGGACCTTTAGGCCTCACCTCCTGGTTCTTAGATGTACTCATGTACACCTTCAAGCTGGCCACCTGAGAACTGAGCCGTGGTAGGCCCTAATGGGGACAGTGCCCCTCACCACAGGTAGGGTGCCCCAGACTCTGGTCGCTTCTCTCCATTCTTAGCTGCTAGAGCTACCACTGCCAGGTGAGCATGCTGGACACTGAGCGGGTATGGCCGCTCCTGCCTGGGTCCAGATGTAGCCCAACCAGGGAGATAGGACTTGAAGGCTGAAGGGCAAGGGAAGCTGGGCCTCTGTCTGGGTGGGCAGAGGAGCCCGATGGCGCCTGTGCTGTCATTGCAGGGCCTACCTACACATGACATTGAAGGCAAGGAACTGAGCAAGGGACAGACCAAGAAGCTGAAGAAGCTGCTCGAAGCACAGGAGAAGCTCTACAAGGAGCATCTGCAGATGGCCCAAAACGGGAGCCTCCAGTGAAGAGCCACTGCTGCCCTGTTAGCCCGGCCATGTGGACCGCAGGGCCTTCGCCTCATGACAGTGACCCGTGCTCTGGTCACACTTACAGCTGTCCTTGGGCCCTAAACTAAGAATTGTGTTCATGTAGGTCCGTGTCAGCAGTGGCTCTGAGGCATCCGTAATAAATTCTACCTAGTAAGGCCCGTGCCACCCTCTCCTCGTCACCCTGCGCTCAGCATTTGGCAGCGTGACCTCCTGACTGCTTGGTCAGCAGGCTGCAACTTAGGCACGCTGGTCAATGGAGCCCCTTCAGCCAGCTTCGGCAGCTAATCTGTGCTGTGTGGGCGCATTTGGAGGTATTTGAGTAGGAAAAAGGCTGGCTCAGCCTGGCGGATCCCGCTGAGCCCCAGACAAAGGCTGCTTAGCCTGCCTCCTGGCTCTGATGAACACACACACTGCAGGTTTCCTAGAGCAGCCAGCAGGACAGTGGTTCTACGGGGCAGGGCTCTGGCGAGCTGCCCAGGACTGCTGCGGGGGACAGCGAGCCCAGATCTGCACAGTTGGAGGGTGAGATAAAGGGTATCAACACAGCGGGGACGTTGGTCACTGTGTGCAGCCTGAGGGCTAAGTCATCGCCACCTGCTCCTGCTCAAGTGCTCTTCTGGGCTGAGAATCAGCACCAGCACTTCAACGTGCCTGGCTGGCTGTAATACAGGCGGGTGTGAGCTGGAGCCAGACAGGCCTGGGCATCGGTTGGAACATCCGTTCTCAAGTCTGTTAAACGACCCATATGGGAAGTACACCAGGGGCCAGCGTGGCTGTGCTGTCCCTCTGTCCCTGCAATCGTGCTTCTGTGGAGCTGTCCTAAAGGCGCCTATACAGTATGGGATGCCACGCCACGTGCATGTGCTGTTGGTTCAGCAGTGCGAGATCCAACAGGAGGCTGGCACAGCCCACCTGATTTCAAGGGGTCTTGCATCAGTGCAAAACAGCACTGTGGGTGGAAGCAGTGAAATCAGGCCTGGGGGTTGATGTCTGGCTTTGGAAACGTGTCAGTGTTTCACATACAAAAAAACCCAGTAAGACAAAGTCCCCAAGCTACAGTGAAGCCGTGTGTTCTAGCTGTTTGTTGCTACTAACAAATCACCCAGAACTTTGTGGCTGGTCACTGCAATGGTCGTCTTATTATTGACTTGTGTTCTGGGTTGACAGGGCTCAGCTGTGTGGTTTCGGGTTCAGAGTGTCTCACGTAGTCACACTCACCTGTGCTTATCTGAAGTTTGCACCTGGGCTGGGGCTGCTAGGCCCCTCTGATCTCTGTGTTCTCAGTAGGTGGCTTCAGGATGGCTGCATATGTGATGTGCAGTCCACAGGTGCATGGGCTGAGGGGGCGGGGCAGGGAATGGGGTTGAGGGGACATGGGGGGGCTATATGGCATTTCAGGGTCGAGCCTCAGAGATTAAGATAAGACCTCTTTGGTCCTCCCAGTGGAGGTGTCTCAGAGGCCACCCACATCCAGAAATAAATTCTCAGAGAGTATGGGGGATGGGAAATACTGCTGCAGCCAGTTCAGAGTCTACTGTCTGCCACAAAACTGGAAATCAGAATGACCCAGGAGTAGAATACCACTCCAGCTGATGGGGGATTTGGTGCATAGCTCAGTGGGGTATCTTCTAAGGCCAAAAGGATGCAGAGGAATCAAGCATAATTCAGAAACTTTGTTACTCATAATATTGGCATACTTCTTTTCTTTCTTGCTTGCTTTCTTTTTTTTCCTGTGCTGGGAATTGGACCCAGGGCCTTGCACATGGTGGTCAAAAGCTCTACCACTGAGCCACACCCCAACCAGGGAATAGTTATTTTCAAACTCTGTATTCCAAAACAAAGTAAATAAAAATGTCTGTGGCAGCAACAAAAACTTTAATGTAATAGATAAAGTACAAGTATAAAAACCAAAGCAGGTATTAAATGTGAATTGAGCTAACTGGAGCTTTAGACAGCTGATCCTTTCCCAGCTGTATAGACAGGAAGGCTGGCAGAGCAAGATGGCCCTGCAGCATGGAGCACCAGGACCAGATTGGGGCTCTGAACACTATCCCTTGCCTGCAGAAGTGGCCACTGTCTGGAGAAGTGGATCCCTGGGCCTCCTCATGCCCAGAAAGGGACCCTGGAAGACTAACGACTCAAGTCGTATCTCCAGAAGAGCTAGTAACACACATCAAGGGATTGGGTCTTGCCAGGTGCCAGTGGCTCAGGCCTGAAACCCTAGCTACTCAGGAGTCAGAGATCAGGAGATTGCAGTTTAAAGCCAGCCCCAGGCAAATAGTTCACAAGACCCTATCAAAAAAAAAAAAAAATCACAAAAAAGGGCTGGTGGAGTAGCTCAAAGTGTAGGCTGAGTTCAAACACCAGTACTGCAAAAAAAAAAAGAGAGAGATTGTGTCTCAAGGGAAATATGCTAAGGAGGAGGAAAAGCCAATCCCCAAAGGTAACATGGCAATATTCCCAAATCCAAGCTGTAGGAATGGGGATGGATGAGGCTGCCAGGGGCTGGGAGGGATGAGGGGGTGGTTATGTGCAGTGTCAGTTCCTGGTATTGATCTCATACTCTGGCCACAAGACACGACTGTCAGGGAGACCTTTTGGTACAACTTCCTGGGAATAATTATTTTGAAATAAAAGCCTTCAGGAGCTTCTACTCGTCATGTTTGGGACAATTTAAGCGCAGAAAACAATGACTAAGTGAAACCCAGAAGTCTGCTTACTTTCAGAGATGGAGAAAGCCAGAAGGTACTAATTTGTCACCCACTAGAGGTGGCTTTTGTGGCTCCTTTGCAAGCCTGTCTTTGAGATGGTATTGGGCATTTCCCCACCTTCTGTGGGACTCTATTTCAGGGTCCAGATGGCCCCAGCTTAAGAGAAAGTTGCTCTTTACCCAAGGATGCCCCCAGTAGTAGTGGAAGAAAGCATGGATTAGGAAACCCCAATGTGACCCTAATGACATCACTGGCCGGACTGGAACTACCAATGACACTGAGGCCCTTGGATGGAAGTTAGGAGCCCTGGATGGCTTCACCATGGCAGTGGCTTGCAGGTGGCTTGGAGATTTGGGATAGGGAGGTATGTGTCACTTTATGATGCTGGGCTCTGCCCAGCACTCAGTCTCAGAGCCACTCACAGAGGGGCCATGGGCAGGAGGAGTGCAGTGCTCCACAAAGAATAATAGTGTTTTCCCCTAGAAACTGTGAAGAAGCCTTTAGGCCTAAGCTTGTTCACTATGCGGGTGCATGTGCACCACCAGATGGCTAGCACAGGTTTGTTTGTTTGTTTGTTTGTTTGGCAATACTGAGGTTTAAACTCAGGGCCTTGCACTTGTTAGGCAGGCGCTGGACCACTTCTGCCACTCCACCAGCTTTAGCGCAGATTCTTGACTTGGGTCTGGGTGGAGCCCAAGATTCTGCCTTCCCTGCAGTCTCCCAGTACAGGCTCCTGCTGCCCTGTGGGCCAGAGAAACCACCCCCCACCCCACACCATCCACAGGAGACACTGGGTGGAGAGAAGCTGGCAGGCAGCACCATGAGGGAGTCATTCTGCAGGATGCCCAGGGAGAGGGGGGCTTCAGCCTCATAAGTGGCGGGGAGCTGAGGAAAAAGCACCCTGGAGAGACCAGAAAGGAAACCAGCTTGGGGGTGGGAGGAGGCAGTGGAGATGGAGTTGAGCCCTGGGTTTCATTCCAGTGCAGGGAATTAGCTGCTTCAAGGCATGAACTTTGATTGGTTTGACAAACCAGCTACAAAGACTTTTTGGGAAATTCACCTCCAGACTGAAAGTTGGATGATGCTGAAGGGTTTTTGCTAATGTTAGTGTGACAATGACAGTTTGTGGCTAGGAATGAAACAGCAAGATGCCCACGGCACGGCATTCCTCAGCCGAGGGCACAAGGAAGCAGCGCCTGCACAGTGCTCCTGCTCACATCTAGGAGACTGGAGGCAGTTTTGAGTCTGCCCCCTAGATTGGAAACTTCTCACACCAGATACGCTTAAAACTGAGCCATGAGGAAACTGGCTGGGTGAGTGAGGTTGGCGTCTGGGCTCATATGGGCTGCTGATAGGTGTAAGGGGCAAACAGTGCCCAGGAAGGCACGCTGGCAGAGAGCCAGGACCATGGACGATGAAACTCTCAATGTGTCCAGGAGCCTCAGGGCCAACCCTGGGAGTTCTGACCCCAGCAGTCCTCAGTCCTATTGCACTGTAGCATCTAGAGCTTTCAAACCAAATGTCCAGACCACCTGGCCCAGGCCAATTACACTGGTGAGCAGTAGGGAGGTCCAGAGGGGTAGGAGCAGCAGACAATATGGTCAGAACTCGTGGGTGGGGGGGGAAGGATAGGGTGGCCAGGCCCCCAGGGCACCCCAGCAGGAAAACCGCTATGATGGAGGCCAGGGCACAAGGATGGCCTGGTTCAAGTGAAAAGAGGCCTGGCTTGGTGGATCTCACAGCTGGCACTTCTGCTGGGTGGTATTCCAGCAGGAAGGACTCTGTCCATAGGGACAAAAAGACGCGTCAAGGCTGAAGCTTTGGCATCAGCAGAGCTTGGTGTTTGTCCAAGGTGCAGGGACAGAAGGAGTAGATCCTCTGAGTCCAAGTATCTCCCCAGAGGAGTGACCAGTTCAGGGAGGAGATGGAGCCTGGTCCTGTCTTCTGGGTGTTGGGTTTGGAATGATAATCACCCTCCAGACTGTGGGCGCCTTGGTTCAAGTTGAGCAGCTCCTTCAGACACAGTCTAAATGCTGGGTGCACACTGTCCCCAAGTGGCGAGGGGGCTGCCACAGGAGGTAGGCTTCTGTCCTTGGGTCCTGGAGACTGCACCACAGCCTATCACGGTGAAAGCAGGGCAGGGGCTTTGACTGGGAGTGGGGAGTGGGAAGCCTGTGCCTTCCTCACAGCAGTGGGCCAGTCCTCAGTCCCTCATACCTACTGTAGCTCTGAGCACTCAGTGTGGAATGTCCAGGAACTCGAGGCTGCACTGGGAGGCAGGAGAACCAACAGGGCAGGTCCCCAGGGAATGGAACTAGCACAATGAAGTCCAGATCCCCCAGGACATATGTTGTACTGAGTCAAACAGCACCCCCCTAGGTCTACCTAGGACCCTCAGATAGGGGCCTTATTTGGAAGCAGGGTCTTTGCAGATGTAATTAGGTGAAGATGAGGCCATCCTGGGGTGGGGTGGAGTACGGTGGGGGCCTAAGTCCCGTATGACTGGGGTTTCTATAAGAGAGGAGACACAGTGACACAGACATGTAGGAGAGGAGGCCATGTGACCAGAGAGTCAGAGACAGTCAAGGGCTGCTGGAGCTATGAGGAGCTGGAAGGGGCAAGAAAGTTCCTCCCTTTAGCCTGCAGAGGGAATGTAGCCCTGCAGACACCTGGTTCAGATGGCTGGCCTCCAGGGCTGTGAGAAGGACCTTCTGTCACATAAGCCCCTGGTTGTGGTACCTTGTTGCAACACCCACAGGAAGCAAGTAGACACCTGTTTCCCTACCATTGCAGCAGAGACACTTGCTAGGACTTAGTGCTTTATTTAAATGAATTCATTCAACGCTCAAAACACAGTGTACAGAGTTCCAACAATTACATGGAAAAATGGTGAGTAGAGTAACTGCAATTGACAACAATTGAATATTTCAAAATAGCTAGTAGAATTTTCAACGTTCCCAACACAAATGTCTGAGGCAATAGATATGCTAATTACCCAGATCTGATTACTACACACTGTATACATGTGTTGAAATACCACATTGCACCTCATAAATACGTGGTTAGTGTCCACTAATTTTTTTTTTCAAGGAAATAATGGAGGACAGAAAATGCAATCTTGGTGCAGGCAAGCCAGAGCTGTTACCTAATTTCAGATGCAAGTCAGGCGTCTGCAGGTTCCCAAGAGCCACTTGGCAGGAGGCTGGCTGCTTGAGGTCCTCCTGCTGAGGAGTCCCAGGCCGGAACACACAGATCTGAAAAAATGCCAGAGTACCCAGGACCATTAGGCCCCTGCACATTCCTCCAAATGACACTCAACCTGACATCACCTGCTCTACACCTCAGTGCACCAGCTGCACCTGCCCTGGGATGCCTCTCCTGATGGCTTCCCTGTGCCATCTTTAGGATCATGAGCAAACCCCAAGCTATTTGTGAGTCCTAGAACACACCATGCCGCTGGCCGCCCAGGCTCCACACGTGGCTACTCCACAGGAGGCCCAGCTATTAGCCCCAGCATCCCTTCCTCCAGAAGCCCACCTGCTGTACTGCTCCATCAGCTAGTGGTGAGGAGATGAGGGCAGGAAACAGGGAAGAGAGACCCACAGTCAATTGTCACAGTCACGGAAACAGACAGTGGTATGTGATGGAAGTAAACCAGGGATGGTGGCTTCTTAGACAAGTGACCATCAGGGAGACCCAAATGAAGATGGAAGGTGTGGGCGGAGTAGACTGTGGTATTATTCACAAACTTCTTCCAAATCTGTAAGAACCCTGGAGGCCAGACAGATCAAGAGTCGGCCCTTTTGGCCCCCCAAAGGGCTACCGCGATCACAGGCTCAGCACACAGACCCCATGGTTACTGCCCCAGCTGCACTGGGCATTCATCCTGGGCACAGGGCCTGTGTGAGACCAGATATCCCCCAAGGGCTCAGTGCAGGCAGAGCTATCCTAAAAGACAGGATTAAAGGGAACTACTGAGTGCTAACCCTGAGCCCTCCCTGCCTGCCTTCAGGCACACACTTCCCATCTTCTGTCCCTGAAGGCACCTGTCTATGTCCTCACCACACAGGTAATAAAACAGCCAACACCTGGGTCAAGCTGACAATGCACCCAGTGTTCCAAGTCTCCCTGAACCCCTGCGAAGGTGCGTGGGTACTTGTAGTATAGATGGGGAAACAGAGGCCCAGGCCCAGAGTCACCCGGCTAGAATTTACAGACAAGGGATTTGGCATCAGGAGTCTCAGTAATCCCTGCCCTGAAGCCATCTACACCACCTGACACCCGGGACAACTGCCAAGGCACTGAGTTGTCTGTGCTGGGCTGTATGGTGGCCCCCAAAAGTATTAACACTGACGTCCAGTCCCCTGGGCCTATGCATGTGACATTTGAAATAGAGTCTTTGCAGGTGTGTGTGATCATGCCAAGATGACATTATGGGGGGGGGTCCTGAGTCACCCCAGGCAAATAGTTCGGGAGAACCTATCTCAAAAAAGCCCATCACAAAAAAGGGCTGGCGGGTGGTTCAAGGTGTAGGTGCTGAGTTCAAACCCCAATACCACACAAAACTAATAAATAAAAAATAAAAAGAGGGCACGGTGACACGTAAAGGAAGGGCATGTGAAGACAGAGATCACAGTGATGTGGCCCCAAGCCAAGGAGCTGAAAGGTGCAGCTCCTAGGGAGGGAGTTCAGCCCTCCTTTCATTTCAGCGTTCTAGCCTCCAGAACCGTACAGAGTATGCTTTCTGGTTTGCAAGCCACCCAGTTTGTGGTATTGTTATGGCAGCCACAGGAAACTGGTCCAGCGCTCTCAAGCCATTACACACTGACGAAAGGCTGTGTGGGGCCTGTGGCCCACCTGTCTGCCCACTAGAACCCTCGGCCCCCAGACATGCCGGATGCAATGACCGAAAGTGGACTTGAGACTATTAGATAGAAGCAGCGCCTCAAACTTGAAAATGCTCGAGTTCTTTCACGGTTTGGTTGGTTGTGCTTCCTTCTTCCAACGCAACCCCACTCTCACCAAAGGCAAATCATCTTCATTATAAGAAAGTCAGAAAATTCTAGTTAAGGCAACTAGGACTCTCAGTGACACACACAGCCTCGCACAGCCGGCAGAGTTCTCTGCGTGGGGCATGCAGGCTTTGGGTGGCACAGGCTTGTCACCTCTGAGATTGGTAACCAACCAAAGTCCTGAACTCCACCAGGCGCTTTTAGACGGCATTAACTTTCGAATGACTTCTGCCCAGGAAAGGCGGGCCCTTGACCTGGGCAGAGGCAGTGCCCTCCATGGGGCAAAAGGTGCGGGGCGGGGTGGATGGAGGGTCCCGTGCACAGCCCTGGGTATCTAATGATTGGGGACAGGGGCTGCAGGAGGCACGAGGCCCGGGGTGCCATCCAGGCTGGGGGTTAAATCAGAGGAGATGTTAGGAGGCACCGCCCCACTGCAAAGCGTAATTACCAGGAGGGCACAAGCGGCACAGCAGATAAGGGCTGCTGGACAGTGCACACGAGCCTTCTGAGGAGGACCAGCGCCATCCACGTGCGGCGCGGCGCCTGCTCCTTTAAAGAGGCGCCTCACTAGACCGCGTTGCTGGGCACGTCACACACTATGTGCAGACGACTCCCAAGTCTAAGCACGGCCCGGTGCCCCTCGCGGCCTCTGATTGGACGTCTTCCGCGGCGCCGAGGCGTAGTTGACTTGCGCCGCGATCGTCCAATCGCAGCCTATTTTGCTCGAGGAGGGCGGGGCCGGGAGGTGCGGCCAATAGGGAGCGGCTTTGTTGGCGGCCACGGCGGCGCAGCCCGGAGCAAGCGAAGGCACGGCCGCCACTGCCGCAGGAGGCGCGAGGTGCGGAGCGCGGCGGGGCAGGCGGGTAACGGCGCGAAGGGCGAGCGGGCGGGCGGGCGGGCGGGGAGTGGGCCGGGTAGGCCGGGGTGGCAGGCAGGTGGTAGCCGTCATGGTGCCGGGCTGGCCGGGGCGGCTGGCAGAGGCGGGGCGGTGTCCTAGTCGGCCGGGCGGCGGCAGCGGAGTGGGCCGCTGGCGGCGGGCGGTGGCGGCGGCGGGCGGCGGGCGGCGTCTTCTCCCCTCCTCTCTGCCGGCCCCGCCCCGCCCCCGGCTGAAGGTCAGCAGCGCTTTGTTCGCGCCGCGGCCTCCCGCGCGCACGTGAAGCCCGGGCCCGCGCCTCTCGCCGGCGCGGCGAGCGGGGACCGCGCGGGACAGGACGGGGCGCGGCGGGACAGCCAAGCGCGGTGTCCGCCGGCGGCTCCTGGAGGGTGACGGGGTTGCGAGCTCTCCGCAGCCCGGCGGGTGACCGGGGCGGGGGAGGCCGGGGGAGAAAAGAGCTCCGCGCTGCGGGAGGGGGGACGGAACTCAGGGGAGTGGGCTCCGAGCCCTGCCTTGCAGAAGGGAAGGGGTCTTGGGAAAGGAGGCCGTAGGAGTCCGCACCCACGGGGGTGGGGGGCTCCTCTTGCACGTCTTGCCCGCGGTTCCGAGCGAGCGGCCGGTTTCTGAACTCTTCCCTTCACTCCCTTGGCCGGCCCCAGCGGAGCACTGCTGGGTCACGACAAGGCTCCCGCATCAGCCCGCAGGCCCCCGACGCGTCTCCGACGGCCTGTCGGAAGGAGCGGCTGCAACTTCTGTAGCATCTCTGCCCCACCCCGGGCCTTTCCACGTTTCCGCTCTGATCGCTGCCTGCTGGACACCCCGTTTTCCTGCGTTCAGTCGCACCGTGTATAAACACAGGCCTGTGGCATGCTCTTGCGGTAAAAGTGCCCACCCCTGTTCTTGAGCCTTCCTGCCGGAGTAACCGTAGTTCCAAATAACTGTCTCCTGTTTACTGCACGCCGGGGGCTCCTTTGAGCTCTTTGCGCGTGTTAACTCAAGTCACAGTCTGTTGAGCGTCCTTAACTTGGAATGCTTGGGGCCACAGGTGTTTCAGGTTTTGAGATATTTTCGTACATTTACCAGATGAGCATCCCTAATCTGGAAATGCAAAAGCCGACGTAAAGCTGGAAAAGGTTTGGGTTTTGTTTGAGATTTTTTTCCAGTAGGGGTGGTCAACCTGTAATTGGTTTTCCATTTAACTACCAAGGGAACTAAGTCGGTTTCCTTGGGAAGGTCGGTATAATGACTTGACCAAATTAACGGAGCTTGGATTAAAACCCAGGTAGTTTTAACTTGGCTCAGAGCTGCTGGTTCTGTAGAGGCAATGAGACATTTTTTAGAGTTTTAATGTTTTCCTTACTGCACTAAGCCTAGATGAACTCTTGGATTTGAGGATTTCCACTTCAGCATTCTGTTATCCCAAAGAATGCAGATAAATGCTTCCTGTGGTAGAATCTTCAGATGTTTCAGACTGGGGGTCAGCCATTGCCGGTGGAATAGGCAATGTGGAAGGCGGTGATAGGATCAGGATATGTTCCAAAGATAAATGAGTGGCTAAAGAAGAGGGAGCAGTGTAGTAGTGGGTCACTTGTCAGGTGAAGTTAGCAGGAAAAGCTCTCGAAGATGAATTTTTTTCAGTTTATTAGCTACCACCTCGTTTGTGGACAAGAAAAAAGTTTACGTTCAGATTTTAGAGGTAAGTTACTCTTTTTTTTTGTCTGAGATTGGAAAGGATTGAAGTTAAGAGCCCTTTGGTCCATAAAAATATCGCAAAACTTAATTTCTTACAAAAGGGACTTGTTACATAGGTATAGAAATTATAACCTTCCGAAGTTTAGGGTCTTTTTCATTAGAGTTTTAGGGATCCTTCTCATGGTATGATCTCATGCTCCAGTTTAATACTTTACTGCTGTCTTGAATAACTGTTCTTACACATCATTTGCTGTCTTTTTTCCTGGTGACCATTATTATTGGTTCGTAATGTCTGCCGGTGCTGTGCCTGTGTATCATGACATCTTAATTTTTTTTTTTAAATTTTGTTGTCTTAGCTTTGAATCCGCCACTGGTTTTCAAAATGAGTATAGAATAATTGGAGAAATTGATCAGGTTCTTTGTAGCTATCATTTTTAGTTTGATAACTTTGATACCCGAATTCTAAAAAGGATACATGTTTTAGGATGTCCTCAGAACATACAGGACATGTAGCTTTATGAATTGACCATTTAGATGCTCAAAACTAGTGTGGGATTATAATTTCGGAGATTTTTACTGTGTGAGGTACTTTGCCCTTTTATAGAGATTAAGTTCTTAGAGGTGGGATTGTTCATCACCCCTTTACGGTGTGAATTGATACTTGAATGTTAAAAGTATTCCCGTTGGGTTGAATGTGGTTGTGCATGTCTGTAGTCCCAGCTACTCTGGAGCTGGGAGTTCAACAGCAGCCTGGGCAACATAGCAAAACCCCATCTCAAAAAAAATGTTTTTCCATTAGCCTGTTGGATTTTTAGATCCCTCTTTTTATTGACAGCATATTTATTTCCTGTTAGCCATTCCTAGATTGAAGTTTTCCATTTTTCTTCTTTTTGAGCAGTTGATAGTCTCTAAGATTAGGAGGAGGTGATCTCAAACATAATATGTAAACAGCACAATGGAGTTCAGAATTACGTTTTTTGTTGTTGCTTTTGATGGGACTGGGGTTTGAACTCAGGGCTTCATGCTTACAAAGCAGGTGTTCTGTTTGAGCCACACCCCCAGTTTGGTCTGGTTATTTTGGAGATGGGGGTCTCTCTCAGCCTCCCAAGTAGCTAGGATTACAAGCTAAGCCACCTGCACCTGGTGATGCTGGGGGTGGAACCCAGGGCTTTGCATATGCTCAGCAAGTGCCGTTCCTCTGAGACCCCCGCCCCCCAAGCCAGAATTACTTTTAGAGGTGCTTTGCATCCTTTTCTTTGGCTTTGTAGTTTAGAACCTTGCCAGAGAGCCTAAATTTTTTGGTTTTGAAGAAAAATATTTTGTGGGCAAGAGCTATTTAATTAAATACCTGAAGATTTGAGAACCATCAGTTGTATGCAGTAGGCAGGTGCCATCGCTGCTGGGATCCTGTCCTCCCTTGTGATGGCCTCTTCCTGAACAATAAGTCAGCAGCATGAGCTTGTTGGAACTGCTAGCCAAGGAGAGCTTACATTTTGTTTGTTTCAAAGGAAATGTGTTTTGGGCTTCCAGAATAAAAGGCTGATACTAGTTTGACTCTTCTACCACTAGAGTGGAAGGAAGTAGCTGATGAGAAGTGGCAGGAAAGCACCTTCTGCCCCCAGCCTGTTTTGCATGCATGGGGCCTCCTGGCTAGCAAGCTGGGCTCTCTCTGAGCCACAGCTGTGAGGTTTGTCTTTGAGCACACACATCCTTAGTGACTGGAAGGCCTTTATTGATGGGTAGATAGTGAGTATCTTTATGACATTTTTTAAGAAATGACTGGCGGGCAGATTTGCTTGCATCTGGCAGCCATTGGTTTTCCACCCTATGTGCTGAAGGGGAAGCCCAGCTGCTTTACTTGGTGCTGTTGAATGTGCAACTTTGTGAGTTTTAGTAACAGGAGATGCATTGTATTTTTGTGGTATGAAAACTACAAAAGCTGGCTTTGTGAACTTTACCTTTTAATCTTGACTGCTTGGTTATGTAGTCTCAAACTTCCTGTTCCTCTGTGTAAGTGTACTTTGTCAGCTGTCTTAACTAAATGTGGTTCCATCCCATGTCCAGGGGGAAAGCCAGTTAATAAACAAGGTGAGGTAGTTTCAGTTTAATAGTGTATGGTAGAAAGATCAGCTCTATGCTTTATGTGTAAAGATTGTAGGTACTATATTTGAAAATAGTATTCATTTGCTCAGTTCTTGCAGAGCAGCTTCCAGTGCTTTATGTATCTTTATTTGTGCATCCTCAAGCACTTGCTACATGCCAGGTGTAGTTTTTGGTGCTGGGGTTTCCCTGTTGAGTAAAACAGACAAAAAGCCTTGTCCTCCTGTCTGCAGTGGGAAGGAGGCAGACATGCAAGTTAGGTGGTGGTAGATGCTTTTGAGGAAAAAAAAAAAAAAATAGAGACTGAGGTCTAGGCTCGTTGTAATTTGAAATAGGTTGGAGAGGGGAATGCCTTAATGACAAGGTGACAAGATCTTAGGTACTTGATTAAGAAAACTTTTCAAATGTTTGCTCTGTTCAGTTGTATTCTCATGAGTTGGCAAGAAAAGGGCAGAAGGGAGGGAGAAGGCAGGAGTGGGTCAAGGAAGACCACTGTGCTTCAACACAAGTGGAGTGCTTAGGCTAAGGTAGGGAAATCATTTTTACTCTCTTTCAGCAATCTCTGGAGAGAGAGATGGTCCCCTGTTGTCTGGAAATAGTATCTCAGTAGACCTGTAAGCAGACATGACTGTTGAAACTTCTCTATCCTGTGTCTTCAGAAACTGCTTGGGGCAAGCTAAGAATTGTGTGGCTTCCTGGTGCCATGTTGGGTACAGAACACAGCGAATTGGCTAGGCAGAGATTGGCATGCCAAGTCTGGTGCTGGGTCCTCGGACTGCTGCATTGAGCAAATAGACAGGGCCCCTGTCCTCATAGAGGAGCTTGTTTTATAGTGGGAAACACACATGCATTGTTTTAAGCACTATAATTAAAAGATTCTTACTTCGTAGAAACAAGCAGAAAAGGAGTGATCCCTATACCTATCACCTAGTTTCAACAATCTTAGTTTATATATCTGGCAATCTAAGTTTATCTGTAACATGTTTGCTCTTTAAAAAAATATATTGTCAAATAATAACTATTGCACATGGTGGGTGGTTTAGTCTGGTTTTGGGGGTTTTTGTTTTGGTTTGGTTTGGGTTTTTTTTGCAGGGGGAGGGTGGGTGAGACATGTATCCCAGGCTGGCTTCCTCCTGCCTCAGCCTTCTGAGTCCTGGGATTACAGGTGTAAGCCACCACTCTGGCTTTATATCTGTTTTTGTTTTTGTTTTGTTTTGGTGGTATGGGATTTGAACTCAGGACTCATGCTTTCAGGGCAGGCACTCTACCACTTGAGCCATTTTCGCCAACCCTGTTTTGTGTTGGTTATTTTTGAGGTAGGATCTCAAACTATTTGTCCGGGCTGGCTTTGGACCTGAACTGCAATCCTCCTCAGCTGCCTCCTGAGTAGCTATGATTACAGGCATGAGCCACTGGCACCTGGCTGTTTTTAGTTAAACTTTTTTGATAAATACCAGAAGATAAAGGAGCTGCATATAAATTAGATTCTTAGTAATTGAATATTACTGAAATCAGTTTGAATATAATTTCAAGACTACCTGTGTGAATTTAGAATCTGGACATTCCCTCTTCCTTTTGTTTTTAGTTGCTAATAGATTAAAAGTGTAAAGGAAAGGAATGTTGCTTAGCAGCATTTTCCATTAGTTTGGAAATTTACATAAGTTACATGGTTGTTTATTTTAAATGTTTTCACTTGCCTGCTGGTACATTTACCTAACATCCCAATTAACTTCTGGTCAGGCATTCTACCACTTGAGCCACTCAATCAGCTCCAAAATAAAGAGTGTTATATACTACATGTAAGTTTTTGTTTTGTCTTTTGCAGCACTAGAAACTCAAGGCTTCATGCTTGCTAGGCAGGCTCTCTACTGCTTGAGCCACTCTGCCAGCCAGTTAACTTCTGATGCTCGGGTTGGTGTTGATGGTCTGGGTACGGCATCTGCTGATTGGGAGCAGTATAATAATGAGATTTGGACTGTCTCTGGGCCTTATGTCTGGCCAGGTTTTACAGGTGGGGACAGTGAGATGTCCTAAGGCCTAAGGTTCGTTCCTTAGAATAATTGTCTCCTTTGCTTGAATTTTTTTTTTTTTTTTTTGGTACTGGGGATTGAACCTAAGGCCATGACATACTGGGCCAGTGCTCTACCAGTTGAACCACACCCCCTGCCCCTTGCTTACCTTAGTTATTTTTCTGATAGGGTCTCCTGCGATCCTTCTGTGTCTCCTGGTAGCTGGGATTACAGGCATGCTCTGCCACACCTGGATTGTTGGTTGAGATAGAGTCATACTAACTTTGCCCCATCTGGCTTAAAATTCTCCATCCTCCTTTCTCTGGAGTAGGTGGGATTACAGGTTTGCACTGCCACACCCAGCTCTTTCTTTTGGTCCTATGCTGGTGTGATCTAATACTCCTGAAGTTGTTGGGCCTGTACCCCAGGAATGATAACACTCCCTCTTAGGTCAGTAGGGTCAGCTCACCATCACGCAGTACTTTATGTGGACCAAGCTACTATGCTTTAGAACTCATTTAACTGCATCTGTAACTTAGTAGGCTGCTAGAAATTCTGAAGAGTTTAAGAACATTATATTTAAATTGTATTTAAGATCATTTTAATCATTCACTTAACTCATTTAAAGACATTTGTCTTTATGAAGACAGGTAATGTATAAAAATTGGGGGTTTGTGGCAGGCATTGGTTGCTCACACCTGCATGAGAGGCTAAGATTGGGAGGATCATGGTTTGAGGCCAGCCCATGCGAATAGTTCTTAAGACTCTCATCTCCAAAATAGCCAGAGCAAAATAGACTGGAAGTGTGGCTTAAGTGGTAGAGTGTCTGCTTTGCAAGAGTGAAACCCTGAGTTCAAACCCCAGTCCCACCAACGACTACAAAAAATTTAGGTGTTATGAAGTATGACTATACTCCCCAGATTAAAATAACCTAGTTTCAAATTCAGATTACTCTAGCTGTAGACTAAATGCTTTCAGTTAAAAATTAAGAATTTATCCTGGTGCTGGTGGCTCACACCTGTAATCCCGGCTACTCATGAGGCAGAGATCAAGAAGATCAAGGTTTGAAGCCAGCCCGGGCAAATAGTTCTGCAAGACCCTACCCCAAAAAACTCTGTCACAAAAAAGGGCTGATGGAGTAACTCAAGGTATAGGCCCTGAGTTCAAATCCCAGTACTGCAAAAAATTTAAAAATTAAGGATTTTATTGGATAATTTGCTACAAAAGTTTAAAAAGCTTTCCACAGAGAATGTGGGATAAAAAAGAAATTCCACAAATAAGATTTTTGCAGTGTCTTACATAAATAAAAGCAGGACATTGGCCCTGGGAAGAAGCCTCAACTACTGCATTCTTTTAATTTAGAATATTCTTTCCTCTGGTGGCTCTTTCCTGTCTAATTTGGTTGCCTTTTTTGTTGTTTTGTTTTGGGTTTTGAGAGGGTCTTAACTGTTGACCTTGCACTCATGATCCTCCTACCTCAGCCTCCCGAGTCCTGGTATCACAGGTATGCACCCCCATGCCCTGCCTTAATCTTTTTTTTTTTTTTGGTCGTGCTCTTTATGTTTCTTTTTTTTTTTTTAACTGATTCTTATTTTAGCAGTACTGAGATTTGAACTCCAGGCCTCACACTTGCTAGGCAGGCACACTTACTGCTTGAACCACTCCATCAGTCCTCTTGATACTCTTCCCACTTCCCAACAAGGCTTAGGACTGCAGCTTCATAAAGCCAACATTACACTTGGTATTCCAACATTTAAATCTCAAATTTGCAAATTTGATTGTGTGTGTGTATGTGTAACCAGAGTTTGAACTCAGGGCTTCAAACTTGCAGAGAAGGTGCTCTGTTGCTTGCACCAGCCCTTTTTGCTCTGGTTATTTTAGAGATGGGGTCTCGAGAACTATTTGCCCTTGCTGGGTTTGAACTGCAATCATCCTGATCTCAGCCTCCCAGACAGCTAGGATTACAGGTGTGAGCTGCAGGCGCCCAGCAATTTGATAGTTCTTTATAACTTTTAGTGTTGAGGATTTTATTTTTGAATTATTATTATTAGTAATTGTGCAAAGTGGTTTGTTATGGCATTTCATTCTTGATATGCTGTGTACTTCAATCATATTTACATACACGTTATAACGTTAGGGATTGCTGACCTTGCAGTCTGTCACCGTCTACGTTGCTTTTCCTTACAAGAAGGGAGCAGAGTTTAACTTGATTTGATGACTTCACAGCAGATGGGTAGGATAGACTGCATTTTATAGTCAGAGTGGAGAGGCCTAGTGTGCTGCCAAGTACTAGGAACCTTGGGCCTTAGACCAACTTTCAGCTGGGTGCTACAGTTTATGGACGATGGAACGGAGGTGCAGAGGAGGGCCAGATAGGAAATTGGGGGTCGGGGGTGGGAGTGACTCAAACCCAGATCAAAACTAGATTGCTTGTTGTGTGTCTGCTTTCCCTAGACATTGAATTCTGTTTCTCTCTCTCTCTCTCTCTCTCTCTCTCTCTCTCTCTCTCTCTCACTCTGTTTGTTTTTGTTTTGTTTTGTTTTTTTGTTTTAGGCATTGAGTTCTGGGTTAGTTTGTTGGTTTTTATTTTTCAAGATTACTTTCTTTAAGTGGGTGTAATGACTCACTTCTATAATCTCAGCTGCTTGGGAGGTGGTGATGAAGAGAATTGAAGTTCAGAGCCAGCCAGGCAAAAAGCTAGCGAGACTCCCATCTTAACAACAATGAAAAAAGCTGGGCATGTTGTTTCATGTCTATAATCCCAGCTACATGGGAGGTGTAAGTAGGATTGCTGTCCAGTATGGCCTGGGCAAAAAGGGTAAGGGGTGTGGGTCAAATGGTAGAGTACCTGCCTAGCAAGCTCCAGGCCTCAGTTCAAACCCCAGTACCTCAAAAAAAATTTTTTTTTGTTTTCTTTCCCACTGTTCAGATTCATCTTCTGTTTTTGTATCCTTGATGTAATAATTTCTGAGTTTTTGTTTTGGAAGCTTTTTTGAGAATATCGTGTCAGGTTTTACTTAAGTGCCTGTCATGACATTCCCAAATGTAGCATTAGACGACACAGTTAGGTGTACTGTATCATGAGCCTACAGAGTTGGAGTAGGTGTCGGTCCCTAGACAGGTGAGCCTCTTAGCCTGTGCCTGAAGTAGGGTGTATTTATGCGTGCAGCTTGCTTGTTTTGCACTCTGGGACAGCATCATGAGTACATAGAGAGGAAAGCCTTCCCCCTCTTTCTGCATACGATGGACTTCTTGGAATGTGGTAGCGCCTCGGGATTCTGACCCGACTGGATAAGCACTCAGAGGCAGCAGGGAAGATAGAAGGATCTGGATTTGAAACCCAAATCCACATCTTTCGGGCCACGTGACCTTGGAGTAGGCCTCTCACCTTTCTGAACAGCTTCCTCACTTACAAAGTGAGGTTAGTTCCCCCCTTGATGAACTGATGGGAGTGTGAAATGTGTGAAGCTCCTGGCATGCCAGACTCTTGCTGGTACGGGAAGTGCTGGAGATGAAGGTGCTGGCTGTACTAGTGACTCCTTAATGAAAACGAGTCTGTTCATTAGTCTGGCATTGAGAGCTGCTCCCGGGCTGGCAAACTCCTTCCATCAGTTAGTGTGTGTTGTCTAGAGAAGGTACTATCAGAATCACACTAGGCAATGGGGAGCTCTAATTATATAGCCAGGTGTAGGTGGTATCAGTGGGTAGCCAAGTCGGGTAGTACGTATGACCCAGAAAGCCAACATGCCAATCCTACTATAGAACAAGAATAAGTAGGAGTGGAAAACCATATTAAACAAAGATGTTCCTGGATCTCATTATCAAAAGTATATCATAGAAAAACCCCACCTCAGCATTTAACAATTGGCAAATGATATATGTTCACTGTCAGAATCTTAACCAAACCTAATTATGAAGACCTCCCTACTTCATCCCTTGTATTTGTAGTGTGAGAAAAAGCAGCTAGTAGCTTGGAAACCATATGATAGCAGCAACCATGAGCTGGGTGGGAATAAGAGTGGTGAGGGAGGCAGAGGTAGAGAGTTTAGCAATTTGGATCCCGGTTAGAATGAGTTTGGATTCTGCAGAAGGTGATGGGACTGTTGAAGGGTTTTTAAAACCTCACTGAGATAGGGCTAAGTTTGGGTAGCCACCGTGGTGATGGTAATGTGGGTATGGTCAGCTCTGGGGTTTGAACTCAGGGCCTCACGCTTGCTAGGCAGGCACCCTACTGCTTGAGCCACTCTGCCAGCCCTTTTTTGTGTTGGGTTTTTTTCCAGATAGGGTCTTGCAAACTAATTCCCCTTGTTGGCTTCAACTTGCAATCCTCCTGATCTTGCCTCCTGAGTAGCTAAAATTACAGCCACAGGTGCCCGGCTCTTTCTGCTTCGCTTTTTGAAGTAATACAATGTAAAATTTCTGTAGTGTTTCCACACATTTCATCTTAAAACAATAAAAACCTAATTAAAAACTCCAGTTGAGTTAAATACAAAACATTTGTAGGTTATAAATTCTGATAGTGGAACTGGCCAAGTGGCTAAAGTGATAGAGCGCCTGCCTTCAAGCCTGGTGCCCTGAGTTCATACCCCACTGCCACCACAAAAATTCCCTAGTGTTCATTATGTGCAACATGTGTGCATAACATGTAGCCCATCAAAATTCAGTTTATGAATGAAAAAATTTAACTAAAAAGTCCTACCTGGATACAAGTTTCTTGTTCTGTGCTTCCTTAAAATTTTGTGGCTAAGTGGTTTGGGCTGTGCTTGGACCCTGGGAGGGAGGCGACAGCCAGGCTCCAGGTGGAGCAGCTTCTGGAGAAGCACTCCAGTCTGACCCAGATGAAGCATGAGGGGCTTCTTGACACTTCTTATGTTTATTGCATATTTAGGGGCCTCTGAAGAGCTGTGTTTACATGTTACCTTGAATGCATTAAGACCAAGTTTTAGAATTTTGTTGATAGCAAGTTTTTCTATCTAAGAAGAAAGTACCCCAGAATCTATCCTTAATATTGATAGCTAGAAAGTCACCAAATTTTCCCATCCAGAGACAGTCACTTTAAATATGCCTTATGAAAGTGGGATCATACGGGATGTATTAAATGATGTCTTTACACAGTAGTACATCTTTGATGTAGAAATAATAAAAGATGCAGAATTAGCAGATAAAATTGGAATATTACCCTGTGCATTTGCTCAAGAGGCAATGTAAACACCAGTGAATGTTTTGAATTTCTCTAAAATAACTGGATTAATATACTATATGGTTCTGTCATTAAATTTATTATAGAGATAAGGTAAATGAGGATTAATTGTTCTTATAGTGAAATCTTACCACTTTAGTGTCAGTAAGAGAAATTTTTATGAGTAAAATTTACTATAACGAAGTGCATAGATCTTAACTATACTCTAATGAGTTTTGACTGTGAACCCAAGTACCTCAGGCAAGACTTGGAACATTTTTTCATCCAGGGAAGGTGCCTACTGCCCCTTCGATTTGCCTCTCCATGCTATAGACAGGCAGTATTGAAGAGTACATCCGAACAGATGTTTTTCTTTGTGAATGTAATTGTTACAACTCTTTTTAATTTGTAGGGGATAAAAGCATTCAGATGGCAGATAACAGGTAAGCCAAAGTGGACTTGATCATTGGAGTTTAAAAATGTAGTTGGTGACCAAGAGCCAAGCTGTATTCCAGTAAACTTAGAATCAAAATTAAATGCATTCAAGCTCTAAGTGATGGCTCTTTATTTCATTTTCCCCGCGTCTCCGAGCTGGTAAAGAAATGTCTTTCAGACATGAACGGTGTCTTAGATAGTGATACTTGGAGACCTCATGTGGAAAGCAGACATTACGCTCCCCAGCCTTTAGTCCCATCTCCCCCACCTGCCATGAAGTCACATAATTAATTTGATGTGACTACTGATGGTCAAGGGGAGAATTTTTTGTGGGCTGTTCAAGGTCAATGTTGGTTGTATCTTCCTTGGTTGCTTTTCATAAGGAGGGTGTGTCCAGACATTCTTTGAAAACTGTTAAACCTGTTTTCGTGGACTTCATTCTTTTGGAGATGTTGCATGGCTGGTGTTTAGAGTGCCACAGACACTGTCATACAGCACAAGGTGGCTTGCATGAGCCCTTGATCGAACAGTAGATGTTGATTGGTTCGTTGGTTGATTGGTTTAGCTTGAGGGCTGGGAGCAGATTCTGAGGAAAGAGATTATAGACAGAAAGCTAAGAATCTTTGGCAAGGGTTGCAAGTGAGAACCAAGCAGGATAGCCTGTGTATTGGGGATGGAGGGGTGCTTGGTGGTAAACAGTCTTTTCAGAACAGCGAGGAGAGGGAGTCTCCACTAGGTAACACATGCATGTCAGTGTTCTTCATCCAAATCTGAAGTCACTGTGAGGCACTTCTTGATATGTTGAAGAAATAAAAAAAATGCCTGTTTGTCTGATTTCCTTTGGAACTTTCTGTACAATAACACTTCTTAAATGTATTGTTTTAGTTTTTCAGATGGGGTTCCTGCAGATTCTGTGGAAGCTGCTAAAAATGCAACTAACACAGGTCAGTCCCCTGCACATGAAACAGCCAACAGTTGAAGAGATTGTGTGTAAGGCATGGACTTTCCTCCCCTGGAGCCTTTTATTATTATGATAATACCAGGAAAGGATTTCTGTCCTTCAAAGATTTGAGGAGCTTAGCTACTCAGGAAGCAGAAATCAGGAGGATCTTGGTTTGAAGCCAGCCTGTACAAATAGTTCACAAGAACCTGTCTTAAAAAAAAACCTTCACAAAAAAGGGCTGGCAGAGTGGCTTAAGGTATAGACCCAGAGCACTGTTTAAAAAAAAAAGGATTTGAGGAAAGTTAGGGTAACTAAGATGAAAATCAGAACCTCAATGGGTAATGTTTTTATAATTCAGACTCAAAAGCAGTAAGAATAGTTCTGTGCCCTCCTTGCACCTGCCCTCATTGGCTTGGGCATCAAAAACATAAGATTGGTCTTCTGCCTGTACCTACCTTCCCCTGCTTGTTTTGAAGCAAACCCAGATGTGTCAGATGTGTCATTGTGCTCATAAATTCAGCGATGGGATATCTTTTCTCTGTTAAGAAATTTATATATCTGAGCTGGGTGCCTGTGTGCCTGGAATCCCAGCACTCAGGATACTGAGTCAGGAAAATCACAAGTTCCAGGCCAGCCTGGGCTACATAGTGAGACCCTGTCTCAAATTATTGGACACTTAGAGTCTTTGCTGTGAACCACATATTGCCCCACTCGTAACTGACAGTGAGTGAAAGACAGTTCCTACTCTCTTGTCTATTTGTTTATTGGAAAACAGGTGTCTAAATACAAACAACTCAGTATTATAAGTCCATTCCAAAGGTGCATGAGTTGTCAGGAGAGTGAGGTGATTGGGGAGTGCTTCATGGAGGAGGTGGGTTTGGGAGAAGGGAGAGGAGCATACACAAAGGAAATTTGGCAGTATGGTGCCAACCGGGAGCTAGGGAGAGGTAGGTTTTTTTGGACAGAGAAGTGAGTGAGGGCACAAGCAAGTGGGTGCTGTTTTACTTTGAGGAGCTGATCTTACCACTGTCCTTGCTTTCTGAACATCACTGTGGGATTTGGGGAAAGGAGGAGGTAACCAGAGATAGACCACCTGAACTTGGCAGTTAATGAGGTTGGGACACAGGCAGGAGCCAAGAATCTCTAGGTATCCCCAACAACCCACTTAGGTGATTAGCAAAGAGTATTCAAAGATTGTAAGGTAAAGTTTATTTTCAAAACAGATTCTTTGCTGTATTTAGAAATGATTAGCTAAGCAAAATAGATACATTTGGTGACCTTTAACTCTTTGCTGCTCTGTTTTGGACATATTTTAAATGTTTCTTGTTTCGAACTCTTACTAGAAAAGCTCACAGATCAGGTGATGCAGAATCCACAAGTTCTGGCAGCTTTACAGGAAAGACTTGACAATGTCTCTCACACTCCTTCCAGCTACATTGAAACGTAAGTATTCTGCCAGTAAGATGGATGCTACTTGATACAGCAAAATGAAGAGAAGGAAGCCATCTCTGTGTGTCAGGATGGGTGTGGCTTTCATTCTGAGGATGTTGTTAAGAGCAGTCTCTGGGGCCCAAAAGACCAGTTAATGCTGCCCTGTGATCAGGCCACAGGCTGCCTTTTTCATGGAGGGAATAATGAGCAGGTAGGTCCACTTGTCTTCTGGGAAGCCCACAGTGCCATCCTGTGGCAGGTTAGAGCATTTCACACATTGTCATCATTGGCAGGGTAGGAGGAGTTGGCAGAAGGCAAAATGTTGTCTGGCTCCTAAGTTAGCTAAGAGAACCTTTCATACTTGTAGTTCTAGCTACTTGGGAAACTGAGCTCGGGAGGATCAATTCTAGGCCAACCTAGGTAAAAAATGTTTCTGAGGCCTGTTTCCAAAATATCCAGAGCAGAGGAGCTGAAGGCGTGGCTTAAGCTGTAGTATGCCTGCCTCACAAGCAGGAAGCCGTGAATTCAAACTTGAATATCGTCCAAAAAAGAACTTCTCCCTAAGTATCCCACATAAGCCTGTGGTACCAACGTACTTGTCTTGTTTTGAGACAGGGTCTCTATATATAGCCCAGACTGGCCTTAAACTTTCACTCTTCCTGCCTTAGCCTTCTGAGTGCTGGAATTACATTTGTGTGCCACCACTCAGCTAACACCTTTTTTACAGAAGGCCTATTTCCTGTTCCTGTTGCACAGTGGAAATGAGGAGATACAGGGACTCTCAGGGACTGTATTCTAGCAGGAATGAGCCATTGCTCTGCTGCCCTGTACAGTCGGGTCAGGGCTTGACCTCACAGAATGTCCCACCCTTTCCATTAGTTCCCTACTCGACTTGTTGGTGTCCCCAGGCTGTTACAATGGGAGGGGACACTAGGCATTAGTTTTGTCCATTTAGAGTCTTTGGGGATTACTTGGTGGGTAACATTTGGAAGAGTTCAGGGAATTGAACCCAGGGCCTCACATGTAGCAGTTAGGGTTCTACAGTGTGTTTTTAGCAGGCTGGATGGCTGGGATGTAGTGATGTGTGGGAGTGGAGGGAATTGAGAGTGCGTAATGGTTTCTAGTTTTCTGGCCATAGAAACTGGGTACGTTGGGTATTTCATTTACTGAGAGGAACTACAGGGTAGGGCCCAATTGTGGGCAAAGCATTGGTTCCAAGTTGGCCATACTGCATGAGGGTAAGCAAAGGGCTTAGACTAGTGCTGCCTTTCTGCACTCGGGAGCTCGGTTCCCGTGAACCAGTGTTGAAGATGTGGGTCTGGCCCATCCCAGGGGTATTGTTTGTGTTTGTGATGAAACCCTGAGACTTCTCCCTCCACTCCCCATGATTGTGACCAAGGGCTGTATTTGGAAACAAATAATTTTCTTGGATTAGAAATTTTTTTCTTCTTATTTTAGGAGTACTCAATACAAGTGCAAAAAGTTCTAGACTATAGAATGGAATAGAAAGACAAAGAAACTCAGTTTATCTGACTAGAAGAGAACCTTCCCGTGTCAGTGTCTTTGCATGAGGACTTCCCGTGGCAGTACACCTGGACAGCCAAACATAAACAGAACGTGTTTGTGTTCTGATCAACTTTGTCACTGTTTCCAGTTTTTAATGTTCATAACTAATAGTACCCATGTGTACTTTGGAGCTAACTATTCAGCTATTTCCTTAAGGCAGGTTCTTAGCAGTACAATTGCTGATCCAGAGACCATGCTCAGGTTCCTGGTCTGTCCTTAAGGACAATGGGTCAATCCAAGTTTGTGGTTTTGCTCTTTAATTGCCAATTTGTAAGGAAAATATGGAATCCTACAGATTTACAGGTTTTTGTTTTTTTTTTTCTTTTGGGGGAAGGGGTGGGACCTTGATTTGAACTCAGAGCTTCATTCTTGTAAAGCAGGTACTCTGCAGCTTGAACCACACATCTAGTCCGTTTTGCTCTGGTTATTTTGGAGATGGGATTTCACAAACTATTTGCCATAGCTGACCTTAAACCTGTGATTTCCTGATCTCAGCCTCCCAAGTAATTAGGATTACAGGCATGATTACATTTTATTTTTGATATTTTTATGAGATGAAACTTTTCTTCCTGTTTGCCATTTTATTTATTTATTTTTGGTGGTGCTGGGGTTTGAACTCAGGGCCTCACGCTTGCTTGAGCCACTCCACCAGCCCTTTTTTATGATTCTTTTTTTATTTTCCCCCTGATGTAGGGTATCAAAAATTGTTTGCCTGGTTCTGGCTTCGAACCATGATCCTCCTGTTGTCTGCCTCCTAAGTAGCTAGGATTACAGGTGTGAGCCACCAGCACCTTGCATGCTTTACCCTTTGTGAATTACCTTCCCACCTTTCTCCTTTGCCCCTTGTTTTCTGTTAGGTCATTTGTCCTTTTCTAACAGTTTTTAGGAGCTCTTCATAGTGAAGGGTGTTGATTCTATATTTGTCTAACTTTATCAGCATGTGTTTATTGAACATGGGGATTCATTGACTTAATAAAGTTGCTTTGCAGGCATAGAGATGTTTTATTTTCTCTTGCCTTTTCTAGCTTACCTAAAGCAGTCAAAAGGAGAATTAATGCCTTAAAGCAGCTTCAGGTGAGATGTGCGCACATCGAGGCCAAGTTCTATGAAGAGGTCCATGACCTGGAGAGGAAGTACGCCGCTCTGTACCAGCCTCTGTTTGACAAGGTGTGTGTTGCTGCTGTGTTGAACTCCTGCAGCTGACACAGTCCCCAGGGACTTGTTCTGTGTGTCTTTTCGGAGAGATTATGTGTAAGCATCATAGCTCTTAAGTTTCCAAGTAACCTAAAATTCTAATGAGGCCTCACTCTTACGTAGAGAAGAGAATTCATCACTGGTGATGTGGAGCCTACAGATGCAGAGTCAGAGTGGCACAGTGAAAATGAAGAGGAGGACAAGTTGGCCGTAAGTTTTTGTGGGTTTGCTTTTTGTTGGTTTTAAATGTAACTTGTGTTCTGTTAGAAATAAGCAACCTTTTTGATGGCTTTTAAAACCTTTTTTTTTTTTTTTTGTGGTATTGGGGTTTGAACTCGGGGCCTCATGCTTGCTGGGCAGGTGCTCTACCACACCACTTGAGCCATTCGGCCAGATTCTGCCAGCCCTTTTTGATGGTTTTAAATCATCAATAAAACTTCTGGAAAACACTTCTGGCAGCAGGTGCTCCTTCTCCCTCGAGTTTGGGGCCCGTGGATCCCTAGTGATATGGTCTGACATTTGACGTAGTCCCTTCTCAGCAGTCCCTACGAAACACTGTATTAAGATACAGTCAGATGAGCAAATAGTGATTAGAGTTGCTGTGAACGTCTTCATCCAGAGGAGGTAGAGATCAGCCTAACTGGGAGCTGGATGGCTGGGGGACATGAGGGAAGAGCCATCTGGAGACCTTCAGCTGCTCATTTGTGGTGTGTCACACTGAGGAGGGGTTGGTACCATGATGAGCATCTATGACAGTCCTGTTCCAGTGCCATGGAAAGTCTCAACATGCCACAGGTCAATTTTATCAGCCTGGTTTTTTTGTTTGGTTGGTTTTTTTTTTAGTTGATGTTTTTGCATGTATGTGTGTCCATGAGTACTGAGGTTTGAACTCAGGTCTTGTGCTTACTAGGCATGCTCTTTATCACTTGAGGCACATCCCAGCCCTATTCAATTTAGGTTATTTTTTAGGTAGGGTCTCAGATTTTTGCCCAGGGCTGGCCTCAGATTGTTGATCCTTCTACATAAGCCTCTGGAGTAGCTAGGATTATCAGTGTGAGCCACCAACCTTGGCTGTTCGTTTTTGTTTGTTTTAGTTTTGGGGTTTTTGGTTCTGGTGGTGGGTTGTTTTTGTTTGTTGGTTTTTTTGGCAGCACTGAAGCTTGAATCACTCCACCAGCCCATTTGTTCATTTTTTAAATGGTGCCTGGGGGTGGAGCCCAGGGTCTCATGAATGCTAGGCAAATGCTCTGCCACTGAACTACACCTCAGCCCCTGTCAGCCTGAATTTCTGTTTGGGAGACAAGTAGCTTTTGTCCTCTAGCATTAACTTTTATGGAATCTTTTTGAAATATGTGTTAATTTTGGTGGCCATATATGGTTTTGATGTTTTAAAAATAAGCAGAACCTGATTTGGTTGAAGCTGTGACTATGGATCAATCTGTTCCTTACAACTCAAGAAAAATCCACCTTTGCAATTTAAAAAGTCTGGCATGGCTGTTTTATTCTAGCAGCCCTGTGTGACAAAGTATTCATAATTTATTCGGGTCTGTGTTTAACCTCCTTGTGTCTGCCTTTTCCTTAGGACTGTGTTGTTACAAGACATCACAGTATCAGGTGGCTTTTCTGGTCACAGTGCTTACGCAGCCGTCTGCTGGCAGCTGGACATGCAAGCTGCTGAGCAGATGTATTTATATTTAGAGAGATGCTGCTGCAGCAAGTGATTTTACACCTCAGCTTCCTTAACCCTACACACACGTTTTACCAAAAGTCGGGGTGCTTTCTTGTTTTTTTCCCTTCTCTGGTCCTGGGGATTAAACCCAGGTCCTAGCTCCCAGAGGCCATGTGCTTAGTTCAGATAAACTTCTTGTCCTTGAACTAGGTTTTTTGTCTTTTTTTTTTTTTAGATAAAATCTCAATATGTAATCCAGGCTGGCCTTGCGCTATGTTCTTTCCACTTTAACAGTAAGGAGTGTGATTATATAACATGTTGGATCTTGAAGCTAATGTGACGCCTTCACTCTCATTTGGTGACAGGTGGTTCACCAAGCAGGCACTGGATAGCCTTTCCCAAGTCTGGTGGCACTTTGCTTTATCTAGCTTGTTCCCCTTGGTATGAAATTTTACTATGAAATCACATCTGGAAGCAGTGCCCCTAGTGGTTTTCCCTTCTATGTTTTGGAGACACCAACAGAAGGAATGTGTTAAGGGATATTGAAATTCTGTTCTCCGTTCAACAGTTGAGCTATAGAATAAATTTGATTTTTTGAGATAACTGTTCTGTTTCGCATCTTTATTTTGTAGGGAGACATGAAAAATAAAGTAGTCATAGCCGAGAAAGAAGAAGCAGCAGCGGAAGAGCCAAATCCCAAAGGAATCCCAGAATTCTGGTTCACCATCTTCAGAAATGTGGACATGCTCAGTGAGCTAGTGCAGGTGAGCAACTTTTACTTGAAGAGACTCTAGGAGAATTCCACGGTGACTTGCCTGTGGTTTTACTCACACACTGCTTACCTGGGTGCTAGGAGGTCCTTTAAGTGGATGGGGATGCACTTTCTGAAGGCAGGCACTCAGGCAACAGTCCTGATCCCCAGGAACAGGGTCTTTGCCTCCTCTTTGGCTCTTGGTGCAAGGCTGTCAATTAAGCCTGAGCCAAACTTTGTGAGTGGGTTCCCTGTACCTCCTGCAAAGGTCCACAACTTTACCCTCAGGAACCTATTCACAGGTTCAGGACCTGTGTGAGAAGCAGAGAGCCTGAGGACAAAGAGGGAAGACTCTGCTTCAGTGGGGAGCACTGTGTGTGTCTGTACTTACGTGGAACGAATTGACCATTGCCCTTGAAGAGGTCTTAATGTTAAAAAAAAAAAAAAAAGAATAGCCTTTCTGGTTTTGTCTTGTCTACCTTCCTATAATGAACTAGTGAACTAATTAGAAGGTAACATTTGACTTTCCTTGAAATGAGTTGCAGTACAAGTTTCTAGAATGCAGAAACAAGTACCATCCTGAATCTCACCAGCTGCCTTCTGTAGAGCACAGCTACTGTACCTTACAGACAGCTGTACTGTGATTTGTACAGCAATTTTACAGACACATTTTTAGTGGTTTTCAGACGTTAACCTGATTGCACCTCCACCACTACCTTGTTTACCCTCCATCTTAACCCAAAACTTAAGAAAGGATAGGAAAGTGGAAAGAATGGTGCATTTCTTTCTGTTTTCCTGATCTGAGCCAGAAATTTGCTGGAAATACTAGGTATCTACCAAAGCTGTCTTATCCTGACTATATGCTAGAGTCACCTGGGCAACTTTTAAAACTATGTAGTAGCCAGCACCAATGGCTCACACCTGTAATCCTCTCTGCTTGGGAGGCTAAGGTCAGGAGGATTAAGGTCAAGGGCCAGCCTAGGAAAATAGTTCTTGGGACCCCATATCCAGAATAACCACAGCAGAATGGGCTGGAGGTGTGGCTCAAACAGAGCACCTGCTTTGCAAGTGCAAAGTGCTGAGTTCAAATCCCAGTCTCACAAAAAAAAAATGCATAGCAACATCAGTGCCTCCCTCACTGCCCCTGAGGCAGTGAGACTTTGAGTTGTTGTTGGTGGTGGTGGTGGTGGTGTTTCTTTGAGATAGGGTCTTGTCATGTATCAAATGCTAGCCGGGAACTCGACACGTAGTCCAGGCTGGCCTTGAACTCATGATTCCTTAGCTTCCTAAGTGCTGAGATTATAGGCACATATAACCATGCCTGGCTTTCACTGTGTTTTTTGGTTGGTTGGATTGGTGGAGGCTCTTTTGTTGAATTTGTTTGTTTGACTGGCCCTTGCAGTTGCTAGGCAAGTACTTTACCACTGAGCTACACTCCTAGGCTTCTGGGCGTTTTTAGAAGCTCCTCACATAATCCTGTGATGCTGACACTGCTGGGTCAGAACCTACTTTGAGGGAAGCAAGTTTGTCATGGGGCGTGGTTTTCAGTACCAGACTCAGGTGACTGGATTGGCTCCTGGTGTCAGTCTTCTGCTCCCTGGCATCTTGAGCATCGGGGAGACTGCTCATTAGTGCATTGCCTTCCTGTGAGAGAGCCAGGGCATAACAGGCCACCATATTTTAGTAGGGTGCCTTCCATACTCCACATTGGTATCAGTGCGTTAGGTTTTAAGCCACAAAGTGTCTTTGCTGCATTGTGATTTAAAGCTATAAAAAGGTGTGATGAGATTTATGGTGTTCTCATTTAACATGCCAGGGAGATGAGATTCCACTTGTACCATTTGTAACCTGGTAACTGATGATTGCAGTAGTTTCTGTTTTAGTCAAACGTTAAATCCTGGGGATGTGGCTCAAGAGGTAGAGCACCTGCCTAGCAAGCACAAGGCCCTGAGGTCAAACCTCAGTACTGAAAAAAAAAGTTAAATTCCAAAGAAGGGATTGATTCTGGTCCATCAGTTGTATCCAAGGGTAATTACTTCAAGTAGGCTTGTAAAAATTGGAGGCAGCAGCTCCACGATTCAAGCTCCCGAGTTGCTTCTGGTGTCTGCCATGTAAAGTTCCCACCCACAAAGTACGTGAGGAAGCTTATGAGCTTTCACTAGTTCTGGGTGGCGTCAGGAGGTACTGCTACTTGCTTTGAGTGAAGGTGTTGGATACTCCCAGTGCCATCTACTTGGAAGACATGCCAGTGAAAACACTCAGGGTGGCAGTCAAGAGCTGAGCATTTGTACAAGGTGGGCAGCATGAGTGGCAGAGCCCAGCGCCTCCTGGTTCTGACATTCAAGGCATGACCACTTTTGTTGCTGTGACCTCCTTTCAGTACTGCCTTTAGATTATTATTTGACTGAAGGTTTGCTAGGTTTCTTTTTGCTGTTGGTTTTGTTTTGTTATGTCAAAAGAACTTAACATTGGAAAGTTGGCAGTTACAGACTCAGTTCTTAAAAACTTAATGGAACCTCAAGAAATCCTTGAGCCCAGTGCTAGCGTTGAAGGGTAAGGAAGTAACTCCATGTTACTATTTGTACCTCTGTCACTGCTCTGTGATCATAAGAGTTTAGGTATTTAATTCTTCTTCTGCTTTTTTTTTTCACGTGGATTCTCTAAAATCACAGGTTTCTGTAAACTCTGAGTTTATTGGTCACTTGTAAAAGCATACAGCCATAATATGAGTTATGAGCTCCTGCAAGTTGGACTGTTGACATGCTTTGTAAGTGTTCTTGAGGAAGTGACCGGTTACTGTGGATTTAGGATATTTATTGCCACAGGTAGGGACATTGGCTGTCAAGGAACAACCAGTGAGGTTCTTCTCATGTCTGGCCTTCTGCTGTCTCCTCAGAGAAGCTGAGGTCCAGAAGTGCTGATTGCTGGCTCTGTGTTCTCTGCGCAGTGATGTGGTATTAGGAAAGCAAGGGATGCGGTGACATTGGAGACAGGCTGGTGTTGGAGGTGTTGGCCCTGTGCTAGGCCAGAGACAGGTGGCTCCTGATACTTGGCACATTGTGGCTGCCACCCAAAGGTGTAGTCAGTGAACATATTTGGGTTGCTTCCTGGAAGTTAATACGTGACAAGGACAGGATTCCACCAGGGACAAGTATCCCAACATCTAAGAGCCCATGCATGCAACTGCAGCTGTGTGAGATATGACTGTTTTTAAAAGCCCATTGAAATATTTTTTTTTTCTATTTTGATTAGGAATATGATGAACCAATCTTGAAACACCTTCAGGATATTAAAGTGAAATTTTCAGACCCTGGACAGCCCATGGTGAGTACTAACTGAGCTGTTGGTCGGCTGAGGGGCCTGGAACTAAGAGCAGGAAGTCCACTTCCTGTCACTAAGCACTGGACAGTTGTGATCAGGGCACAGCAGACCTTAACTCGGTGCTGTGGTTGGAAGTCTGAGCTCTGTAATTGGAGCAGCAGCCATCCTTGGCATAGGACTCGCGGAGGTGTGTGCTGAGCACATTGGGCTGGGTAGTGTCCCCTGGGCCAGACCTGACCCTTTGGTTACTGTGTTTCCTCGTAAGGTGGTGGCGATGACATACACGAGTTTATGCACACCCAATGTCAGTTTAAAAGGATGAGAAGTAGCTGAGTGTGGTGATCAGTGTTTGTAATCCCAGCTATTTGGGAAGCTATTCCTAGAGGATCCTTTAAGCACGTGAGGTCGACACCAGCCCGGGCATCATAATGAGACTCCATCTCAAAACATAGAAAGTACATATACAGAGATGAGCAACACTTATACAGAAACCTACCAGGGTTTAGCACAAAAATGAACCAGGTGCTAGTGGCTCCATGCCTGTAAAGCTAGCTATTTGGGAGGCTGAGATCAGGAGGATTGAGGTTGGAGCCTAGCCCAATCCATCCAAAAAGACTGAAAAATGTCTTCCCACTGTTGGATTTGTAATGAAACATCTCTCCAAGATGATTATTTAAACAGGTAATGTTAGTGGGTGGACCTGCCTGTCATTTGGGAAGGTGAGTTTGACCTCATCCAGCCATGCCCTCCCCCCTCCTTTTTTTTTTTTTTCATTTTTTTGGGAGTTGTGGGGTGGCACTAGGGTTTGAACTCAGGGCGTCACACTTGGCAAAGCACTCTTCCTGCTTGAGCCACACCTCCAGTCCATTTTTCTCTGGTTATTTTGGAGATGGGGGGGTTCTCATGAGCTGTTTCCCTGAGCTGGGCTCCAACTCCACCCCCCTAATCTTAGCCTTCCAAGTAGCTAGGATTGCAGGTGCTGATCTTGATGACAGGTCATAGCCCTCTGGTCCTCCCCAGGAGCACTGTTCGTAACCTGTCAGCCTGGTTGTGTCTCGTGGGTTCCATTCCAGTGCTACAGCATGTCCAGTGACACCTGGCTAGCTGACTGACTGGTGGCTTTCAGTTTCGGGTCCTGGATACATGCTGTAACAAGAGGTTTGGGGTTAGGAATCTTGGTGTTAGGGGTCCTGGAGCATCTCCACCTCCCTGCCCATCTCCAAGCCCACAAGGTCCCTAGTTAGTGGGTAGAGGTCAGCATGGTGGGGTTTCTTTACCCTCTGTACAGGAAGTGGAGGGACAGTGACATGCTTTCTACTGTTCTTATCTGTGTTCCACTGGGGAGGTGACATTTGCCTGTCCTCTGTAAGTGGGGGCATGGACCTACCCACTCCCAGAACAGGCATCTTCCACCCGCTGCTGCTTGGACCTTACCGCCATGCCTCAGGCCTCTAGCATGCTACCTGACTCATTTTGCTATTCATGAGTTCTCCTCCCTGTCAGGGGCACTTGAACAACTGTGGTTTTGAAATTTTGTGTTGTTTTTCTTTTCACTTCTTCCTTCCTTTAACTCATTCAAACTCAGTTTACATGTTTTCCCCTTGTGTCAATTCCACTTTTTGCTTCCTTTGTTTATTGGACACCTGTTTGGTGATTTCCTAGGACCATCTTCCTTTCTCAGCCCACCATCATCTTCTACATCAATGGCTTATAGACTAGAGCCTAGTGTGGTGGTCTGTGGCCAGTCACCTCCTCCCTTCCCTCTTTCCCTAAGAGTCACCTGTGCTCTTTTTTTTTTTGGGGGGGGGGTTATTTATTTATTTTTTTATTGTTTTATTCATATGTGTATACAAGGTTTGGGTCATTTCTCCCCCGTGCCCCCACCCCCTCCCTTACCACCCACCCCTGTGCTCTTAGGGAAAGTACAAAGCAGGCAAAAATAGCACTACACTAAACACCATGTTATAACAGCAACTGTCTGCAGCTTTGTGAACTTCCCCATGGCCTCTTCCCTTTTAAATTACACAGTGTCTCAAAGTGAAACTAAGACTCCTCCTGAGCACTTCTCACTGGGTCTCTCCTTCCAGAGATCACTGCCTGTATACAGTGTGTGTGTGTGTGTGTGTGTGTGTGTGTGTGTGTGTGTGTGTGTGTGTGTGTGTGTGTGTGTGTGTGTGTGTGTGTGACATCACTTCACACAGTGTGACTGGAGGCACGGCTGTGAGCATGGCCATGGGCTACATGTGGCCTCCTCAATGCTTGGCACTCACCAGCGTCCCCAGCATGATGAGCAGGCTGGGGCTTGGTCTGCTTGTGGTGTGCTGTCTTCTCCAGTTCAGAGTGTCTGCATTCTGTACTTGTAGAAGAGCCTGCTGTGCTTCAGTTTCATTCTAGCTAGGAGTAATTTACACTTCCTTTTTCTCTAATAAGCTTTTTCAAGCCTAGAACAGAATTGCAACAATTGCAAAATAATCGTTGGGTATTTTTCACTCAGGCCTGTCAGCTCTGACCATCGGGTGGGGGGGATGAAAGGGGCAGGGCTCAGTATGAGCACTGGCAAAAATACCAACCATATCTACTCTGCTAGGCAAATAGTCTAATTTTACGTTTAATTACAAGTGAGATTGGGTATTGTGTTTAGTGTAATGATGGAGTACTGAACTGTGTGTGTGGGAACAAGGCACTCTTAACCTCTGAGCCACTTCTCTGTTGGGCTATTAAGCAATTCCTCCAATGTACCTCCAGCCTTTTGGGTTACCATTGACTTATCAAAGGCAGGGGAGTACGAAAATAGGAAAATGTGAAGAAATGTGGTTTAGAGAAATGTAGCAGAAGGAATTTTGGAGGGAAAGGTAAGTAATTCTACCTATACACAAGTTCAGAATGGGGAAGGTCTAATAGTGCATTTTGGGGTCATGTCCACAGGCTGACTGTCCCAAAGGTCCCACCCTGGACACCTGGAATAGCAGCTTCTGCTACATGGCTACTGCCTTCTGTCTGGGTTGGTTTGTTTGAACCTGAATGCTCACTCCTGAAGCTGCCTCCTTGTTTAGCTTTGAGTGTGCTAGGCCAGGGTCTGCTGGAGGTCAGTTCTGACTTATAAGCCCACATGCCCCTCTCCTCCTCACTACTCTTCCTTTGGGGAAGTGGTTTATTTGAAATTATAATCTTGTGTAGGCAGTTTTTTGAGGAAAGTTTTGATACTCGCATTTTTTAGTCTTTTTAATTTCCCTTCAGTTGGTGGCTTTACCATCATAATAAAAGGCTAGGCTTAAAGCTGGGATGTAGCTTAGTGGTAGAGCACTTGCCTAGCATGCACAAGGCCCTGGGTTCCATCCCCCAGCACCAAAAAAGAAAAGACACACAAAAAAAGAGCTGGCTATGAACACATCTCTTTTCTGGTGCTTCTGTAGATTGATCCTCAAGGCAACTCACGGAGCGAGGAGTGTTGCACTTGCAGTGTTCAGATGAGGAGAACCTAGAGCACAGAGACATTGAGATGCTCCCCAAAGTTTTTCAGCATGTATGAGCATAGGCAGGACCCACATCCAGAGTCAGTCTTGTGAACTGTCTCCCTAAATTTTCTCTTTATGATCAGGGCTGAGGAAGAATCTGAATCCATCCACTTTCCTCAGGAGAATGTAGGTTTTTTTGTTTTTACCAGTGTCTTATACCATTTTGTGCTCCATAAGTCTGGTTATAGTACGTGAGTATACCGAGCATCCCAGAGCACTGGCCAGTCCTACATAGTAATTTTTATACGTTATGCCTCAAGAAAAGAACATCTCATTTATTTTGAAGAATTTCTTTTTGCCACCTCATCTTACTGCACACATCCTTTATTTCCCCTTGTGCCATCTTGTTCAGATCTGCAGGGTGCTCTGTAAGTACTCTGCAGTAAGTTAGTAAAGAAACCTCTGTCCTTTTCTTCACAACACCTCCCAGTGGAATCACTGCTTTCACTGTGTGGCACAGAATGTGAGCTGGGTTTTGCCAGCAGGAGGCTAGGGCTGAGAAGGAAAGGAGACTGGGCTGTGGGTGCTGATATACAGTGTGTTCTGTGTGGTCAGTGAAATCATTGCTTGTTATATTTAGACGTTAAGTGGCTCTTTCTCTCTGCTTCAGTCTTTTGTGTTAGAGTTCCACTTCGAACCCAATGACTATTTCACCAATCCTATCCTGACAAAAACATACAAGATGAAGTCAGAGCCAGACAAGGCTGACCCCTTCTCCTTTGAAGGTCCTGAAATTGTGGACTGTGATGGGTAAGAAAATGTCTTTCTGACTTCTCTTTCTGAAACAAAAGTAGGACATGATTTTGCTAAGAGTGGGATTTGAGGGGTGCAAGCCTCTAATATCATACTTGGGGTGCTAAGGCAGGAGGGTCACAAGTTCAAGGCTACATTGAGAGACCCTGTCTCAGAGTAACAAAAGAAAGCAAAAAGATAGAAAGTAGTAATAACATGAGAAAGTCTTGACCTTCCTCAGAGCCCAGCAAGGCTCAAGTGCAGCAGTCTTTCATGTTGGCACAGTGTAGTGCAGAGGTGGAAAAGTAGGGACACATGTCTTCCCGGATCACATGCAGACCTTTGGACCAGTGTTGGCTTTCTGTTTGAGCGAGGGGATCGGGTTCTCTAGACATTGTAAATTGATCAGGTGATGACTTTGGAAATCGAAGCATCTTTGTGGTTTGATTCTTGCCAGTCTCAGTCTCTAGAAGGCAGAAGACAGAATTTAGCTTAGAATCAATTCCTCTTGGCAGGTTTGATTGTTTGGGAAACTATTTCGTATTTGAATCAAGAGACTCTTATTCATTAGAACTAAGTACTCATTGTGACTCTCCCTGTGTAAGTAATTTGGGGCTCTTACTAAAATCCTATTCAGTTCTTATAGCTAGAGTAATTGGGTGTTTTGTTTGTTTGTTTTGTAGTACTGGGACTTGAACTCAGAATCTCACCTCAGGCTTGCTAGGCAAAGCACTCTGTCACTTCAGCCTTGTCCCCTGCCCTTTTTGCTTTTCAGTTATTTTTCAGACAAGGTTCTGCTCATTTTTGCCCAGGGTGGACTGAACCTCAGTCCTGATCTCTGTCTCCTGAGTAGCTGAGGTTACAGGCATGCACCACCATACCTACCTTAACTGGAGTTTTTGTTTGTTTGGTGTTTTGTCTTTGGTGTTCCTTTCAGTACTGGAGATTGAACTTTGGGAACTCATGCTTCCTAGATAGTGCTCTACCATTTGCCCCAGTCCCTAAGGAGTTTTTTTTGGTTTTGTTTTTATTTTTTTTTAAGTCAGGATCTTGCCTTATAGCCTAGGCTATCTTGGAACTTGCTATGTATTCTATACTGGCTTCCAACTCAACAGTCCTCCTGCCTCAGGATCCTTCTCCCAAGCACTAGGACTACAAGCATTTGTCACCATGCCCAGCTCCTCCTAGTATGTTGTTGAGCAGGTATCACTCATTCAACTGCTGGTCACCTATATGCAGGGTGATGGAGTGTCAGAGGCAGGTGTCCTGGGCACTGTGTTCTGCACTGGTCAGCATTCTCAGTGGCCCCTTGTCCCACTGACATAGTTGATTTGGGAATTAAGGTACATGAGTTGTTGATTCTACTGTGCTCTGAGCTCAGGGTCAGCAGATGACAGATTCTTGTGCCTTGTGCACACTCATCAGGCTTTGTTGTAAAAACGTTTCAGGATCTTTGGGAATTTCTTGGGGAAATAATGCCATTGTCATTTGGAATTCTGAAGCTCAAGGCAGCAATGGCAGGCAGAATGAGAGAGGACCAGACTCTTTCTCCTTAGCCAGCCTGCAAGTGAACTTGAGAAGCCTTGTGGTACTTAGTGTACACGTGGGTTATATCAGATTTTCCAGGTTTGCATTGAGCTTTGACTCACTTCCTCTGTGCACCATAATTGGTGTCTGTCCTGGAGTGTGTCACAGTGGCTGTGCTCTCCCAGGTGCGCTATTGACTGGAAGAAAGGGAAGAATGTGACGGTGAAAACCATCAGGAAGAAGCAGAAGCATAAGGGCCGGGGCACGGTCAGAACCATCAGCAAGCAGGTGCCCACCGAGTCCTTCTTCAACTTCTTCAGCCCACTGAGAGGTAAGCCGGCCTCCTCGTGGGCTGCGCTGCAGCACAGGCTAGCTCCTAAGCAGAGAGCTGTGACAATAGGACAGTTAGCTTCTTCAGCAGAAAGGGGAAGGGAGGAGCTTGTCCTTCTTTTTGCTCTAACGAGTCGAACTCGGCTTCACACTGGCAAAGTGAGCGCTCTACCACTTGAGCCATGCCTCCAGCCCCATTTTGCTGTGGTTATTTTGGAGATGGGGTCTTGAGAACTGTTTGCCTGGACTGGCCTCAAACCATGATCCTCCTGATCTCAGCCTCCCAAGTAGGTAGGCATGAGCCACAGTGCACGGAAGGAACAGTCTTTACTTACCGCCCCACTTGGCTGTGGCCCAGGCAAGGCCTCACGAGCAGCTCCACTTTAAGGAAAATGGGTGGGCCTGCACCTGGGCTACCTCTGCTCCCTCTCCGCCAGTCTGTGCTTGGGGATCCGTAGGTTGCTGGGCAGTTATATAGCTTGTCAATCACCCATCAAACCCCCTTCACTAATAATTTCTATCTTCTGTTATTTTACATGTAGTTTGATAAAACTTGGGGTGGGGGGTAGTGAATTTATGTATTGTGGTGAACACAAGCAGTTTGGTTTCCATTTTTGTAAGTCCAGGGGCAGAATCATGGCTTGAAGCTTCTTTTTTAGCCTTCCTGTCATAAAATAAAGGTGCGACCTCAGGTTAGTAATGGCTGCAGTGCATCTGAAGAATAAATTTCTTCAAAGTCTGAAGGTAATTCCCTAGCTGTGAGAGGATGTGCGGCCAGACCGCTCTGTAGCTGATAGCTCTCCGCATGGCTGTCGGGGCATTTTCTCTTTGTTTTCCATGAAGGGAACATAATTTGAACTGAAGAACTCACCACCCTGCTGCTGAGATCAGCACTTGTGGAAATCTGTGTAGGGCCCAAGGTGGTTCCTTTAAGCTTTGCCTTGTCTCTGATCATAGTGCCCTCACAGGCTGGCCTTGGTATTTCTATTGTAGTGACCACTTTCTGTGAGTTACTTTGAACCTAGAAGATAAAAAGTCTGTTGGTTTGGGGGATGAGAACAGCCATAAGTTTGGTGCTCCTATTTCCTGTTTGGGGAAGACCCCTTTCAGAGCCTTGCATCTGGTGTATTGGAGGGTGTCAAGCAGCAGTCCCCAGGGAGTGTTGGAGTCTTGGGCCTTGGAGTCAGTGACTCTGGGAACCTTTTTGAAAGTTGATTTTAAGATAACTCACTGATTAAAATTGGAATTAGTTAAGTGAATGCAAAGTTGGGGTGATACTTGAGATTCGAAAACTTCTCAGTCACTAAACGACAATTGAAGTGTGGGTGGACTTTATGATTTGTAGATTATACCTCAGTAAAGCCGTATTTAAAGCAGAACATATGGCCTGGTAGAGTGGCTCCAGTGGTAGAGTGCCTGCCTAACAAGCATGAGGCCCTGAGTTCAAACTCCAGTGCCACCCAAAAAAAATAAAATAAAACCTAACCTATCAAGTGATAAGACCTGAACAGGAACAGAGAGTGGCAGGGGGCAGTGGGTTAGTCAAGAAAATAAACGATGACTTCATTTGGAAATGAAGGAAAGATTTGATAGCTAGTCCGGCTCCCATTCTGTCCTTACTCTACAAAACCAGTCTAGAAGTCAAGTTCTTGACCCCAGGGAGAAGTCAGGCCCAGCATTCACACATGCCACACTTTCCCTGCATGGATGCCATGCCTTGTGGGTGGTGGTTACACACCCAGCACCGTGTCTGCACACTGAATAGCAAGGCCTGCCAGGCAGTTTTAGCTCTGTGGAGAAAGGGGCATCTAGTGAGAGCTAAAAGGGGCTTTAGCACTGAGCTGCACCCCCTGGTCCTTTGTGCTTTTTAGGTTTTCAGAGAGGGTCTCACACCTTATACCAGGCTGGCCTCAACTCATGATCCTCCTAATCTCAGCCTCCCAAGAAACTAGAATTATAGTGTGTACCACCGAACCTGCCCTGTGATGCATTTCTGGTCAGGGATCTGGATCATTTGTCATGTGACCATCACTCAGCTTCATGGAGGGTAGTCAGAAGTCCCCCTCTTCCATATCCTGCCTAGTCTGGTGTCAGTACCAGTCTGTGTGGTCTTACGTGTTTCCATCTATGTCTAAGCATCAGCCTTTGTTGAAGGGGCTCTGCCTTCTGCAGGGGGCATCAGCAGATACTACCCTCTCCCTGGATAACCGGAGTCAGTTTGTACCAGCCGAGCTCCGCTGCTCACATGGCCCAGTGTGTAGGGCTTGATTGAGTTCAGTCTCCCTGGCACAGCTCAAATGCACTGAATGGCCACTGTGGAACATCTGATCCACCATTCCTCCTGCTCACCGTTTAACAGTTTCTCATGCTTTTCTGAGTCTCGGCCCTCTCTAACCTGGCCTGGCAGAAGCCTGGCCAGCAGCCTGAGCATGGTCAAGGTGGAGTAGGCAGGGGCTTGGCACCCTGGGGCAGCTGCATAGAGGTGGTGGGAGGAGCTTGTGAAAGCGTTCAAGAAAAGAGGTGCAGCGCTTAGGTGGGGTCCAGCAAAATCCTCTACTAGCTTCTTCCTGTGTAAGCTTTAAAATTTTTTGATTGCCAATGTAATGTAGACATGCTTTTGTCTTTTCTTTTTCTTAGCCTCTGGGGATGGAGAATCACTGGTAAGATTTGTGTTTTGTCAGAAGTCTTGTTGTCTCATCTTATTTTCTTATTTTCTGAGTGGGTGCCTCTTATTTGAGTCCATTCCTGCCCCCTTTAGTTCCTGGGGTTGAGGTGAAGTCATTAGACTACAGGGCTGGGGAGAAGGGTGTATCCCCTACACTGACTTCCTGGGGTCCTCTTTGGGACTTTCATGCCCTCTACCCTGAAGCCTGGGGCATGTGGATCCTGTACTCCCTGCCAGCCTTGCCATTTTGCTTTCAAGCTCCTTTGAAGCTGCTTACAGTCTTTTAAGTGGCTTTGAGTGTGTGGTGACTTACCCAGCAAGTAAGCTAGGAGTGAGAGTTGAGGATTGGGTTAGGGGACTTGAGCCAATGTATTTATCCCACTGAAATGAGTTGCTAACCTGTCTTTTTTTTCCTCAGGATGAAGATTCTGAATTCACCTTAGCCTCCGATTTTGAAATTGGACACTTCTTCCGTGAGCGGATAGTGCCGCGGGCTGTGCTCTACTTCACTGGGGAGGCCATAGAGGATGACGACAATGTATGTGGTGGGTGGAGAGTGGCTTACTTCTGTGGGGACAAAGGATCCTGAGTTGAGGCGTGAGGCTTGCATTACATCATTGGCCAGATGTATGGCCTTTCTCTCCTGAGTCTGGGGAAATAAGCTAGGAAAAGGAGGCTCTTAGAAGCAGCAGTGGGAGAAGTGTTGGTGGCTCACTTCCTCTTGTCCTTGAAGACCCTGGGGGTAGTAGCCTCATCCTGTAGAGGACCTGAGAGCTTAAGGGAACTTGTGTCACTGAGGAAACAACTCAGGGAGGTCCAGCCACACCTGACTCTCATTTTCAGATGCCTTTAGCTAAGAGGTCTTAGACTCGCCATTAAACTTGTGGGGGTTTTTTGTTTTTGTTTTTGTGGTACTGGGGCTTGAACTCAGGGTCTTCACTTTGAGCCACTCCACCGGCCCTATTTTTGTGAAGAGTTTTTCAGGATTGGGTCTTGCAGAACTATTTGTTGGCTTTGAACCGCAATCCTCCTGATCTCTGCCTCCTGGATAGCTAGGATTAAGGCGTGAGCCATCAGCACCCAGCATTCATCATTTAACTTCTGAAAAGCGGTGTGCTCACCCCAGGGTTGGAGGTGACTATGGGTCAGGGCAAGTGGACACAGCTCAGCATTGGTGGGTCCCTTCAGCACAGAGCTGCAGAGGCTTAAGTCTTAGGTCAGGCTGGTCAAGCAATTAAAGACTAGCACTTCCCAGTAGAACTGTCTATAGGACTGTGTGTGCTGTTGGAGGTCTTCGGGGTGGCTGTTGTGACACAGAGTTAACATTTATCTGAAGTGTAAATAGCCCATGAGGGAAGGGCTAGTGGTCATCCAAGTGGTCACTGGAAAGCTCATCCCCAGACCAATAGTCCTCAAACTCTTGATTTGGAAGACTTCAGCAGGCAGTGTGAAGACAGTACCTGTGCTCACTGCATCTGTAATTGCTTACTCACACACTTGGCGTATAATTGCCAGTGAGCAATATGGTCTAGAGGTTAAAAGTGCCCACTCCCATCTGACTGCCTAGCCAAGTCCTCATTTTACCTCTTAGTAGCTGTGTCACTTCTTTGTGACTCAGTGTCCTCATTTGTAAATTGGAGCTAATGGTAGTGACTCCACTTTCTTGTTAAGCACTTAGAATAGCGCCTGGTATAGGATATTATTTGGTAACTGTTGGTAAAGCATTTCACTTCTGTTAGGTGCATCATAAATCATCTACCAGCACTAGAAAATTGTTAGAGGAAGGAGTAACTGGGTGCCCTGGTGCTGTCTTCTTGTGTACTCTACACGAATCTGAGGAACAAGAGGCCCCCACCAGAGCATCTTAACAAGACAGCTTCTCCCCAGGGTGAAATGCTATCCTTGAATTGTAGGGCATTGGCACTGAAGGCTAGTTCAGATCTGAGTTTCCTAAAGTTTAAGACTTAAAAAATCCCTTAGAGGCCAGTTTGGATTCAGAGAAGGAAAGGCACTCCTCTGGCTGGATCTCACTGTCTGCAGCAAGGTGCTGGAAGGCAAGCAGACTGTGAGCTGCCCACACCAGCAGGGCAGGGTTCCTCCAAGTTGACTCAGGCTGTCTCTAAGGAATATGAAGGTGGTCTCAGAAAAAGGGGTGTTTATAGATGAAAAGCCAGCCGTGTTTCCATGTGCCCTGGCTCTGCAGCCACTAGTGATCACAGTGTTACTTTAGGTTTGGGGTCAGCCTTATGTGTGGAATTTGACTCTGCATCTTACCAGCAGTGTGCTGGATGGAGGAGAAATCAACTCAAGACCCACTGGCATAATATCAATTCACTTGAGCTCCTTAGTGTTTTGATCTATTCTAAAAGTAAAATGCCATGGTCTTATTACATTACTACTTAATAAAGCTCTCTTTTCTCCTTGCATGAAGTGTAAAATGATAAGAACATTCCTATACGCAACAAAATTATGCTCCTGGCTACTTATGTCATCTTTTTGGAAAATTAAGGGAAAAAAAAAACCAATCACTTTGCAAATATCTTCTCTTTGCTGCCCTTCAGTCTGAAGGTATCAGTGGGAGCGGAGTCACAGCCAGGTCTCTAGTTGGATCCTGCATGCCCTGCTGGCAACCTCTTGTTTGTCACCCATCCAGGTCCTTGCTCCTTGTTTTGAGCAACTTTCAGTTTCCTGCATCCTGTGAAGATGCAAAACTTGTAAGCACATGACTGTCAGGTGGGCAGGGCATAGCCGGCCCGGACCTGCAGTTTGAGACCCAGAACCTACAGCAACATCTGCCTCTGGTGCCTGGACGGAGCCAGCACTGCCTCTTTGCGGCCAGGTGGGCAGCTGCTGGGCTTCCTGCACTCCTTAGGTCAGACTGCGATGCTCGTTGACTGCTGTCTAGGACAGGCTCTCATCATGGTTTTATAGACTTAAAAATGTTCTTTTGTTTTTGTTTTTTTGCCTCCCAGTTTGAAGAAGGCGAGGAAGGCGAAGAAGAGGTAAGAAAGGGTTGCGTGAGATGCCTTTGCTGTCTGGCATTGTGAGGCCTGCAGCTTTCTGAGAGCCCATTTTGTGTGAGTGTGCCTCTGGCTCTGTCAGCCCCACTTAACAACTGAACAGCACATGCAGTGGCTTAGGATATTCGTGTTAGAAAATGACCATTTACCACACAATACCTGCTTCTTCAGAAGTGTGTCTCTTTCAGGGCTGTCTGTGAGAAAGAAAAGATTCTCAGAAGTGAACGGGTGTGCAAGGAAGTGACTTGGTCACTTAAGCAGAGCGCTGCTCTCGTTTGTAAATGGCGAACATAGCAAGAAGTTAAGTCCAGGTTTACATTAGTCTTCCAGCTAATTCTCTCTCCTTTTAATATAGGAATTGGAAGGTGACGAGGAAGGAGAAGATGAGGATGATGCTGAAATTAACCCCAAGGTTAGTTATTTTGGGGCTCCCCAAACCTACAAATGCTACACTGTGGGGCTCTTAAAGTTTCCCACTTTGAGGCAGTGGTATTAGGAAGGTGTATTTGTAAGCTGGGCAATGGTAGCACACACCTGTGACTCCAGCACTTAAGGAGTCACATGAGTTGAGGCCAGACTGGGTTACCTTGTGAGACCCTGACTCATAAAAGGAATATGTATTTGTATTTGCTGTTTTCTAGTTAGAAAGCTTAAATGTGTCAGAAAAATCCTTGGATGAGGAACTGTTTAGACACGTCATAGATGACTGGAGTGTTAGGTACATTATTCAGTATGGTGCTTTCCTACTCTTCCCCAGGCTGTCTCTCCTGCATAGACTTGTTCAGTAGAGCAGCTTTAGTGTCCAGATCTTTAAAGAGAATGATCTACTGACAGGATAAGTCACCTGGTGTGTGTGGAGAAGGTGGAGGCACGAAGGGAATTAGTAGGTCTGTTTGTTGTTAATGAATTAAAAAACAGAACCATAGGCCTAATTTTATAGTTGGGCTTGGGCAGAGGATACTCAGATGATATAAATATGTTTCAGATGACTTGAATGGGGAGGTTTGCTAAAGAAATCTGAGGTTTAAAAGAAAATCAAGTGGGCAGCTCCACCAGTTTCACGAGTCTGCTTGAGTTTTAGGGAAGCGTTTGCCAGGGCACTGTGGCACTCCATACACACACTGACACCCAGAGCTGTGCTAGCGCCACCCTGAGCCGGAGCAGGACGTGCAGCTCCCAGTGTTTTAGGATAAGTGTGGGGTGGGCTGTGGGATATAGGATATAGTATTTATTACTTGGCATTTCTGTGATCTGCGTCTCTATATGGCTGTTTTTTGTTTGTCTGTCCCACGTGGACTGTGCCCTAGAAGCTGCCAGTGTAGTGACTTGGTGCTGTGGTCCAGATGTCTCCCTAAATGTGTACACGAGGCACAGGGGCTCTCTGGGGAAAGGATGGGGGAAGGGCTTCCACTTCTCAGAGATGTGCCTTGCGGTCACCACTCAGGGAAGAAGCTCAGCCTGGGAACGCTGTGCAGTGAAGTATGCGCTGGACTGTTGCTGCCCTTTGAGCACAGGATGGACACACACAGTCATGGTTGCAGTTAGCAGGGACTTGGGCGACTTGCCATGCACATATCTCAGACCCAGAGCACCTTGGCCTCTGCTGTGTGTGTCTTGTTGCGTTTCCGTGGGCTCTGTTCCTTGTTTTTTTTTTCCTTTTTCTTTTCTTTTCCCTCTGTTGTGTGCTCTCCCCTGTATCACCTACAGAATCTTCTGTCTCCTCTCACATCCCTGGTTTCTAGCAAAGTGTCTCACAAGGTTATCAGAGTGTGTCACACTCCTGACACCTGACGCATTGCATTGGCCAGGGTTGGGTAGGAGTGGTTAAACCACATGTAGGCTGGTGCTGCGCGGTGGAGAGCTAGTGGCACTTGCTGTCCTCAGCTCCTGGTAGGACAGCTCTGTCCTTTCAAGTGTACCCCTCCAAAGTGATTGGTAACACTGGAGTCTGCAAGCAGAAAAACAAAAGCAAAGAATTGGGAATGGCCTTTTGTAAGTGAAAATGATGTGAGCATTTTTGAAGAAATAGGTCTGCTGTGAAGTTACCCTCAGTTCTTGCAGCCCTTTATCATGACAGTGTGGCTGTTGTCTCCTGTATAATTTTGTGCATTTCATCTTCCTTCATGCTGACAGTTCCTTTCAATTTTTTTCCCCATTTAGGTGTAATTTTTGTCTGTTAATCATTCATACGTTTCTAGGTAAGGTGGAATCCATTCATACCTAACTTCCAAAATGCTGTCTGTACTTGAACGATGCATTGCCTTGACTACTGGGACACAGGAAGGTGCTGTCTGGCCGCTCACTGGGGCTGCCTCAGGGCCTTCGGAGCACGGTGTTTATACAGGGCTCTGTTTTGCCTCTTTTCTGAGTCCAGGGTTTCTTGCTAACTACATAGCAAGCTGTAGGTTAGGTAGCATCATTGATGATGTACTGCTCTCCAGGAAGTAGTCAGTATGGACAAGCACCCCTGGTAGAGAGCATAACACTTCCTGTCCCCAGGTGTGCTAGCTGCACCATGACAGGATTAGACACTATGGTAATAGAGGTTCCTCCCTGAAACCTTTCCACATGTAGCTCCTGATGTGTTTGGACCCAGGGGTACAGTGTGCCAGAATTTTTTTATCCAAAAAGAGAGTGGTATCTATAGGAATATAAACTAACAGATGCTGTTGTGGTTGTGAGGTTGATGGAGAAGCTTTTGGTTTGGTTTTGGTTTTTTTGGTGGTACTGGGTTTTGAACTCAAGCATGCTAGGCAGGTGCTCTACCACTTGAGCCATGCCCAAGGAGGAAGGTTCTGACCGAAAGAGAAGAGCAAGTGGAGTTGGGCACCTGTGGCTCATGACTGTAATCCTAGCCATTTGTGAGGATCTCAGCCGTAGCTGAGATTGGAAGGATTGCAGTTCAAGGCAGCCCAGGCAAATTGTTGAGAAACTCCATCTCCAAAGCAAAGTGGACTGGAGGTGTGACTCAAGCAGTAGAGCACCCTGAGTTCAAGCCCCATTCCCACCAACAACAAAAAGGAGCAAGTTGTGGATGTGAGTTTTGGTGCCATCTCCAGCCTGTGCAGTCCTGGGAGACCCCTCATCCTGTGAGCAGATACCAGGTGGGAGTGAGGAGGGGGCTCAGTTATAAGATTTCTTCCTGTGGGACACTCACCATTTTGTAGGATGTGGTGGGAGAAAGAAGAAAGGTAGAAACAGATGGTGCTACAAGAAATGTGTGCAATGTCGTCCCATGGCAGGGGTTCCTGCCTTGTGGGATACGAAGTGACTCGTGATAGAGTGCCTATCAAGTGTGAGGCCCTGTGGGTCGACCCCAGTACTGCCAAACAAAAAAGGTACCAGTTTTTAAGGAGTCCCCCAGAATGGGAGCAAATTCAGTAGATGGAATGGAGCTGGCATCCTTTGAGGTCTCATCACAGCACCTTCGCTCTGCAGTTGTTTTGAAGCAGATCCAGGGTGCATGTCGCCATCAGTGTGTCAGGAGCACGCTGGAAGGAAGGGGCCTTCTTTACTGAAGCTAGTGGTATCAGCAGCTCCCTGTGCGGTGTCTGCCGCTGATCACTGTGCAGGGTCTGGCTTGACGTGGGCCTCGCGCCCCCTAGAACAGCATGTGTAAGGGAGTGTGTTAGTGGCCTCCCTTCTCAGGCCAGATGTTGTATGTCACAATCCCATCTTTAAATAGTCCCATGGTAGGCAATGCTTTGGCTGAGTTGCCGCCTTTTAAGACCGTGACTCCTTTCCTTTGATAGCCAAGTTAGCATTGAGTGACCAACCTGTCTAAAATTTGTGATGTGACAGGATGCCCCAGGCTAGTTGCATGTGGTTTCAGACTGTGTAACAGGCTGAGAACAACTCAGGTGCACTGCACGTCCAGTGTTCTTATCCCCACATGCAGGAGCTCTGTGTCGCCTCCCGGCCTGGCATTCACACACGAGCCTCTCCCTAAGCTTCTTGCCCTCAGAGTAGCCATACTGGTAGCATCTGTGTTAGTGAGAAACTTCTCTCGACAGTTCTCATCACTCAGGTTTTTGGGGGTTTCATGTTTTCTTTGTTTGGGGGTTATTTGGGTATAGGGAATTGAACCTAGGTCCTCTTGCATGCTTAGCATGTGCTCTACCACTGAAGTACACCTCCATCCTTGGTTTTATTTGTTACTTCATTCATACAACATGGGATAAATGATTGTGTACATAAGATTCATACATGCATAAAGATGTGGAGACGCCCATTCCTTGCTGCTCCGGTTCTCCCTGCAAACCCCCTGATTGGTTTCTTTTTTCTTTTTTTCTCTTTTGTAGCACTGTACTGGAATTTGAACTCACACTTCACGCTTGCTAGGTAGGCCTTCTACCTTTTGACCACACATCCAGCCCTTTTTGCATTAATTATTTTTCACATAGGGTCTTGTGTTTTTTTGACTGGGCCAGTCTCAGATTGTGGTCTCCCTACCTATGCCTGCCCAGCTGGGGTTACAAATTTGTACTACCACAGCTGGTTTGTTTGTTGAGATGGGGTTTCACTAGCATTTTTCGCTCACACTGGCCTCAAATCTCAATCTGCCCAATCTCTGCTACCCATGTAGCTGGGATTGCAGGTGTGTTCCACCATGTGCAGCTTTTTTGTGTGTGGGGGAGGTTCAGAAATAGAACCCAGAATCTCATCCCCTGCTACTGGTTTTCATTTTCATTTTCTTTTTTTTTTTTTTGGCGGAACTGGGGTTTGAACTCAGGGCTTCGATTTGCAAAGCAACAGGCACTCTACCACCTTAGCCACACCTCCAGTCCCATTTTTCTCTGGTTATTTTGGAGATGGGGTCTTGCGAGCTGTTTACACGGGTTGACCTTAAAGCACAATTCTCCCAGGTAGCTAGGATAACAGGTGTAAGCCACCAAAGGCAGCTGGTTTCCACTTTCTATCCCAGCTCCTCTGGAAGTATATGCTTTTCCAAACTGCTCACTATCCTGTCCTCAGTGTCCCAGGGCCACCTCTAGGTCCAACCTTGACTGTCAGGCTGACAGCACTTGATTGGCATCTTTTTAGCTTTGCTTTTTGGTCAGATTCATTTTGTCCTGGGATTGGGCAGCCTGCAGGGCAGCTGAGGTGCAGTCGGGGTGGCCTCTTTCCCAGAGCAGCTTGCCACTATACTGGGCAAAGATTCAGAGCCCAGGGCTGGTGGAGGGTCTGTCCTTGTGCTCTTTCTGTTACACTTCAAAGCAGAGCCCAGATCAGAGTCCATGGTTCCTCCTTGAAATGTTTATGCATCTTTTATGTGTATTTTTATCCTTTAGATGTGACTCCTCAAAGGTGTACTGTAGCCCCAGCTCATCCCATGGAAGGTGGCAGAGGTGTTACCCTGGGTGTTCACTTAGTGCAGTCTTTTCTTAGACCCCAGGAATTCTGGGTTGCAGATTAGTGAGTTTACGAGCTTTGGAGGAATAGTAAAACCCTTACCTGTTAGGCTGGTCTCTGTGCAAAACTGGGGCCCTGAAAACATGGTTTATGAGGTACAAGATTTTTGTGTCAGACTGTGTTGAGGTTGCTCTGCTCCTTCGCTAGGGATGAAGTTCTTTCATGCCTGGTACTTGGGAGGGCAGGATTCCCACTTGGGGAGACTTTGTAGGTGCAGCTCTTGGCCATTTGTTGCTGCACCATAACCCACAAGAGACTGGGTCTGCGTGGGTGCTCTTCCCTGTTAGTGGAGAGAGTAAGCCCACTCCCTGTGAGCAGCACCCAGGGACAGCCATGCTTCAGAGATGAGGATGTTGGTGACATGGGTATAGTTCCCCAGCAGGCGCCAAGCCGCTGCTTCACTGGACTGGGGTTCAGTGGCTGCCCAGTGTCTACCATGGAGTCTCCATGTGGGTAATTCCCCTCTGCAACCCCCACAGACCCTTGTTTAATATACTGTGAATTAGATTATCTCACAAACATGTCGTTAAACAGAAGGCCCTGCTGTGGCTTTTAGCCCTCTGGGGCGTTAGCTTTGTTTTCAAGTCATTGTGTTTTAAAAAGTTCATTTGCAGAAGCCATCTTTTTTGGTGAGGTTGAATGAACTAGTTGAGTCTTGGTTATCATTGTGGGTTGGAGGTACCTGGTGGGTTCCATTGCTTCTGTTCTCTAAGGTCTGTCTTCTCGTTGCAGAAAGAAGCCAGCCAGCCAGCGGAGTGCAAACAGCAGTGAGAAGCAGCAGCCCTGCGGTGTTGCCTTCTGGACGGCTGTCAGGGCCCCAGGCCTGCAGGCAGTGGCCTTGGTCTCTGCCTCGGCACAGTCGTGTTGACAGTGCTGACATCTAACCGTTTTCAAGTGCATGACTTCATTTCCACCTTTCCTTTCTCCTTGTTTTGCTTAACTTGTACAGTGCAACTGAACTGCGTTTCAGAAATAGGAGGTTTAGTTCTAGAACCTCTGCAGCCTTGGTACCTGCAGCCCTGGACTTTCCCAGCCTGTTCTTAGAGGGCCCCAAAGACCGTGTAGAGTAGGGTGAGGTCAGGCCTAGAAAGGGCAGTGCCTGGTGGCACAGTTTCAGGCATCCCAGCCTCCTGCCACCTCCAATTTGAAGAAACCCCACCCTACAGTTTCCAGCCACTGAACCTGCCATGGGCAAAGTCGCTTCAGCCGTTGTCTGTTAATCATCTCAGAAGAGCTAGTAGAGTAAGGCCGTGTACTCCTTAAGAGTGCTCTTCCTTGCATTTGGTTTTCCAGGGGTGGTGTGTTGTGGCACTCCTCTGTGGAGAGAGCAGTCATATTTATTTATTCACTCACACAGTGGACTCTGAACTTAACCCTTACCCTCACCATTTATGAGACCACACTGATGACAGAATCAGAAAGATGTGCCGTCTCCTAGTAGAGCGAAGCTTGTAGAAGAAAGGGTGCTGCTGAGGGTGTGAGCTTGCTCTTTGACACGTGGACCACGCATCGCCAGGAGGGTGGGGGCTGGAGCAGAGGGCCGGGATTCCTCCCTCTGGCTGTAGAATACACCTTTTCAGTTGGCTGTGTGAGCGTCAAGTCTTGTTTTCTCAGTAATCCTCTTTCTGGATCCTCCTCTCATCCTGTCTTAATAAGCCCTAGGTAGGTTTGGTGTGACCTGTTGGCGGCTGGCGTGTGGGTTTCTTAGCATGTGTGGTGGTAGTCTTTGGCAACTGGGGACAGCCGTGTCCACACTGTCACCAGGCATGTAGAGTGCTCAGCCTTACCTGATAACACATTTGTAACTGAACATGGTGTTTTCAATTTGTACAGAATAGTTAGAATATTCTATTAAAGTTGTGAAACATGAAGCCAGCACAGTGTGGGGTCTTTTCTTTGGAATCAGCCTCTGACCCCTGTCCTATAACTCACATGTTGCATGTGACTACACACCCTACTGGGTTTTAAGCCCTGGGTGTGGATTGATCCATGACTCTAGTCTTCTGGCTTGCTATTTTTTGAGGCTTTGCCCATTTGTAGAAGTGGCTGCATCTAGAATGCCCACATATCCACAGTCTCCTGCCCTGTACAGGCCTGGTCCAGTGACGAGTGGGCCTTTGAGAAATGGTGCCATGAGTGTGGAAGTGTGTCTTATAGGTTAGAATGCAGAAGGGGAGCTTCCCTATGAAGCCCATGTGCTGTGGGTTGTCTCTGCCCTACCCAGAAAGGCCTGCTATATAGGCTCTTGCTCAGTTACCTGACCGTGGGAATCCCTGCTTTGGCAGTGCCCAACCAGGGTGAGACGGGTCCAAGAGAAGGCGGCTGAGCATCTGGCTCTTCCTCATGTGGCCACCAGCCTGGCCCCTTAGAGCTGGCCCTGGCCTTGCTGCATGGTTACCTTCTCCCTGAGTGGCAAGAAGAGAGAGGGCTCTGGTAGCTGCAAGAAAGCTGTGCGTGGGCTTAGATGTGGACATGCCTTTGGCATGCCCCCAAGGGTGACAGAGCCAGTATGTCCACAGTACCTCTTCCTCACCCCCATTCTCTGATGGGACTGGATGGACCTCACCTGGCACAGCTCCCAGAGAAAAGTCCTGCCTGCTGCCCCTCACTGCCAGCCCAGCATGACTGACGCAGGGTGAAGTCACTGAACATGAAGGTGGGTCCACAGAAGCTTCCCAAAACTCTAAATGTCTCTCTCCCGATTGACCAAGATAGACACGTTTACAGCAGTGACTGCACAAAATGACACGCTTGTGTCATTCTCAGATGAATGGGAAGCCTGATGGGCCACCCGGCCTTGCTCCAGAGCCTTACTCCTTTTGGCCACCTCTGGCTCCTGGCCCTTGTCACCACGGGTCACGGGCCTGCACTCGCCTGTCTGCCTTGCAAGGAAATGCATCGGTCCACTGCAGGAGCGACGCAATGAAGCTGCTCTTCGTGTGATAGATTGGTGGCAGCCAGCAGTGTGTGCCATGAGAGGCTGAGATGACATGGCATGAGCTGTGTCCACGCCTGAGTGTGTGAGATGAGTATACCTGGTGGGCGTCTAATAGATTGAAAGGGCAGAGAAGCAGGCTAGGGCCCCCTAGTCAGGCCCTGCATGCTGGATCAGTTGTGTGGGTGTCCAGGTGCTGTGGATGTCCTCAGTTGAGTCGTGAGGAGGCATGAGATAGCTGGGAGTCAGATGGGGCAGGGGGAGGGGGCATCCAGCCTTCTGGACAGCCATGGAGGGGTGGGAGTGTTAAATAGTGATCTAGATCAGCCATCATTTCCTTCTGAAAGAGAAGTATGCAGGGACCCCACACTTGGGGCATCTTCTGTGAGACTTAGGCGGGATAATGGGGTTTCAGTGTGCCCAGAGGTCCCAGGCTCTAATGCATGGGAAGGCTTTCACTCTTCTTGAATCCTGCAAAGCCATGTGGCCTGAGGCTCAGACTCCCCTGTTGTTCCTGCCATCTATACCCTGCCTGCCCACAGGAGCAAGAATGCTGCTCCCCAGTGGCCCAGGAACCATCCCTGGCTCTGGCTTCTGTTCTGCGTGCTCAGAGACCTTGGTGAAATTGTCAACACCAAGAACCCACCCAGTGAGTGTTGGAGACAAGGAGCAGCTGCCTGGTTTGCCCAGAGTCACCACCCAGGAAGCCACCAGGGAGTTGGGATTCGGGGCGGCCTGGGGGTGACTGCTCCTCTGCTGGGGTTCAGTTCCCATTGCCCAGGACCCCCAGTTCTGCCTGTTCACTCTCTAGACCAACCCCTTGGGTGTCCCCAAGCTCAAGTGGGTGGCGGTTCAGTGGCCTACTGATGGTCTTTTCTAAGGGTTTAACAGCTGAGGTGGGGTGCATGGAGAGCTACCCCTGCTCTCCTCATGGTGGTTCACTTTCTCGGCCCCCTAATGCCTTCCTCCCTATCCCCCAACCCCCAGTTTGGTGCCTCTTCTTAGGCCTGGGTCTACTGCATCACAGAAGTGCACCAATTGAGGCTGATGGCCTGTCTTTGCAGCTTCCTCCCACCGCAGCTATGCATCTGCACAGTGGAGCACTTGGCAGTGAAAACGGTGAGGTACATACACTGAGCCTGCAAAAGGGTCACAACAGCAACCCCATTTCCATGAAGAACAGCCACTGGAGCTGCCTGGGAGCAAATGAACCAAGAGCCATCGGGGGAAGTGGACATGGCTGTGGGGTGTAACATTTGTGATAGCTATCCAGCCACCCTAAAGTGGCAGCATTTGCCTGTGTATAAATCAGACCTCAATGAAACTGATTCTCAAAAGTTTGCAGAAGTGATGCCACAATTCTGGTTTCTCCAACACTATACTGCCAGATACCCAGCTCAGTGAGGGGAGTACATCCACAAGGTCACCCTGCCCTGGCAGCTAGTCTGCTCTATTAGCTCACTGCATCTGTTTACCCAGGGTGGGGGTCAAGCAGAGGCGTAACCCACTCCCCTACAGCTCCCAGCACCCCCACCCCAGGTTCAAAGGGGTCTCTAGCCCCAGGCCTTTCATCATTCCTTCCTCATAAAAATACCCAGGCCTGGCCCCAGGAACCTCAGCCCCTCACTGGGTGGAGCTAAGTAGGCCTTCCTTGCCTGGGACTCCACTTGCCCTGAAGTAGGAGACAAGGAAGGCCCAGTGCCATAGGGGGCTGCCACAGGGAAACTGTGGGCTTCCGCTAGCTTGTCCAGGTGCACCCTGGATGGGAGTGCTGACCTGGGCTCCCGGGTGGGTCTGCCTCATTTGCCACTCCCTCTCAACTCCAAGCTGGATTCTCAGTGGACAACGGGATAAGGCGGGGGGCTTTGAGCAGGAGACGCACCCATCCCTAGCCTGCCACCTCCAGCCCTGAGGAGCCCTTGACTTGCCCTGGAGGCCCTGCTGTGGGGCCATGCCTTGCCAGAGCACATGGTCAAGGGCAAGGGCGCCCTCAGCTTCCTGCTAGACGCCCAAACAATGTGAACCTTGGCCCCTTCCCGGAAACCCTTCAAAGCCAGTGGGCAACTCCCAGCACCTCCCCCTGCAGGCAGAGGCCACCCTCCTCGCCTCCCCAAGCCAGCCTTTGGGCCTTGCTCTCCAACAGGTGTCTCATGCAGGGGCCCCGGAACCCACCTCAAGTCCACCTGGCCAGCTTTCCATTCCGTGCACATGGAGTAATTTCCAGGCACTGTAAGACAGACCTTTGAGGTCCAGCCCAAAAGTCACCTGGAGACCTTTCTCCTCCTCAGCCTGCTGGCAGGAGGATGAAACCCAGGCGCACCTGCCGAGTCACCTTGGTGTGCCTTGGGTGGAGCCCCGCCAACAGGGCTGCCACCTCTGTGCCAGTGCCGCCTGGCCACGCTGACTCATCTCCCCAGGGTGGAGGCTGGATGTTACTTTCCATGACTGGGACTCTCCCTCCTGCTCCAGGAGTCTAAGCCTTCTCAGCCCACATCTGAGAAGCAGGAAGAAGCCCACCTCCTCAGTCCCCCGCACTGCCAGGACTGCCTAGCAAGCCAGCTCTGTCCAGCTCTGGAGGACAGACTCTCTAAGAGGTCCCGGATGGGTGGCGCCTGCTGCCCACTGCCCTAGCAGGGGTGACACTTGAGGCCTTTGATCACAACCTGTCCCTGTCATGGCAGGACCGGAACTCCAGACCACGTGGAGGGTCCATCTGGGAAGCAGGAGCAGGTAGCCCCTTGTGGCTGTGACTCCATGACCTGTATACGTCTCATCCCCCACTGGGCCACCAGGAGGGGCCAGGCCTGGACACAGGTAGAGACAGGGCTGGGGACAGTAAGGGCCACACACACACACACATGGCCTGGCCTGTGTAACGAAGGTTGAGAGTGCAGGGCAGGTGCCCCACATCCTGGTTCCCCAAAACACAGAAGAAGCCGTATGTGGCAAAAGGAGATCTGCAGATGAGGGGATCTTGGGGTCCTGCGGCAAGTCGGGTGTTGCTATGGTCCTGAGGGAGGCAGAAAGGGCAGCAGAAGTCAGGGAAAGCAGTTTCTGAGCTGGAGCGGTGTGGGAACTGCCCGCTGGTGCCCTGCCCTACGGCCTGCAGTTCCCATTGTCCTTCCAGCTCCTTCCTCAGGGAAACCTCTGAACACATGCATCCCAAACTTGCTCTCCTGGCCTCGTGGATCAGAGGCAGTGACCTGCCCTCTGGGCCATGAGCTGGACACCATCACCCATGAAGCCTTGTCCACTCGGGCTCTGGGTCTGAGGCCAGCTTTCCACGTGGACCAGCAACCCTTTCTTAGATTCCTGGGATCAAAACAGCCCACTTTAAGCTGCTGTCTCCCTTGTCCAGCCCTGAGAGGGACAGCCAATGTGAAGTGGCCCCGGGAAGCCTTTCCTGACCCAGCCGTCAGAGGCTGGTCAGTGACTGTCTGACCCTTGGTGTGTGCTCCAGGCCTAGGGTGAAGAGGGGCTGGAGGGGAGGCAGGGCCAGCCCTGGGGGCTGCCAAACAAATGACCCCAGACTTTGGGGTGGTGGGAGCTTGAAACACACTGACCTGCACTCGTGGAGACCCTAAATCCAACAGGAATGGCAGGGCCACGCTCTCCACCAGAGGCTGCAGCGAGGGGCCTTTTGCCTCTTCCGGCTCGGGGCTCCTGGAATCCCTGGCTTGTGACCCTGTTGCTCTTATGCCCACTTTGGTCCTCTGCATGCCCTCTGCTCCACACACCTCTCTCACAAGGACACTTGACGACATTCAGAGCCACCTGGGGGACACAGACCGGGCTGCTCTCGAGGCCCTAAACTTACTTGCAGCCTTTGTCCATACATAGGTCACATTCACAGGCTCACGGGAAGATGGACACACGTCTTTTGGGGGCCACCATTTACCTAGCAATAAGGACTTTTCAAATGACATCCGAGGCCACAGACATGCCTGGGGAGAGGAGACCCCAGTTTTTGGTCAATAGACCAGCTTAGATTAGTAAAGTAAGTCCAGACCGGGTGTCTGTGCCGTGCTGGGACAGCCCAGTGCCTCCGAAGGGTGGCACTCTGGGGGAGGCCCCTAGTCGGCGTGGTTCTCCGGTGCTTTACTCACTCAGCCTCTGGAACCGTCTGTCCCCCGGCCCAGCTGGCTCTTCCAACCCATTCTAAGGGAGAGGTAGGCCAGGCCCCTCCTCTGAGCTCCCCTATCAACCCCGCAGGCTGTGTGTCCAGCCCCACGGACCCACAAACAGCCCTGTGGGTGCTGACCCCCACAGCCATGGCCTGGCTACTCGGCTCGATGTCACTGCATGCAGGCCGGGCTGTTGTCCTACAGACAGCACATGGGACCCAGTCTCTTCGATGACGAATTAAGCAATGTGGACCTTTTAGCCACCTGTTTCCATTTCCTGGAGTGTCTGAGCTGAAGACGCTTTTTCACACTGCATTCCAGGGGCTGAGGGTCACTTCCAAGCAAGGCACTGAGGGGTGAATAGGAGCTGTTTCTCACTCAGTACCCAACACCTTGTGAGGCAGGGCCCACCCTTTGGACTCCAGCTGAAGAGCTCGAGGAAGGCCAGAGAGGACACAGCCCTGTGAGGCCCAATGCCAAGCTCACAGCGAGTGCCTGAAACCAGGTGAGGCAGGCCAAATGGCCTCTGCCTGGGCCTCTTGCTTTTCTCAGGCTGTGACTGAGAAGAGGGATCCAGGGCAGGCCTGAGTCATGGCCCCTGGGCCATGTCAGCTCAGGGCAGGGGTATCTAGTACTGTCACCCAGCCTCCCAGGGTCCTGCTGTGCAGGCACAGGGGCCCAACAGCTGGCAGGTCTGTGGCTTGTGGGAGGCAGCTTCAGAGTACGCCCTAGCCATCCCCGAGGGCTTCCTGGAGGAGGCAGAGAAGAGGGTCTTCTCAGAGGACAGCAGGCCTTCCTCCTGCCTCTGAGAGCACCGCCCACAGGAAGAGGGTGGTATCAGGCCCCAGGCACCTGGCCAGGCCCTCATGACACATGGCTTCTGCACAGGCTGGCTGCTTCACCAGGCTTGTTGGGCAACTGCCTGGAGGACTGGCCTCGTCACCAAGGGGGAAGTGACCTCACCCGGGGAGCTTCAAAGAGTTGCCCCACTCCACCTAAGCGGCCGCCTCTCACAGCTGGGCTCCAGGGCAAGGGGACCACATAGCTGGACAGGACAGCGAGAGTCCAGGCCGGATGTTTGGGGACTGCCCCGGGGGTGAGGGCCCCTCTGCCCACGCCTGTGAGAATTCCAGATGCAGCCCCTCAAATAAATATTAGTAAACTTGGCCGGGACTGACGCCGGCTTACGCCACAAACCTGAGGCTCAGTCCAGCACGGCCCCTCCTGTCTGAGGAGCAGTCACGAAATGTCCCAAACCCACCACCCGCTGGTCACGAAGGCAGGGCTGAACCCTGCCCCCGCGCTGTCCCTTTGGGTCTGACTCTCACTGGCTGCTGTGTGCTATTGGCTAGGTCACTTCACCCCCCGCCTCAAGTGACCCTGAAGGGAGAGAGAAGCCAACCAAGCAAAGCAACAAGCAGGCCACGGTGCCCACCGTGGGTGCCAGGCCTGCACCTCTCTGGTCGGTGGTCCTCCCTCGCCATCCCCTACCTGGCTGAGAAGCTTGGTGGACCCAGCTCCCAGGGGCACCGTCCGGATCTATGCTAGGGGCCCATCCCTGGCAGGAAGTTGGTGGGCAATGCTGGAGAGTCTTCTGGCTCTTGGCTACCAAGGGCCTGGGTGCCCCCAAAGACCTTCACCTGGATCCTTGGGTCAGATTTTCTTTTTATTTATTTATTTTGCGGTACTGGGTCTTGAACTCAGGGCCGACACCTTGAGCCTCCCCCAGCAGCCCCTTTTTTGTGATGGGTTTTTTTGAGATAGGGTCTCGAGAACTATTTGCCTGGGGCTGGCTTTGAACCACGATCCTCCTGAGTAGCTGAGATTACAGGTGCCTGGCCGGGTCGGAGTTCTGCTTCCTCTTATGCCTACTCCAGCTGGCCTGGGAAATAGGTATCCGAATCATGCTGCCTTGGCCAGACGGGAGCCCAAGATGTCCTGTGGCTGTGGAGTGGCCAGGGGCCAACCAAGGGCTCTTTGGGCCCCTGGCAGGTCAGTGACTCAGGCCCCTGAGGCAGGGACCATTAACCGTGGGTCTGACCTCAGCCTGCTTCTCCCTCTGGACACCAGCACACGAGGGACTGCTGCTCCCCACCCCCCACCACCCCCACCCACCCACGTCTTGACCTTGTGTGAGGGGAGCAGCAGAGGGGCCTGGGCTTGGCGAGCAGGAAGCTTCCAAGGCGGGTAGGGAACCCAGGGCTCTCCTTGCCCTGTGCTTGGCCTCTCAGCTCTCTCTCCCCCTTGCACACCACTGGCCCCTGTCCCTTGGGCCACTGAGTAAGGCCAGTGAGTGCCTCCCAAAAGCAGTAGCAGTTCAGGGCAAAGAGGGGCAGGGCGTCTGGGTAGTGGCCTCTTATCTGCCCCTGGGTGCAAGTCATCTGTTCTTCATCTTCGGTTCCTCCGCGTTTTCTGTCTCTTCTGTCCCTTCCCCCAGGCCCTCTCCTCCCTGCTTCTCACCCAGGGGACATGGTTACAGTCCCCACTGTGGTGGGCAGAGGCTGGGCACAGTGCCTGGCACTCAGCAAATGGCCCCCGTGCAGTCCTCCGAGCTGTGCTTGGCCTCACACTCCCAGCCCCTTGTCCCCCTTCCCCATATATGCCCCATACCTGCTGTGCTCCCGGAGGAAGTGGGGTCCCTCTCCCCCTCCCCTCTTTCCTTTCCTCTCCCAGCACCAGTCAAACCTGCAGGCATACGACAGGTGTTTAAGCAATGCCAAGTGTCTGAGAGACCTGGAGCTGAGGCTCCACTGACTGGCCCTTGTGTGGGGATGGGGGGAAGAGGGGACAGGCTGGTGGGTCTGGGAGTAAAAGAGTTCCCCTCTCCTGGCCCCATTCCCTGGTCTTTCAGCTCCCAGGGGATCCTCCTGACCAGGCCTCACTGCCCACAGCAGGATAGCAGGAGTCCAAGATGGGTGAGCAGTGAAGTGAAGGGACGCCAGGGGGGTTGACATTTTCTCAAAGCCCCCCCCCAGCCTGATGCAGGGATCCCCTCACCTGTCAAAGGCTGGCCAGTTGGTTGGGATGCTTGCAATGACGAGGAACTTACTACCTCTTAGCTGAGGGTCTCCAGGGGGAATCTCTCTCCCGATCGCTTTCACCCATAGGTGGCAGCTATCTCTAGGCTCTTGTGCCTTTCCTCCAAAGGCCAGAATCGGAGCCCACTGAGCTCTGCCCCTTCGCCCACTCTGCCTTCCACCCCCAACTCGGGGCCCTTGGGCACACAAGTAGTCAGTACCTGAAAACAATTTACAGGAGCCTGGTCCTCAGTGACCCCAGAGGACCAGGGTTCTGAGCCGCACTCCAGAAGACTAGGAGGAAACCTGGGTCCCACGGTGAGGCTGGGACAGAGTTGGACCAGGACTTGATTTTTTGCTTTGCTGTCCTGACATTTTTAATACTTTTCCAACCAAGGGACCTGCGTTTCATTTTGCAACAGCCCTGCAATGAAGCAGCCGTGTTTGGTTCTCACCACCAGCCTGGGGCTTCCTTGCTGCACCCCTGCCGGCTGCAGCTGGGTGGACACCAGGAGCAGCCTGGCCCCCCAGGGGTCCCTCCGCCAACCCCTCCCCCACTCCTGGGAACCCAGAGGAGCGGGCGGCCGTTTCCTGCTCCCTTTAAAGGCAGAGGGAAAATAAAACCGCCGGGCCGGGCTGGAAGGCGATGATTCAACCGCCCCCGCCGCCCCTCGCCCCCAGGCTGCTCCCGAGGGCGGGCGTCGCCCTCGCCTCCAGCGCCGCGAGCTTCGTCCTGTGTTGCCTCAGACCGAGGAGTCTGTCCCCAGGTTCGGCAGGGCTCCCCCACAACCCCCATGCCTTGCGTAATCTAATAAAGGCTGTTGTCCCCATTTCACAGAAGGGAAAACTGGCTCCTTCCCAGGCTCAGCCCCTGGGTGGCAAGGCCCACTGGGGCAGGGCCACTTCTGGAGAGGGTCTCAGAGAAGTGGCCCTGTGGGGACCAGGGCTTGGGAGGTACGAAGGGACCGGCGACCTTCCTGTTCTAGGAGCTTTGGAACACCAAAGCCTGGGAATCTTGGCGGGGGCCTGTACACTGCGGTCCCCTCCAGGGCCAGCCCCGGGTCCACAGGGGGTTCCCGGGGCTTCCCGGCGGGTGAGTCACCTCCAGCAGGGCCGGCTAAGGCGCATTCCTCCGCGGGGCCGGCCTGCGCCCGGGCGGGGTGGGGACCGCGAGTCACCCCGCCGGGCCAAGCAGCTGGATATCGGGGCAGGCGGGGCGGCCCGGGGCAGGGACGTCGACGGCAGCTCCAGGCCAGGCTGGTGGGCGCGCAGGGGGGCGTGGCCAGCCGAGGGGGCGTGGCCGACGCAGGGGCGGGGCCGATATAAGGAGCGCTCGGCGCCGGGGCGCTCAGAGCCGGTCCCGCCGCCGCCGCCGCCGCCGCCGCCGCCGTAGCCCGAGCGCTCCGCGGACATGAAGACCCCTGGCGAGGTGCTGCGCGAGGGCGAGCTGGAGAAGCGCAGCGACAGCCTGTTCCAGCTGTGGAAGAAGAAGCGCGGCGTGCTCACCCCGGACCGCCTGCGCCTGTTCCCCGCCGGGCCCGGCGCGCGCCCCAAGGAGCTGCGCTTCCACTCCATCCTCAAGGTGGACTGCGTGGAGCACACGGGCAAGTACGTGTACTTCACCATCGTCACCACCGACCGCAAGGAGATTGACTTCCGCTGCGCGGGCGAGAGCTGCTGGAACGCGGCCATCACGCTGGCGCTCATCGACTTCCAGAACCGCCGCGCGCTGGAGGACTTCCGCAGCCGCCAGGAGCGCGCCGCGCCCACGGCGCAGCCAGAGGCCCGGGCGGCCCGCGCGCCCTGAGCCCTCGCCGCGGTGAGTGCCGCTCGGGATCCCCGGGGCTCTTGGGGAAAAGCTGCAACTTCACATGTCGGGGGGAGGGAGGTCCTGCCGCCCTGGGGCCACTTTGGACAGGGAAATCTGGCCGGGCGCAATCGCAGCGTCCCGGAGGAGCCGTCACTTGCCCCACTGGGTCGGGGTCTGGGGGACACACAGGCTGCACCCCGGCGCGCTCTGGCACAGCTCTCTGACTCCGTCCTCTCCCTACAGAGCCACACAAGGGACCAGTTGGGCCGGACCGGCCGCATGGGCCTCGCGTCGGGCAGGAGCCCGGGGGGTGCCTGGGACGGCGGGAGCCCGGGCGGGCGCTGACCTCACGAGGACAAGGCGGCCGCTTCCCTTCCCCACGAGGAGGACCGTCCGCGCGTGCGGACCCTCGCCCCGCTGTGCGGGCGCGTTAACTTATTGGACTGTGTATTTATTTTGATGGTTGGTTGTTGTCAAACCATTTTTGTCTTAATATTTTTTTTTCCGTCGTTGTGCCCATTCCAAATAAATGACTTGATACGTTCTCTTTTCTACCAAACCACTGTGGCCGGTGAAGTTCCTGCTGGGAGGGCTGGAAGGAAAGGCACTCCCGCTGCAGCCCTGGCTGGTGGGGAAGACACTGCAACCGGTTTTGAATGAGTAGTGTATCTGCCGGGTGGGGTTCATAGGCTTGTCCCCCGTGGTCCCCACCCTTCCACGCCAGGAAGTGACTTGGGTGTGGCCTGACTACCTTCTGCTCCTGGGTGTGGTCTGGGGAGGACAGGGGTTGGGGCCATGCTGGCTGAGAGTTCATTCATGACTTGGCTGGTGAGGACGTCACTTTCCCCAAACCTAAGCGCCACTCTGCCTGGTAGGGGTGGCTGTCCTCAACTGCCCCTCCTCCTGCCCACACACCACCTGTCCAGCAGCTGACCGGAAGGCTCTCTGGCTGCCCACTTCAACGTGCTTGCATGATGGTGACTCAAGCTCAACTGCCAGCCCTCCCAGCCGGTGCCTGAGGCTAGCGGGGTGGCCATTGCTTTCAGGAAGATGGGAGACAGGCCTGGGTGTCACCAATGATAATGGCCCAGGACTGGGGCATTGGGGCTGGGAGGCCTGAGAGCTCACTAGATCCCTGTCCCTTTTCCTGAGACACCTGTCAAGTAGCAGCTGTGTCTTCTCACCTAGCTGAACCCAGAGAATCTGGCAGGGAGGCAGGTTGTCTAGAGGGGTGTCCATCGGTCCCACCGCCCCCCACCGGGTGCACTGGTGACTGACAAACCAGGGAAGACAGAGTAAGAGGGACTGGGACACTGATTGTCCACCCAGGAAGCCAGCGTCCTTTCCACGGCTTTTCTGACCTGGAGGGATGCCAAATAGGGAAAGCAGAGGTAAGGGAGTCGTGGCTGTCACAGGCCTCCTAGCTGGGTCTCCGGGGCAAAGCTGGGAAGGAGGCTGTCCCTTTGCTGGGTGGACTGCAAGAATCTTGGGTGCTGGGTCCTCGTAAGAAAGATTCTCCCACATACTTACTGGTGAAGTCCCTGTGCACGTGGGGGGAGGACAGAAAAGAGCGCTTTGCACTGACTGAGTCGCTGGACCCACCCTGTGCCACAGGACCTCTTCCACACAGGTGGGTGACCAAGGCCAGGCCACCGCCTCTACCACCACTCCCCCCTCCCCGATGGGGTTCAGGCAGAGACACAGTCTGGCCTAGGAGTTTGGGCCAGGAACACAGAAACAGCCTCACTCTCTGAGACCCTTCCCCAGTTTGGGCACCATGGGATTCTGAAGTTTGAGGATTCCAAGTTTTAACAGCTTCTTTCAAAGAGGCCCAGGGAGGGGTGGAGGGGCGGGAGGTGGCCTGGGAGGCCTCAGAAGCAACCGGGTCTTCTGCATATTGGTCTGCTGCTCTCTGCAGGGGGTTGGCTGCCTCATATCAGCATACCTTTTCCCAAGTCCCAGAGCCCTCAGGGGAAGGGAGTGGGAGGTGCTCCCAGGCCTTGTTGCCTCAGTCCCTACTGCCCAGGGCTGATGCCAGGGGTGCCCACCATGAGGATCATGGGGAGATGGACCAAGTCAGTGTACCTGTGCAGTCCTGGGGCTCCCCAGATAGGGAGGCCTTGCTTCCCTATCTCTTAAACCAATCTGCTTCTGCTCACTGGGACACGTGTAGTCCCAGGCTGGGACAGGCAGTGGGTGGGCCAAGGGTTCCCTGTCTCTAGGGGTGTAAGCACAGCTATGTGGGTGGCAGCAGGGGGATTCCTTCCTGGCTATGTTGGTGAACACAAGGGATAGACTAATGACTTGGGACAAACAGGTGATTCTGCCTTCCCTGTGTAGCCTCCTCCTCCAGGAAGCCCTTGGCCTCCTCTAGCTCCATCCCTCACCTTCACCCCCCAGGCTTCCTTCCCATCACAGACACAGGCGGAGCCTGCAGAAATCAGGTGGAAGTCAGGTCCCAAAGGAGTTTATTGCCTGTCTGTGCCTGGGGCAGTAGTCACCGAGTTTTGTCCCTCTTCTCCAACATAGGCTTCCTCCAGAGGACCAGGAGGACGAGAAAATTGACGGCAAACTGCAGTTGGCCAAAGACCGAGACACCAAGGCTGCGGTAGAGGAGGCCACCCAGCATGGGCCCCACGGTGCGCGTCAGTGGATGCACAGAGGCACAGAGGCCCAACATGGTCCCTGGGGAAAGAATGACAGCAGTCAGGGCCTGAGTAGGTCCTGCCTGGACACAGCCTGGCCTCCAACCCCTCCCAAACTAAGCCACCCCCCACCTCAGATTGCCTTGTGCAGTAGGCATGAAATACTCCCTGAAGCACCTGTCCCATCTCCCCAGAGAGCCCCTCACCTGTAGTACCCCTCCCCCACCTCTGCAGCCCCACAGGTGCTTCCCTGGATGTGGGGTTGAGCCTCCTCCCTGCTCCAGAAAGTCCTCAAGCACAGGAGGAGCCTGGGAATGGGGCCATAGGTCAGGGCACAGGCCACGCCCTCCTAGGCCTGCCAAGGGAGATAGGAGCCACACACACTTAGGGCTGGGCTCCTGCCCAGGACATCCGGTGCACTGACTCTTGGGCTCTTTCCTAAGGTCCGGGGTGCTAGGGATCCAGGAACTAGAACTGTCAGGCATGACCCACTGGTGACTGAGGTGGGTATGGTGGGTCTGACTGAGGGGGTTCCTCTGAGCCTCCATGGAATCAGGAACTGGTTCTCTGGGCGGGCAACACCTTCCATGCCACCATCATAGCCACTCCTGGCCATCCCCTCCCCCAACCATGCTGATCCTCCCCTGCCATCCTCCTAGGGGCCCAATGGTCCCCAAAGGGTGGGGGTAGGGCTTCAAGGAGTACAGAAAGGGCCCTCACCTGCCTCTCCCACAGTCCCAGGGAGAACGAGCCCCTTCCCAGGCTCACTGGGTCCCCACCGAAGCATCTGAGCTTTTTTTTGTTTTTTTTCCTGTATTGGGGCTTGAACTCAGGGCCTTCACCTTAAGCCACTGTTCACCAGCCCTTTTTTGTGAAGGGTTTTTCAAGACAGGGTCTCGAGGAACTATTTGCCTGGCCTGGCTTCAAACCGCAATCCTCCTAATCTCTGCTTCCTAAGCTAGGCTTACAGGTGTGAGCCACCTGCGCCCAGCAACATGTGAGATTTTACCTGACAGTCCAGTTCCTCGTGCCTAAGGTCACCTGTCCCAGGGCCTGAGGCCAGCTGTCCCAGGGTAGACAGGCTTACATGTGGCTATTGTCAACCCTCAAACAACATGGAGGGGTGCAAAATTCACTAAGCCAGAAAGCCAGAGCCCCCTGCCACCAGGCCGCAGATCTCAAGTTGGGAGGTCACCCTTTGCCCATTCCCAGTGCGTGGAGGTGGCTGATCTCTGCTCCCCACTGCCCACTGGGTCCCTGGCTCATGGCTTCTGAGCCCAGGCCTCTAAGTTTGGCCTGGACTAGGGCCTCTGAGGCCCTGCCCACGCTCAGGGATGCTGTGGGGAAACTTAGGAGCAGCCTCTCCCACTGCCCACACACCCGCAGACTCCAACAGACACAGGGGCAATTACCGCCCCCTCTGAGGTTTCAGTTCCCAGGCGACCAGGTCCTTTTCCTTCCTTCCTTCCAAGCTGAGGGTGGTGCCTCAGCATGACACAACATGGCCTGGTGGCCTGGCCTGCTCCTCCCTGCCAGGCCCTGCCCTTCTCTCTCTAGGTTTCTAACCTCTGCTCTTTCCTGCTGTTCACTCCAAAAGGATGGCTGACCAGCTGTCTGGAGGCTGGCTGCCCTAGCACCAGGGAGTCCCAGGTCTGTAGGCCTCAGAGGCCCCAGGCAACCCTGAGAAGATCCCTGCCTCCATCTATCCCTCCACCCCCACTCAGGCAGACAGGTGGCCTAGCCCCTTGAGCTTTCTGGTCCTGCTGCTGGGGAGGCCTGGAAGAAACCCCAAGTCTTTCGTGTTCAACCAGTCAACAGGAACCCCCTGGGCCAGGCAGCATGCATGCACTTCTCCAGGATGGGATGCAGGCAGGAACCAGGACACCCCCAGTCTGGATGGGGGAGGGGGGTTTCTCCTTGCCTCCATAAAGAACTGTTTCAGAGTTCAGGCTGAGGGCCTGGATTCTGGATTTCACCAGCTCTGTGCATTCACTTGCTGTTCACTCAGGAAGCCCTGGGTACTGGGCCCTGGGGAGAGGGAGACCCGGTCCCATGTGCTGCCCTCCGGCTTGGTTCCTCTCTCATTTCTCCAGCCCAGCTCGCTGGCTGCCTTCCTAACTAGCCTCTGCAAGAGCTCTTTAGGCCACCTCCTGCCCAGTGGGTGCCCTATATATGGAAAGCCATCCATCCCTCCTCCTTTCAGTAAAATTCTGCCCATGTATCTGAGCCAGTCCTAATGCCACCTGGGAGAAGCCTTCTTCCTGTGCCCCTGGCCTGACTCTGGCCTAGTCAGCAGGGCTGGTGCAGGGCTGGGAGGACACAGGAGTCTGTCATCACCCTCACCCCTCTCGGGCCCCAGGCCATCCAGTCCACTGCCCACTGCATACCCACTGGGAGGCAGATGTGACCCTAAGGCCTTGGTGTGGTCCTCACCTGTGTCTGAGGCAGAGACGGCCTTGGTCAGCATGCTGTCGGTGACCACATTGAGGGTGCACAGGCTGAACACCAGGCAGGGCGCCAGAAGGCAGAAGTGGAAGACGCTGGACATCAGTGCCTGGGAGGGCAGTGAGTGGGGCCATGGTGAGCAGAGCCGCCCAGGGCCCTGCGGGGTACTGGCCTGGGACCCCCTACTGTGTGGAGAGGCCTAGTCCGGTTACTCTTACCATGGCCAGTCCCACCATGGCGAAGACCAGCACACTGGCCTGCAGCAAGGCTTCCTCTGAGAAGTGTCTGCTCAGCCATCCGATGACCAGGCCCTGGATCACCTAAGTGGGCGGAGGTAGGCAAGGAGAGGTGGGACAACCTCCAGACTGGTGGCTGGGGACCCCTGTTCTCTCATAGCCCCTCACATCTGCAGGCCTTGGGGGTCCCACCTCCACAGGGCAGAGGATGTACCCTGTGGTTCCCAAGAAGGTCCCAAAGAAAGCCGACATCAAGGACATTCAGAGACACCAGGAACATGACTCAGTGGGACAGGCCCAGCCCGCAGGCCGCTCCCAGGCCAGGGTGAGGCTTCCTATCTGGTAGCAGATAGGAAGTGCCCTCTCCACCAGGCAGGAAGTGCCTGGGGTCAAAGGGCAGGAGTGGGGTGGGGACCTGGGGGAAGGCTGGGGTCAGTGTCTGACCAGCTCTGTTGAACCCGCCTGGCCACTCTCCCCACTCCCCACTTGTGCCAGCTGCTTCCCACCGAAGCTCCAGTGCTGCTTAAAAAATAACCCTACACTCAGAACTGCTTTATCTTAGATGTTTTTTTGCTTTTTGTTTTGTTTTTCATGAATTGCTATTTTTTTTTTTTTCTGACAGTACTGGTGCTTGAACTCCCAGCCTCAAACTTGTGAGGCAGACACTCTACCATTTGAGCCATGTCTCCAGCCCAGTTTTTAGATTTTTGAAGGAAGATCTATTTGACAAGTCCCACATAGTGCAGTCCACCCAGGGGATGTCCCAGCACCAGAAAACATCGAAACCTCGACTTGGGCAGTCAAATGAGCACCAGAAGCCCAGTCCTAAGGAATCAGCATCAAGCGTCAACTTTCCACTAACTGGAAAAGAAGCTTCAAGCTGTGTGCTTACAGGGCGTTCCCTCAAACAGTGAGGTTAGCCACCAGGCCAGGTAGGCCTCTCCCCTCAGCCCTCACAACCATCCTCCAGCCCATCTGCTACCCCTGCCACACCTCCCCGCCATGGTCACCCAACCCTAGGCACCCCTGCTTCCGCATCTGCCCCTCCTCTACAGAGCAGCTGCGGTGGGGGGGCTCCCTTTCTCTGCTCAGAACCACACACCCACTCCAAGCAAGTCAGCAGACCACCCTCTACCAGAAATGTTACCAAAGCCTGGTCCTGCCCCCTTGGGTTGGCTCATCTCCCCTCAGAGCCTTTGCACTTGCAGCCTCCATTCCTCCCACAGACACACAGTGTTCCCATGGCTCTTCCAGTTCCCAGCCTTGTCTGATGGAAGCCCCACCCCAATCTCCCCACCCACAGCGCTGCCTCCTGCTTCTATTCCCCGACGGAAGGAACAATGACCTGACTTGCACAGGGTGGGGGAACCAATCTGTTTCTGCTCACACCCCAGTAGCTTTGTGCTGCCCCCCACCCTGTGCACTCTGAATTTGTAGCATCTGGGAACAGCTCTGAGACAGGCCAGGTAGGTGGCTAGGCCACTATGGAGGTCTTTAACAAACAGAGGTCTGCAAGCCTGACCCCTCCCCTTACCTTAGGACCATCTAGGTGTCTTTTCCCCAGTCCCCATTCCCCCCACCCACTGGCAGCCAGGGCCAGGAGGCTGGGCTCCCTGGGAATAGAGACAGCTGTGGGGACCACAGCTCACGGGGTAGGGGTAGGGAGGTGCCTGGCAAAGGTGGCCTTGAGCCTTGCTCTATAAACATAAAACATGTCTCTTTGTACCCCATCTGCCCAAAGGCACAGCTTTCCTCCACCACACCTGGGGCCTGGTGCTCTGACATACCTGGCTCCTCTGCTGCCCACCCCCTGACTCCCGACTTCACCCTGTGCTGGGTTCCCAGGCTCCACGCTAGACTCCTCCTCCTGTCCGTCTGCAGCTCTCTCAGGTCCCCTTCCTAATGTCCTGACAGATGCTGCAGCCCCCAGCAGCCTCGGCAGGCCCGCCTCCCACCCCCAGTGCTGGCCTGAGGGGCTTCAGGAGTCTGCAGACTTCAGCTGGGCACAGGCTGGCATTGCCTGGCTCTGGGCAGGCTTCAAGCGACCTGATCAGATGGAGGCTGTTGTGGCCACCAATGAAAGGTTATCGTTAGTGCTGGTTTGAGTTTTCTGTTTTCCCCACCAGGGCGGCCCCTCTGACTGCAGAGCAGAAACCGTCCTTGTCCTGGGGCGGGAGGGGGAGAACCTATCTTTCCCTGGAACAGCTATTTTAGTACCAGGGCCTTGCCCAGTCCTGGGTCTACAGGCACAAGGAGCAAATGGCTCAGAGGTGCTAGGAATGCCACGCACTTCCGGAGAGGTCAGACCCCTCCTCCACTGGCCCCAGAATAGCCCCTCCCCTGCGTCAGCTGTCAGGCAGTTGTCCTGAGCACTTCGACACCTGTCTCCACCACCCAGGGTCTGGTTGGATGCCCAGGAGGAGCTGGGGTGGGGGCAGCCGGCTTGAGCAGGGCTGGCCCTGAATTGGGAGCCTGGGGTTCTGGGGGGTGGCAGAGAGGACACACGTCCCAAACTCCACCAAGGACACCTCCTGACCCCCAACTGCCCAAGGCTCCAGCACCTGTGAGGACACACAGTGTCTTGCTCTTTAGGAGCTCCCCAGGTGCCAAATTAGCTCATTGCACGCCCCCGCCAAGTGACTTCTGGGGTGGGCTCCATGGTTAGTCCCACATGACTATAAGGAAATGAGACTGGTCACACAGCTAGGGTGGGGATGGGATGGAGGCTGCAATCAGAACCCATAGCATGCCACCTCTGGGGTCTGCAGCCCTCCCCGCTCTGTCCATGTCCAGTGCTCACATGGGCACTTGCTCAGCCATAGATCCTGGCATGCTGGGGACAGAAGGCCAAGGGCTCACCAGGCTCCTCTGGGGTATGCCTTCCTGGGCACCATCTCCCCTCTCAGACAAGACTGCCAGGCACACGGGTGGTCACCTGAAAGGTGCCATGTGGTGGTCTGAGTGTAAGGCCATGCTTAGAACTGAGGTCACAGACAGGACAAGGCAGAGAGAGAGTGTGTGTGTGTTGGGGGGCAGGGGGGTGGAGGCCAGCTGTGCAGAGGATCCTGATGGCTGGGAGGGGGATCAGGATCGCTACTGGGAAATCTAGTCCATCAAGTCCCAAGGTCCCCTCTGTCTGAGACCCCCTTCTCTCCCCACCCCACAGATGCCCTGTGTGTAGGCCCCCGCTCACCATCTGGAGGACCCCGAAGTAGGACGTGAGGTAGCCGGCCTGGGCGGCCTCCAGCTGGAAGAAGTCCATGGAGATGATGGAGAACATTACCATGAAGAGTCCTGGGCAGAGAGGGCCAGTCAGGGGGCCGTGCACGCCTCGTGCCCTGCCAGAGCCCCTCCCTCTTGTCTAAGGGGAGTGTGACTCGAGCTGGGCAACGAGACCCTTGCCTGGGGTTGCACTGTAACCCTGTCATGGAGAGCCTCCCCTGGAGGCAGCAGAGCTGCAGCCTGTGAACCACAGGTGCTGGGAAGGGGGACTCTGGCTGAACGTGTGGCCGTGTTTGGTCTCAGTGCCTACAGAGGCCCTCTAGTCAGAGGCCCTTCACCTCTGTGGCTGGCTTAGGTTCGGATGACTGCCCGGCCAGGCCTGGCTGATCCCCAGGTTGATCTCCTCTCTGCCCCTCAGGGCTTCAGCCTTGCTTTGCACAGCTGCAGGAGAGGGTCTGGCTCTTTGGGATGCAGGCGCCTCAAGAGGAGGCCCGGCTGGAGAACCCGCGTGGGTTTCTAGGCTGCCGGCATACGTGTGGGTGGGTTGACTGATGTGGGTGGCCCATGAATGGGCGAGAGGCCATGGGGCCAGATGGCTGGGACAACTGAGTGTCTAGAGGCTCGTTACTTTCAGACTCTGTCTTTGTCTCTGGAAGCCAGGGGTGACTAAGAAGGAAAGGGAACACAGACGTCCATGGGCCTTGAGGGAGGCTCAAGCCTCCTTGGTTCCACAACCTTCTCATGACTGAGAAGGACCAGAAGCGAGCAGGGATGACACTGCTCCCTGCCTGTGCTGGTACACCCACGTGGACCTGTCACCTGCTGTGTCCCTCTGAGGGACAAGTGAGGTAGGCTTTGGTACAGGCAAGACCCAGCAAGGGGGACTAGGAGTACAGGGTGTGGAAAAAGCAAAGGGGCAGCACCCTGACCTGGGTCTCATTCCCACTGCCTGGAACACTTAGCCAAGCTGGGCCCTGGATGCAGTGGGGAGGGGCAGTGTGGACTCACCGGAGGGGAAGCCAGAGACCACTTTGACCAGGAACACGGGCAGGACACCAGGCTGCAGCAGCAGATGGGTGATGGCCTTCAGGTCAAACACACTGGCCTTGGCTCCACCTGGTCACCCGGGGTTGCTGGTCAGAACACTGGAGGCCTCAGCCTGGCTGTGGGGCCAGGGCTGCAGGCCTGGCACACCCCCTCCCCCCAGGCCCACTGGTGGAATGGGAGATGATCCCCTGGAGGGTCACTGGGCAGCCCACACACCCCCACCAGCCCTGGGAGCCCCGTATCTGGGAGGCACTTGGGAAACAGTGCACCTGCCTTCAGGTTGACTGGCTAGACGTGGGTGGAGCCCGGGAAACCCTCAGTCCCCAGCTCTAGTGACGAGGACAGGTGCCCCTGGCCCAGCCTGGATCCAGGAAAAGCTCAAGGCTGGAGAGTGACCTCAGCCAGGAGGCATTCCCTGATACCCTGACACTTTCACGTGCTGTGTCACAGGCCTCCCAGGTATGCTTGGCTGTCCCCCAGGCCCTGTCCTAGGTGACTCCCAGATAGATGTCCAGGTAGAGGCACAGAGTCCTGCCACTTGCCAGGCACACAGGGGCTGAGAACAAGTAAGAGCCTCCCTATAGGGGACACCTCTGAGGAGCCAACCTGGCCCACACTCTGCCCCTCCTTGGTGCCCCCAGATCTTTACAGTGCTCCCTGGCTAGTGCCCTCACAGGCCCCAGACACTCAGAGCCTTGGGCACTGTGACCCATTGATCCACCCCATCCTTCCTGGTCTTCCCCAGGCCTCTCTGGGCTTCCCTTCGGATCTGCCTGGGCCTCAGCCCAGCTCTGCTCCCGAGGAGTCAGCAGCCAAGAGGGGCTCAAGACAGACAAGAGGTGAGTGGCCCCCCCAAGTCCCTTGCATGTCCCCTGAACCCTTAGGCTGGAGCATCCAGGGTAGTGGTTGACCAGAGGAAGGGGCCTCCCACTGCTCCTCTCCGCAGGTGAGCCTGGTGGGACTTACTTGTCCGGGGAGCCTGGGTGTCCACACTGGCCCCTTTGGTGGTGGTAGGGATGCAGGTGAAGCTGAGAACAGCTCCCAGGAGGTTGGCCACAAGTGCCACGATGACAGGAGAGTGAGTCCTGGGGACACAGGCTGAGTTGCAGGGCATGGTCCGGGGCCCAGAACCCCTGAAGCCCCCACCCACCACTTTAGCCCACTAGGGCCTTGCCTGTAGCGGGTGCTCAATCCCAGCTATTCTGTCCCCAGCCTGCCACCTGAAGGGTGGGGACAGGACCCTCAACCACATTTATTAGGTGACACATGGAGGGAAGTTGAATTCTGCCATCCCTCATCCTTGGTTAGGCTCCGCAGCCTTTTAGGGTGGGTAGGCAGTGGGACCTAAGATGTAAGAACATCCTTTCACTTGCGGCACAGCAAACTCCTATTCATACTGCAAAGCCACACACATGTATACACACGCGGGTCACACACCAGCACGCACACACACATGCACCTTCACTAGAGCTCTGGCAGAACTTACGGGCAGGAAAGGACCAGGGAAGTCAGTAGGGCCACAGAGAAGCCCTCGTTCCTTAGCAGCTACAGCTCACACAGGCCAGTGCTCCCCACCCCAGGGCAACTCCACCCCCATGGCCACTGCCTGGGAGGCTGGATATGTGGTTGGACCCTGGCAGCCGGGCATTTCCTCAGTGAAGGGTTGGGGCACAGGGCAAGCCTCTTTGGGCTCCCAGGGAACCAGACAATGTGACGTGTGACATGAGGAGGGCCACTCCACCCAGTGGCTAGCCCCAGAGAGAAGGGCCTTTCTTCTGGCCTTGGAGGCCCAAACGTCACTGCTCAGGGCCTGGCCAGGCAGGGACAAAACCTCCTTTCTTTGCCAGATGCTCCGGAAGTGGCACAGGAGCAGAGGCCCCCACCTCAGATGGCTATTTTGGGAGCTGGTAACAAGTGAGGGTGAGTGGCAGGACACCAGGCCTCTTCTCCTTGGCTCTTGCCTGTCCCTTGAGTGGTGATCAGCAAACCAAAGGCCGGTGTATTCTGGGGACACAGGGTCTGGAGCCAGGGACCCTGGATGGCCCCAGGGGGAAATCAGGGCCCACAACTCCCCTAGAGCCAAGTCGGTCGCTGCCTGGGGAAGCCAGGCTTATTCCCCTCCCTTCTCAGAGCTGACCTCTCTCCAACTCCCTGTGAACAGAACGCTCCAAAGGAAACCAGAACAGAAAGAAATTCTGCAGGGCAGCCCTGCTCCAGGGGCCTCTGCTTGAAAATTTCTCCTGGGAAGACCCTTCTCCCCTATGCCTCCTGGGACAGTGTGGTGTCCCTGGGGGTCTTTGGGTCAGTGCATGCTACATGCAATGCAGTCAGCACTCCCTTCTGGAGGAAAGTGGCCCAGGTTCAGGCGGTGCTGGACAGGCTCTGAGCCTTGTGGCTACAGTTGACTCATTCTTTCTTTCTTTTTTCATGGGACTAGGGTTTGAACTCAGGGCTTCATGCTTGTAAAGCAGGAGCTCTACCATTTGAGCCACACCTCCCGTTCTCATTCTAAACTTTTTAATAAATTGAGTCAGGATTCTGTAGTCAGGGACACTTTCCTCTGTCTCCCCCCACCCCCACCCCCATATACACATGGACATCAGAAAGGGCACTGGCAGGCCTCAGAGGATCTGTTCCCCTGTCCTCCATGGCTACCTTGCTGGGTGACCTCATTTCCTCAGGTGTTAAATTAGGGCTGGACTCACTGCCCCTCCCTCCCTCCCAGGAGCCCAGTTCACCCTTGTCCTGCCTGCCAGCCACCCAGAGGAATCTGGCACCTGCAGCCACACCTTGGCTAAACCAGTGACCATTTCCTTTCCTCTTTATCTCAAGGGCCCAATCTGTGACACCTCAGGAGAGTGACCTGGCTCTCAGCTGTCCCAGTTGGACTCTGTGCTCCTGGGCCTCTGCTTCACCCAGACTGGGCACCTGCCCAGCTCTAGTGTGACAATTCCTCACCACGCTGGCCCTGAGAGGAGGTGGTGTAGCTGCCAGGAGCTGGCCCAAAGGCCTGGCTAAGAGCTTCCAGCTTGTACCCTTCTCTTGTCCCTGGAAGACTGGCTGAGGGCAGCTGGTATCCAGCTTCAAGTGACACCTGGTTCACAAGGGGAGGAGGCATGGGGCTTGAGTGCCATTGGATGTTCAGCCTTGGACTCCAGGAGAAGTCATCTTGTTCCATCAGCCCCATAGCACTATGACTTGAAGCACGTCTGAAAATGGAAATCCTGAGGGGGCCACCCCTGACTGCCCCCTCCAGCTTCCGGAGCCCCAGAAAGAGATTCCAAAGTCCCCTCTGGCCACGAATCCTACCAGCTCCTGTTCCCCTCCACTCCCCATACACAGGCCTCCAACCCCGTCAGCAGCCAGGGCCTTTGCACTGTGGCTTCCCCTCAGCCTGGAACACTGTCCCTATGGCCCCTCCTTCCACGGCACCTCTCAGGGCAGCCCCAGCCTCCAGCCCTCTCCCACTCTGTCCTTGTGCCCCCTGGCACCCAGAACATCAGGAACTTGCTGCTCTTCCCTGGAGTGTGGTTCCAGCCCAGCTGTCCTGTGGTATCGCCTTGGGGGAGCTGCCAGGTGGGCAGGCTGCCCAGGTGGCCCCATGAGTCACTCCTGCCAAGAGCCCAGCCAGACAGCCTGAACTCATACTCATTAACTTCCAGGGGAAACCAACGTCCTTGGACTAAGATGAAGACTTCCTGTCCCCTCACCCAGGCGCACGTTCTGAGGTGTCAGGGACCAGATAAAGTGCACAGCGAATGTGTACCAGAAAGACTGGGCTGGTAATCACACCAACCACTTGGTGCCCGGGAAGGCTGGCAGGTGGCCACTCTCATTCTGGGGCAGCCTGACCTCGTAGGTGTATGGCTGGAAGCTTCCCCAGCCCAGCTCCCACATTCTCCCCAGGCCTTGCCTGTGGTGTCTGTTCAAATCCCAGTCACTTGTAAAGGGGCAGAGCCCTACAGGAACTGAGAGACAGTGTGCCCCGTGACTTGCTGAGTGGTTGTGGCTGGGCTGGCCCTCAGATGGACCATCCATCTGAGACGAGGGTGGGTCTCCTCCAGCTGACCTTGGGGGACCAGGGAAGTTCTTCTCCCCCTTGGCCTCCTGCTCCATAATTACTCATCAGCTCCATCGGAAGATGGTGCCCAGTGGTCTCAGCAACTGTGGGATCTGCTGAGTGCCACCAGACTTAGTTACTGACAGGAACAACCTGGATTTGACCATGGGCCACAGTCTGCCAGTTGTATTTCATGCAGTACTTTCTCTCCAGATTCACAGCTGGGATTTAATTTACCTAGCCAGGGCCTCTTCCCCAGCTCTCAGAATTGAACTTGGTGTCAAACCTAACATGACCAGCCCTGGAGTCCTAATCTTCTCCTCCTTATCTCCTTCCAGCTGCCCAGAAGGGGTCCTCCCTGACTTCTCATGTCCATCCTCATCTGCTAGTTCTACCTTCAAGTGGACTCACGCCTGACCCTTTCAGGCCACGCTGTCCCTCCTGGGGCCTACTCTCCCCAGATGCCCCCCGCCTGCAGCCTCAGTTGCCTATAGGACCTGCACTTGCACACTTGTCCCCAGTGCCCAACAGCAAAGACCAGTCTTGGGCTCAATGCTGGTGGTGGCCTCTGTGACATGTGGGTGAAGGGAGAGTCCTCACTGCCCCACCTTCCCCTCTTCCCCTTGCCTGTGCTTGCCTGGCCCCAGTCACCCTTTTGCCCTTTACTTATTCTTGAGCAAGCCAGGACATCCTATCCGCAGGGCTGTGCGCAGATGGTGGACACCTCCATTTCTTGCATGTGGTACTTGTCTTCCCACGGGCAGGAACTGTCTGAGTCTAGCTCTGTGCTATGGTCCATGACCGCCTAGACCAGAGCCAGGAACATAGCAAGGCTCCATAAACCCAGGTTGGGTCTTGCAGGCCTGGGTGGCCAAAATCTCTCCCCCAGTCCCTCCCCAAGCTATACCATATTGAGGCTCATGTGTCACAGAGCCTCCCCCACCTGCTGGCAGCAGCAATGCAGCTCTGTGCCCAGAGACTTCTGCAGGCAACCTGGCCTCCCAGCCCTGAGCTCCAGGCTGGGCCAAACCAGTTGTACCGGTGCCTGCCTCCACAGGCCCCAGTGCCAAGTCCACTTCCTACTCCCACTGCTGCTCTGTGGTGGGGGCTGGCATGACTGGGGCCTTTCAAGGGAATGGGGCACCGGCGTGGCAGAGAGGCAGTGGCCAGGGAGACTCTGTCAGGTCAGGCTTTGATTTGCACCCAGGAAGGGGAGGGATGCCCAGTGTGGCTCTTGCTGTGGGCTACACTGGGGGCACGGAGGGCTTTGAGGTAATCAGGCTGCCTGGCTGAGGAGGGAGAGGCCACTGGCCCTCACCTTGGGGTGAGGCTCTGGAGCAGCTCCCAGCCTCCATGGGATAGGATGGGGACCATAAAGTGGGACAGTACCCAGGCTACTGCCCTGTCAAGCACGTGGGGATAAGGTGCACCCATGGTTGTGTTGACCATGGTGGATGCAGTCAGTCCCATCTGGTGGGACAAAGGCGGACCTGTCAGTCACAAGGTCACCAACAAGGCCTCTCCCACACCCCTCTTGCCACTGGGTAGCCAGCTACAAAGGGCTGCAGGTCAGCTTTGGTCACAAGGGCCACTTCAATATATATGGATCTATGTGCAAAGACCCTGAGCGAGCCCACTCCTCCCCGCACACACACTCCCACCGTGCATAGCACCCAGCCTTGGGCCTCAGTTTCCACACCCATCAAAGGAAACGCTGAGGTTGGCCTCATTGTGTAAATGTTAAGGTTATAGAGGGCCTCAGATCTTCCATAAAAGGAGGCAGGGAAGCAAAGGTGTGGCAGGGGAGGAGGCCATCTTGGGGGTGTGGGAGGGAGAAGGAAATGAACGGTGTGTTCTGGGTCAGAAAAGGCAGGTGAAGACAGTTGGCAGTGGCTCACTTCTGTAATCCTAGCTACTTGGGAGGCTGAGATTGGGAGGATTGCTTTTCAAGGCTACCCCAAGCAAATTGTTTTTGTGATCCCATCTCCACAATAACCAGAGCAAAATGGAGTAGAGGTGTGGCTCAAGAGGTAGAGTGTCCGCTTTGCAAGCATGAAGCCCTGAGTTCAAACCCCAGTCCCCCTACCCCCCCCTCCCGGCCCCACAAAGCAGGTGAGGACAGGAGGGGTCATGTGTGGGGTTGTGAGTGGGGCTGTGCATGGTGCCATTTGGGTTAGGTGATGTTGTGTGTTAGCTTGCTCCGACACACTATCGGGGCTGCTCAGCACCCCTGTGTGCAAGATACCACTGCAGCATCTGTGAGCCAGAGAGGGCTGATGAGACCATTTCACAGGCAAGAAAGCTTGGTGAGGTTAAGAAAACATACCCCCGCCCTCCCTCTGTAGCAGGTAGGTGGGTCCAAGGTGACCCTGCCTGTCTGGGCTGGGCCTCCCTGTAAGTGGGGCAGCAGTCTGGGGGGGCCTTCCATCCAGCACCCACCCCTTTTAGCACTCCTTCCCTTTCCATGCCCCCTCATTACTCTATCTGCCTGGGAGATGGAGGCCCTCCATCCTCATCTCCACACCTGTCTCCCTCCTGAATTCCCAGCTGCCCTGCCTACTAGCCATGACAACTCAGCAGAGGCCCCCTGTCCTCCACACAGGCCTCTGCTCCTGTCACTGGAGGATGCAGCGCCTTCTCTTCCCCAGCTGCACAGTCCCGCATCTGGCTACCTGCTCCATAGCTCGTCCCAGGCCCAACAGGCTCCCAATGCCTGTACAAGGTGGGCTCCCCCAGGACCAGCCTGACTCCAATACAGTGTTGGAATCGAGATTTGAGTTCCCACCTACCTCGCACCCATGTCAAAACCAGGCCAGAATCTGCCCTAGGCCCCCTCCCTATAGCTACCCCTGGTCCAGCCACTGTCCTTACCTACCTGGATGGTGCAGGTGCCCTCCCCCCCCCGCCATCTTCTTTTGGAGCACTTGCCCCTACTTTTTAGCTCCAAGCCTGGCTCTTTCCCCCTCCTCTGATCCCTCCAGTCACTCAGTCTCCTCACTTCTATGAACACAGGACCTTTGCACATGCTGTTTCTTTGCCTCCCTGTCACTTGTCTCTCCAACATCACTGCCTCAGAGAGTCCCCTGTGACCATCTGACTATCTAGCTGCTGATCCTGATTTACTCCTTTTTTATACCATATGACTCAATCTGCCATTATACCAACACAGTTCACCTGACAGTCTTGGTCTGTCTTGTTCCCCACTGTATCCTAGAACCTAGAATCCCTTACTAGATGTTCGGTAAACACCACTGAGTCACCCAACACAGGTTCTGATGCAGATGCTGGGAGGACGTGGGGAGGGGTGTGACTGAGCCCTCCCTGTTGAGGGGTGGACTCTAACAAAACCATGGCGCCCGCCCATTGCTCTGGTCCCCCACTGCTGGGCTGACCTGGGGAAACTTAGGGAGCCTGGGCAAACCACCAAGGCTCCTAGAAGCAGGGACTCACACTGTTCATCCATGACTAGAGATCCTGGAGGCAACAAAGGTGCCTCCCACACCAAGTACCCCAAAGTATGTGGGCTCCATCCCGTAAGAGAGCCTCAGCCGGCCTCACACAACCCTGCAAACCATGGTCACAGTCTTCTCTGACTAGGGAGCAGGTGAGAACCTCTCCCCTGCTGGATGGGACACCTGCCCCCAGCCCCAAACCTGAGGCTTGGACCTGAAAGACAGCGCAGGTGTAGGCTCACTCTTGGGATGAAGCTGAGTCCAAGTGCGCTTGAGCACCCCCAGTCAATCGGGCCTTTACCATGGCCCCCTCCCTAGGGCGCAGTTACCCTGTGAGCCAACGGGGATGGAAAGGGATTGTCCCTGGTCTAAAGTTCCAAAAAGTGAGACTGAGCAGGCAGAAGTGCCCAGTCCACACGGGTGCCAGAGGTGCCTCCCAGCCCTCTCCTCCCTCTGGGCTGCCAGGGCCGCTACCTGGACAGCCCGCTCTGCCCGCTGCAGAAGCCGCCCAGGCCAGGCGCGCAGTGCTGACCCGCGGCTTCAGGGCGGGGCGACGGAGCCCCCTGGTGGCCGCGCCGCATCGCGGTCCCGCCCACGCCGCCGGTCTGGGCCGGTCACCCTCGCGGTACCAAACTCACTCATGCCGATGGAGAAACCAAGTCTTAGACAGGTAGCGGAGATGGAACGACGGCCCCGAGCGCGGAGCGGCGCGGAACCCACCCAGCCACGGCCATCCTGAGCAGTGTCCCCGCTCGCCTTGCCCTCCAGGGGCCCTACCCGGCCACTCACCCATACGCGGTACTCAGGGTCCCACCGAGCAGGGAGCCGAGGATCATGCCGACACCGAAGCAGAGGCCCAGCCGGCTCAGGGCCGCCGGCCGCTCCGCGGGCGCAGTCAGGTCGGTGATGACCATCTGGGCAGCTGGGGCGGGGCGGGGGCTGAGTAGCGAAGCCAGTCGAAGACCCGGGCAGAGGACCCAGGGCTCAGGCCACGCCCCTATGCCGCCCCCTGCACTCCAATTTGCCCTCCCAAGGCCACGCCCCCACATAGCCCCCTCCACCCTCTCTGCCCTCCCCAGGCTACACCCCCCACCTTTCCACCTTGACTTGCCTCCTTCCTGAAGCCACGCCCCCATGCCACCCCCTCCTCCCAGGTCCCGCTTGTCTCTACCTGTGCCCTACCTGGCAGCGTGTGCATGAGCGCCGTGGGCAAGCGCGAGACGAAGAGCAGGAAGACACCGGGTAGGGCCGGGCTGCAGGCGGCCACCAGGAGCAGGTAGAGCGTAGAGGATGCCACGAAGGAGAGCGAGAGCGCCGCCCGCGCCCCGCGCTGGTCTGCGAACCTAGGGCCACCAAGCGGATCAGCCACCAGCAGGGTGCCCTTCCCCACGCCCACCCCCTGGGACTGTCCAAGCAGGGCTGATGGGGAGGCTAGGGTGCTGACAAGGGCCAGTCTGCTGTGGGCTGTCCTCCTGCTTCTTCCCATCCTCTCAGTGGTGGGGAGGTGTCTGTCCCAAGGGGGCATTCTAACCCCTGTGAAAATAGATACTGGTGATGGATGTGCTGGGGCTCTAGGGAAAGTGACAGACTGAAGTGTGCAGTCCCTTTTTTCTGCCCAAAAAATGCTCTGAAGTCTGGACTCCCACAGGTATGTCTGTCAGCTGTCCCTGTGAGATCTATAGGAGGTTGTCAGCTGTCTTGTCTTCAGACCAGCAGGGTTCCCCAGCACCCAGAAGGTGGGGGTTGGGGACCCCATATTGCTGGGCTCCTGCCTGGGTCCCCAGAATTGCCCTTTCAATAGTGATGATAAGGCTCCTAGCTCTGTGCTGGGCCTGGATAGCTGTTAAATCTTCATCAAGGAGACACCTGGGAGCCACAGGTGTCAAGGGCTGAAACAGGACCATGGTGCCAGTCCATTGCCCTGGTCCCTGGGCTCAGCCAGCAGCCTCCCCGACTGAGTGCCTGGGGGACCCGGGCTTCAGGCCCTGGCCTTGGGAAGCCACCAAGGCTCCTGCAGGGAGGCCAAAGCTCTCCTGTGGCTTAGTTTGCCTTTCCTTGGAATTGCTGTCACCTTCTGGGGCCCTGTGCGAGCTGAGGACCCAGCCTGTGGCCTCTGAGGGGTGGTCCTGGCCATTGTGGATTGAGGGACCCACATATGCCTCCTCTCCACCGTACCTGCCAAACACAGGCCCACCCAGCAGCTGGAGCACCCCGAAGATAGTTTGCAGGTAGCTGAAGGCGACAGTGTCCAGGCCCAGTGTCCGGGAGAGATACTGAAACACATTTGGGGGGCCGTGTGAAGAGTCTGTGAGAGGCCTCAGGAGTCTGGGGTCCTTCAAAGGTCAGGGGGTAGGGAGGGAGTGGAGGACCTGGGCCCTGATTCTTGGTGGTGGGGCCTGAGAGGGGCTTTTCCCTGCAGGATCCTGCTCCTCCTCCCTCAGAGGGAGAATTTAATGGCCTCTGGGGATGCTGGAGCTCACTCCATGATGGCAACTGCTGCCCCTCCTTCTCCTCTTGGGTACCCTTTAAGTTGGTATGGAGAGACAGCCACTATTTTGTCTTCATCCACTCAGAGCTCTGTGGGGGATTTATGGCATTGTCCCTGCCAGCAAGGGGTCATCCCAAAGCACCTTAATGACCTCTGGGAACCTGAGATGTCGCCCATCGTCCAGCAGGACCGTCTGCTCTGTGAGGCTCCCAGTCCTCAGCTCCTTTCTGGAGGATGCCCACCAGGGAGAAATAGCACCACAATTGTCCCTCCGAGGGCTCCCAGTCCCCAAGCCTCCATCTTGCCCTGCTCTACTTCTCTGTGACCTTAATACCTCCAGTCTTGACCCTTACTGCAGCTGAATGGTGTCCTCCCAGCTCCTGTGCTGGAGCCCTAACCCCCAGTGCCTCAGAATGTGACCTTACTTGGAAATAGGATCTTCACGAAGGTCATCAATTCAAGTGAGGACTTGCTCTGAGCCAGTTTTTGGTTCTCCATAATGGTAGCCCCAGTCACCAATACCCTGCCTCTCCCCCAACCCCCCATATTCTGGACTTCTCCTAGAGGCCAGTCTTGGGCACCTGTCCTTATCTTCCCAGCCCCCACCATAGACTCCCACCTCCTGCCCTCTGCTCTTCTGGCTGGAGAAGCCTGGAAATGCTGTCTGTCTGCTCTCTGCTCTGTGAACTTGACCTGACAATCATCCCACCTTCCCCTAGTGAGTCCACTCCCTCCCCAATCCTGCTATATCTCACTTTCTCCTCTCCCTCCCACCCCTGCCCTAGAGGAACTGAAATCCCACCCCTATCCCTGCTCACCTGCCCCCTGTGGGGCATCACTTCCCAGCCTGTGACTTCCCCTCCTCTCCCCTCCCCTTCTTTCTCCTCTCCTCTCTTCTCTCTCTCATACACACAACCCTGGTCCTCAGCAGTAGATCTGATTCCAGCCACTTCCCACCTCCCCCTCAGCTCCCACTGGAGTCCTCTGGTGGATGTGGCTCTCTCTGGCCTCAACTCCTCCTGTCCAGCTGCACAGCCTCACCACTACCCCAGGGCCTTTGCACTGGATACACCTTTCCAGGCACAGCCTTGCCACTGGCTTTTGCATCCCAGGGCCTTTGCACTGGCTGTGCCTCTCCTGTTTCTTTCAAGCCTTTGCTCCAGTGTTGCCTTCTCAGCTATCTTCCTGACCCCAGACTGCTATATGTCCTTGGGCTCTCAGTGCCCCCTCCGACCCACCATTTCCTTTTCCACTGTACAGTCTGACTGTGTTGCATTTTCTACAGCAACACACTGTTGACCACCAGCTCTGAGGGTGGTGGTGGTGGTAGGTGCCCTGCTGTGTCCCAGTCCTGAGAACGAGGTCAGTTCACAGGTGTTCATGGAGGACTGGCCGGACAAGCCATTGTCCTCACTATGGGGGTGAAAGGAAGGTGGCAATCACTCTGGTTCTGTGGACTGATGTGCTCACTCTCTCCCACACAACCTGACCCCGCCAGCCTGCGGGGTGTGGGGGGGTCACCACCCTTCTAGAAGAAGCCGGGGCCTGGCCAGGCTGCCCTACTGCATGGGGCAGAGACCCAGGTCATCTGTGGATTGAGCTGCAGAGGGTTCTGGGCTGGAAGCCCTTGCCATTCCCCGAGTGGTGACAAAGGTTAGTGCTCATTCCAGTCCTGATCCCCAGGCCTGGAGCGAGGGTTAAAGGGAGGGCCACTGGATCTGAGCCTGGTTGGGCTCTTGGGGGCCAAATGTGAGGAGGACCCTGTGCTTCTGGGTAATGTGTGACTTTGTCCTCAAGTGTCCCTGAGTTTCTGACTCCTGGGGGGTAATGTGAACAGTGAATGGACCTTAGTCAAGCCCACTGGCACCTCAGTGCTGCCCAGCCTGGTCTGCTGGCCACATTGGTGGATAGGTCACACTCTGAGTGGACCCCAAACCCAGCACGGAGCCAGCCCTTCACTTTCGGGTGAGCCTGGGTCTCAAGAGGGAATTTTTTTTTTTTCCTGCGCTGGGGCTTAAACTCAGCTGTTACCTCTTGAGCCACTCTACCAGCCCTTTTTTGTGTTGGGTATTTTCGAAATAGGGTCTCTCAAACTATTTGCCTGGGCTGGCTTCAAACTGTGATCCTCCTGATCTCTGCCACCAGAGTAGCTAGGATTACAGGCATGAGCTATGGATTCAAGAGAACTTTAAAAAGTGGCCTGTGGCTGATGTCATGGCCCCACGCAGACCCCCTGCTGGGGGACGGTCCTCTGGGTTCTTCCCAGCTCCCCTGGGTGCTGCTATCCATGGAGGTTGGACCCCTGTGCACCAGCTCCATAGAGGTTTACTGAATGAATAACCAAGTATGAAAAGTGGGAAAGATGCAAAGAGGCCAACGGGGGTGGCTCTCTGAGGCTTCTCCCCAGGGCTGAAAGGGTGGCCAGAGCACAGGATGTGCTGGTGGCAGATACCTACCCAGCTCAAGTATGGCTTGGGGTTGGTCTTCAATGGAGTGGGGCCCTGGCAGTATCAAACGCCCACTCTTGCTCCCCGCTACTGCCTAGATGGACAGCAGGGGGACAGTGAGGGGCCTCTGGGGAGGGGTTCTGGGGTGTTACTCACTGGCAGGATGGAAAACTGCATGAAGAGGCAGGTAAGTTCCAGGGTAGTCAGCCCGTAGGTGAGTGGGATGACCCATGACTGGCTCACAGTGCTCATCCTGCTGACAGGCTGCTTCTGACCGCTGGAGGCCTGAACTCCCTGGATCCTGGGCAGGTGCTGTAGGGAATCCTGAGAGGAGTCCAAACAGGAGCTGGCCAAGCCTTGGAGTGGGCAAGGGGCAAGAGTTCTGTTGATCAGGTGCGGTGCTGAGTCACCGGAATGGAGGAGCAGAACTGCCTGCAGGAGAGGACAGCCCAGCAGGCTGCAGATTGCAAACTCCACCCTGGCAATCCAGTGACCTTGACCTTGGAGAAAGGGTCAGGTGCCCCCTGACCACTGACAACTCTTGGTCTGGGGCACACAGCCTCCATGGGAGGGGACAGGGACAGTCCCAACCCTGCAGCATGCCCTGTGCCCTGAACAGGGAGATACCATGCCCCAGTTTTAAAGGGAAACGGAGCCCCAGAGTGGGACTGTTTCTGACGGCTGCTCAGATGGTGACTTCTGTAGGTCTGGGGCTGATTTGTTTCCCTGTGCATGGTCCTCCTTAAGGCCAGGCCTTGCTTTCCTTGGGGGAGCGGGGGAGCTTTGGGGGTTGGTACTGGGATGGGGACAGGGAGACAGTTCAGCTTTCCTGTCCCTGGGCAGGGTGGGTATGCCTCACCTCCTACAGCAGGACGTGTAGTTCCCCGCCCCCCACTCCCAACCCCACCGCGGGAACAGGATTTTGCGGTTCCACTGGGGCCTTTTTTTTTTTTTTTGTCAGTTGACACCTGACTCCACAGTTGGAGGTAACCCCAGGAGCCTGCCGGGGTGGGACGGGGCGAGGCAGCAGCGCGGAGGGCCGGGAGCTGCGCCTGCCCCGCAGCCTTCTAGGGGCGCACGAGGGTGCGGGAGGGCACCTGCCGGGGCAGAGAGGCTCGACGCTGCGGGGGTTCGGGGCTCAGGGCCTGCCCTCATCGGGGTACCTGCTTTTGCCTGGCGAGCTTGGGCTCCGCTCCTGGTGGGTGAGCCCTCCCGGGTGAGTCGCGACACGCGCCCTTCCGGGACAACCCGGGCTGGGCCCGCCCCCGGCATAGTCCCCTCCCTCCCCTCTCAGGCCCCGCCTATCCTGCGAAGTGGGCGCGCCCGTGCCGCGGCCTCTGCGCGCTCATTGGCTGATCCAGACACGCCCCCAGACGTCCCGCCCACTGCCCGTCCCAGCCCGACGACAGCTTCGCAAGGGGCTTTGCGATCCACGGATGGCTTGGGTGTTGCAGCTTTTATCCTGCCCCGGGCCCCAAGCCGCGGGAGGCTGGACTTCGGACCCGTAGAGCAGCACAAGGCGTCCATTTCGGGCTAGGAAGGGAAATCGTGGGGACGGGGATGAGGTAAAAGGAGCAGAGAGGGCGCCAGGGAGGGAGAGCAAGAAGGGAACGGAAGAAGCAAGGGAGAGGAAAGAAGGTCTTGTCTGGGCTGTCCACTCCCAAGGATCTGTACTGAGCCCCAAAGGATGGGTAAAGAGACGAGCATTTCTGGAGACAGCTCCCGGGACCCAACTCCCTCCAGGGGCTGCTGGAGTTACTGAGATGCCAGCTGTTTCCTGTGTCACCCTACCTGAATGTCTCTTGGCCAGAGCCCATGAGATGCATAGTACACGGGTCCTCCAGGCCTCATGCCAGCCTCCACCAGAGCTCTACTGGAGCTGCAGAAGCGCCCACTGCCCTAGCACTTGGCCCAGGCCCTGCACCAGCTAGCCTCAATCTTCTCCAGAGAGCTGACTGTGGCTAGGTAACCAGATGCTCATTCCAGACACCCACGCCACCTCCGGTCCTGTAGCCCCGGCAGGGGCCAAGCCACAGGCCAAAACGCAGAGCCAGTGTCCCCTCTGCGATGTGTTAACCTTAGTGTAGCAGAGCAGAAAGCTACAGTGGCAGGAGGGCAGAGGAGCTAAGACCCTGTGCCCAGTAAGAGTGGGCCACAAAATTGGTCGTTAGGGGCAGAGTCCGGTAGCCTGAGGTCTGCTGGCTGGGCCATTTGAAATCCTCAGGGAGTAGGTCATGCCTACCGCTCTGTTCCCAGGTGTGTGCACTGTGCACAGTGCAAGTGTGTTAGAGTCTGGGAAGGGCGGGACCCACGTCTTGACAACTCAGTGCAGGAACAGCATGCTGGTTTCCCTGGGAACAGAGAGGGATGGGTCCAGCCAGGGTTTCCTGGTTAGGAATCTCAGGGTGTCTTAGATTCAGGACCCCTGGGGGAGGACTGGAGTCCAGGTGGTTGTGTGCTCCATTGGACTAGGGTGAGGGACTGTCCCCAAGAGATCCTAAATTTCCAGTTTTAACTCCAGACCTGGCTGCTTCTTGACAATCTAGTAGAAGGTGACATCATCGTTGAGTCCTGGGTTCTCCAGGCAGATTTTTTAGGGTAAAGGACAGGGAGAGGTGAGTTGAGCATCTGAAAGTGCCTGAGCCAGTGGGGGAGGCTGAGGGGAGGCCAGAAGGGGCTGGCTACTCACCTTACAAACAGGGCCAGTGGTGGGGAGAATGGCAGACAGAAGCAACCCTGATTTTTGTAGTTGTCCTGGTGGGTATGGGCAGGGAAGTTTCTCGGTTGTAAGGGAGTGTGGGAAAATTGCCCTTCGGGCTGGAAAAGGAAAGAGAAGCACTAGTAACTCTAGATCCTTGACCTTCCTCCTCTACAGGAAGCAGCTTCGGTTGTGGGGCCAGGGGCGGGTCAGTGGCTTACTTGGCCACTCAACACACTCTCTGCATTGTTCTAGGAGAAACATGGCAGAAGTTTTGCCCTAGAGACCAATTCATGCTGACTGCAGGAGGGGCTGTGCCCCATCTGGGGTGGGCCTGGGAGGAAGACATCTCTTCCCAGAAGAGTGCAGAGGTGACATCTTCAGAAGAGTGCAGATGGGCCAGGTGTGGGAAGGGCACTCCAGGTAGAGGGAATAGCATTCTGGAGGCTGAGAGGTGAACCTAAGGAAACCACAAACACCTGATGGGGCTGGGGGATAAGGTGTGCATTGGGGAGAGGGGTTAGAAATAGATCTGGAGGAGTGGGGCCCTAGGAGGGCTGGTAGGGGCAGAGCCAGGGCCAGATGTCCTGAGAAGTATCCCTGTGACTGCTGTGTACTGGGGTTGGGGATCCTGAGAGCCTCATAGACAAGGGCATCCATGCCTATCCCACTGCCCAGACCTGATGGCATAGCCTCGAGGCAGGAGTCTTACCTAATCCCACAAACACTGAGCACCTGCTGTGTGCAGACTCTGTGCCTGGTACTGAACTGCCGGTTTGTAGCATGGATTACAGTGTGGGTGTTAGGGGAGGCAGGTAACCTCCCTTGACTGTGGCACTGTGGCTTCTTTGTGTAGTGGGTCTATGACCTGCCATGTGTGCTGGAGGGAGCCTCTGGCTGAGTCCTGATGAAGGACTGAGGGGGTGGCCAGCACAGGCAGGCTTCTACTCAGTCTAGTGAGAGAGGACAGGGACATGGGTGTGAGCAGTGGGTCCTACACATCTCTGATGGACCAGGGACCAGGCATGGACCAGGAGAGTTGACCTAGACCTAATTCCCTGCTGTGTGGAGCTACTGTCTGCTGAGAAGGGTGGCTGTGGAGAGCAGGTGTTCGAGAGAAGGACCAGCAGTCAGGATCAGCCACTGAGCGGGGGACCTGTGAACTGGCAGAGGACAAAGGAGAGTGTGCAGATTGGGGATGTGGGCTGAGCCGACCATGGCTTGAAGTGTCACCTGCAGGAAGGTGACATTTAGAGCCTGACTGTAGATGAGCTGACCCCAGAGTGGATGGAGATAGAAAGGAGAGGCCAGGGCCCAAGTCTGGACGTCAACCAAAAGGAGGATCCCCGGGACTGACCAGGGAACCCCGGGCAGTAGGGGCCTGGGAGCCGAGGGAAGACAGGGAATCAGAGTGGAGGCCTTGAGCTGGCTTCCGGATTTAGCACCCGGAGGTCACTGGGAATGGAACTCTGGGTCTCGTGCATGGCAGGCACTATGCCACTGGTGACATTCCCAGGACCATTTTTGGGCATCATTAATGGGGAGAATGGGCAATGGCGGGCCTGGAAACTTATTTGACAGGTTTTGTTTCAACAGGGAGCCAAGAAACCACACGGTGACTAGTGGGGAGTGAAATAAAGGGAAATTATTTGTCAAAAATTTTAAGATTTAAGCTGGGCACCAGTGACTCACACCCGTAATCTTAGCTACTCTGGAGGCAAAGATCAGGAAGATTGTGGTTCGAAGCTAGCCTGGGCATATAGTTCATGAGAGACCTTCTCTTGAAAAAACCCAACACAGAAAAGCAGGGCTGATGGAGTGGCTCAAGCAAGTGTGAGGCCCTCGGTTCAAACCCCAGTACCACACACACACACAAAACCCCAAAAGATTTAAAAAACATGTAATATTGCAGGGGAGGGAGGAAAAGGGGAAGAGGGCAAGAGCGGAGGCCTTGGTAGGGGACTGGACATTTCACCAGAACCCAGAAGGGTTACGAAGGGTGTGTGAAAGCCCCCAGTCCCTTACTATTCCTAAGATTCACCTCCTCTGCCTAGCCACGGACTCCACTGCTGCCTTCTCAGCACAGGTGAGGCACAGTTCCAGAACTTGGCCAGCAGAGGGCAACCTGACAAGGACCTGCACTATGGTCCATTCAGCTTCCTAGGCCCATCAGACTCAGCTTGACGGGCTGTCCTTAGAGTCACAGCCTTTAAGAGACACCAGAGCCTGCTGTGGGCCCTGGGCTCTGTCCCTCAGTTTCTCAGTTTCATTTCAGAGGCAGTTGGTTGAGAGTGTCAGAGGCCCCTCACCCCAGACCTCAGTTCCTGGGCCCCTGGGAGGGGGAATGCAGGACCAAGCTCAAAGGCAGCCCTGGGGATTGAGTCTGGCTGGGGCTTCCAGGAGGAGGGGGCAGGGGCTGGGTTTTCTCTCTGGAGAAACTCATTTGACAGGTTTTCTCTTCAGAGCTAATGGTTCTGTTTGTTTTTGGTGGCACTGGGGTTTGAACTCAGGGCCTCATGCTTGTTAGGTAGACGCTTTACCACTTGAGCCACTCCACCAGCCAAATGGATCTGAGTCACCTGTGGACGGGCTTTAACCACAGCCTGGCCATGTCCGCAGAAGAGCTTTGCTCTCAGCAGAGGCTTCTCCCCTGCCTTTAGTGATCCAGGGCCCACACTGGCTGATGGCCACTCGGAAGGAAAAGGCCCTGGTGGGGAAGCATATGCCAGAAAGGCTGCAGGGAGGAGGTGTCCATTGGGAGGGCCTGAACTGCAGGCCTTGGTGGGTTTTTCATGACAGCTAGGGTGCAGGCTGGGTAACCCTGTACCCTTTCTCCCACCATACTCTGAGTGACCCGAGACCAGAGTTAGAGTTGGGACCCTGCTCTAGGGAAGCTTCCACTGTGTTTGGGGACACCTAGTTTGCCTCGGACAGAGAAATTTCCAGGATGTGGGACCTGCTATGGTAAAATGGGAAATGTCCCTCTTGTACCTGAGCTGTCCTCCAATCCCTGGAGGCCCAATCAGACCTACATGGCCTCCTGGCCTCATCAGGAGCCTCACAGATGAGAAAGTAGAGGCACTGAGAGGTTAAGCAACTCACCCAAGGATACACAGCCACTAAGAGGGAGTGCCTCTGCCTGAGTTCAAAGCCTACTGGGTGCCCCTCGGCCAGGCAGTGCCTGTCCTTGCTCCCATCCCACTAATTGAATGCAACAAAATGTTTCTGATAGCCTTGGACTTGGAGACATGGTTCAAGCAGCAGAGTACCTGCTTAGCAAGCAGGAATGCCTGAGTTCAAACCCCAGTACTGCAAAAAAAAAAAAAAAAAAAAAAATGGAGTCAGCTCATGGGCTGGAACCCTAGCCCTCCCTGTCTGGCCACTGCAGCCCTCTCCAGCAGGGACTGTGTCTATCCTGGTAGCCTCACTGTTGTGCTCTGTACCTGAATGTGTGTGTATCCACACATGGGTTACCCAGACCCAGGGGACAGGCAGGTACAGGCCTCACAGAGCCAGCTGGCCACTGAGCTCTGCAGCCTG